TTGACCTACATATTTATGATGCAATTGCTTGTCAGATCAATTGCTTGAAAAAAGAGTCGTATGAAATATTTAATCATATCAACCGACGGTCCATTAATTCAGACAACTACAAGTAAGAGTGACATGTCATACCAACTATATATCAATTAGGATTTTATGCACATTCAACGTAGCTATTGTGTGTACGTCACCTTGGTTGGATTAACTTTAAAAATGCTTTTAATTTTCGGCGATATCATTAGCTTGATCTTTAGTAAGAGTGACATGTCATATCAACTATCAATTAGGATTTTATGCTTATTTGACTTAGCCATTGTGTGGTTGGTTAACTTGGTTTAACCTTAACATATTTATAATTTTTCAATATCATTAGCTTGACAAATATTAGAAAGCTCGCACATTAATATACTCGAAACCTTTATGTCACTTAACGCATGAATATTTTGGGGGAGTGGGTCTGATTCTCATACTGCAGATTTATCTAATGGATGCACTTCAAGTAAGAAACAAAACTGAGCTTGCTTGCTTTCGCAGGCTTAGCTAGGTATGGACACACACGTTGCTATAATCTTTTTCATGATCTTACCTGAATACAATAATAAATTGTTAAAATTGAAATCTGTGTCACGATTGTTTTCATTTTTTTCTAGTATTTTTAGGTCTAAACAATTTAATATTTCAGAAAATCAAAACCCTGAATTTTGATATGACGTACGGAGCATATTTTCTAAGAAGAATGGGCATCTTTTAATTCCAACGGAAGAAAAAAAGTAGGTTTATTTTAAGTACACGTTTACATGAAGTTATGTTATCTTACGAGTCGTTTGTACACACCCATAAGGAAGCTACACACCTTTCCCGATTAACATAATCACCGCAAACACGGCGAGCGCACGCAATTAAATTATATTAACAAAAATGCTCCACTCTTAATCGGAGACAAAGCTAACCCTTTTTCCCTTGAGTACGTGTTTATCCTTAGTTAAATGGGTAATGCTATGCATAAGTGATTAAGCTGATGTTACACGGAATGATTTTGCAATACTTGTAAAAGGATTATTCTCAGCTATCACCGTTTGCTTAACGTCATCTTGATGAACATAAACGAACATAATCTTGATTAAAAAATTCCTAAAATTATTTGTAAGGTATCTTTATCTTTATTCCAGCTTTTTCAAATTCGCGAATTCTTAATCTGAATTTTAGTTTTATGAAAAAAGTGCAAAATCGAAATTAAAATGATAGCTCGTGTTTCCCGCAGTCCAATTGGAATTTCTATTAATGAACGGTGTCCCTTATAGCACTGGAGTTAATAGAAATATCCTATAAATTAGTTATATTAAGCTTTGCTCATATCATGACTATGACAATCTGGTTATGGACATAAATGGATATTAATACTGCACGGATTGACCTTGGCGGTGGCGTTTTGTGGGGCTCCACGTCATCAATGACGTATTAAGTTGATAATCTTATTTTTCTATGTTAAAAAAAGTTAACATTACCTTATGTTTAAGGTTACTAAAAAAAGTCTAATCCCACGAAAACCTTTATCTTCATCACCGGCCCTACCCAACCATCATACAGAAAACACAAACATACTACATCTCACAGATTTGCAAATTGGGAAGATTATACCTAAGAATATTTCATTGACAATTCGTGGGGGTATATATCGATCAGGAGCTTGCGTCAGTTGTGTGAAAGATTAGGTCCACTTATTTGGAATTAAAAGAGATCTGGAGTGTGTCTAACGATTGACGACACGTAGTGACTTAGATTGTCATTATATGTTCCGTATCAAAAATATAACTTCATCACACTTTGTAGTACATTTGATATAAATTAGGGCCTGTCATGGAGTCAGGATATATTAAAGACCTCGGCCTTGCAAAACTGAATTGATAAAAATACCTGAGAGTTTCACTCAAAATAGAAGTAATTGAAGGAATATATCCTACATAAAAGATTTCCTATGTGTTTCGATATATTTTTATCAGTAGCCATTCAATAGAAAATGAAGTCGTCATGAACATGAGGTCAGTCATCAAGAAAATGCAATGCCTCCCAAGCCCATCTTTTAGCCCCCCCATCTGACGGATTTCCCCTCCCCCCACCGAAAAAAAATCTTCAAAATTAGAAAATACTTTATCAGGGGCGTAGCATCCAGAGATTGGGCCCTAGGGCACCAGCTTCCACGGGCACTTTTAGTTAATAAAAAGGGCAACCAACAATATGTATAGAGACGGTTTGATTGTAAAAGCTGCAAGGACACCACTAGCGTGGTTTATATTTATGACCTACAAAAAGATTTGGGCATAGGTAGGAAACAAAAGGACAATTTCAATTTTAAAAAAGTATGATACTCTGCATTTGCTGTTCAAAAAAGGCATTTTTCGTCACAAAAAGGGCACGTTCCCCTGTTTTTTGCTGCTGGAAAATGTGTCAAATTTTTGTATTTGAAATGATACTTAGTTTTCAGTGTGTGTGAGGACATTTTGAGAACATTTTACGTTTGCAATTGGGGATTTAACAATTTCTCTGGAAAACGTACATTTCTGAACTGCCCATCAGATCTAGTTTTAGAACAATATCCAGTTTCCATTTAGACTGACTGCCCATCAGTTTCCATTAGAACAAGACCGGACTGCTCGTTAACTTCTTAAAGAATCAATGGTGAAGAACCCCATACGATATGTTATAGACTTATAGAGCCTGGTTTTCATCATCGTAATTCGTCGGATGATGCTCGACGATTCCGGCATTGTCTGTACTCATCGAGAAAGTTTTTTCCGACAGAGACCGTTAACCACCGACAATAGATCTACGATGAATTCCGATAAAGCCTCGTTCTCATAGGACACAGACCGTCGACGAAGGCTATTGTCAGTGATCACTGGAAAATGAATTCCTTTGTTATTTCATATAAATTTTCTTCGTCAGTGGCCACCAATAATGCAGTCAGCAGCTGTTGGTGATTAATGGCCATCGCCATATTGATAACAGGCGACATATGCCGGCATGCAAACTCAGTGGCGTGGCTAGAACGATAATTGGGGCGGTGGGTGTTTATTCATATATTCAGTTCTGACCGACAGACTTCTTTTGTAAGTTCAATAGTTTAAAATAGAAATTCATTGGGCAGAACTTTATATAGGAATAAACACCCCCTCCCCAAACAAAAAATTTTGGCTGCGCCCCCGCGCGAACTTCCAGTTATCCAGTATATAATCTCGATATTAGTTTATCTCATATTGCCCTAAATATCAACTGCGCTTCTCTCATCAATCATCTTTCTTTTGAGGTGGCTTAGATATAATGATTTATAGAAAGAAGCTTTTTCTTAGACAAAAAATCCTCCACTTTACCAATCAATATTCTAAGAGCCGGAAACTCTTCACAAGAATGACGTCATTGCTGTTATTATGGCAACGATGACGTTATAATATGGAAAATATTATGTACCCACACTCTCACATTTTTACTTTAGGAGTCATTTTCCAAATATTTCTAACTTCCATATAGTTTTCTAATCTTGTTAAAACTTTTCCCCACAAAACACAGTAATTGGGTATGCGTACCCATTTTAGCCGTGCCGTGCCAATAAATTGACTTTAGTCAAACGGGACTTTAGTCAAGAGAGTCTGTCGCGGATCCAGGAGAAAGTCAGAATAAATTCCGCTCTTACTTACAATCCAGGAGAAAGTCAGAATAAATTCCGCTCTTACCTGCAATCCAGGAGAAAGTCAGAATAAATTCCGCTCTTACTTACAATCACACTGGTAGATCTTTACTCAAAAATATTTTTCAGCAGTTCAAAACCAATGGCGTTGCTCATTACGGTATTTTACTGTAATTTAAATGATTAAGCCGTGTAAAATATTCTGCCTAACCCTGGACCCGCCATTGAGGAAAGTCATCTCAGAAGTGAAAATGGATTCTTTTAAGTATTCCAAAATGCTTATGAAAGTTGAAACAAAAGAATATACTCAGCGAAACATATATTGATCCGAAGATATAGTCAGCTATTCAGTGAGGAAACCAATTGATATAATTAATATCAAGTTCGTGCAGGTGAAGTAACGGAACATTCAACTTTGGGAGTAGGTAGACTGATCTAATTCCAGTCCAATAAACCATTTTTGTCACACCCTTTTCTCTATTCTTGATAATTATGATAAAATGTCAGAGTGTTATGAAAGTAGTAAAGTCTATTTACGGATTTTCATTATTTTTTTAATTATAAATATCTGTACGTAATTTTGGGCAGTACATTTCGAGTATGGAGATCGTCAGGAGTAACAGCTAGTGTTCTGTTTCCTAAATTCGACCTGCTCGGCTTGGTATATTGTCATAAATTCGCACAATAGGCGACATAGTACCTTTTTAATGACATCTTTCTCTTAACTGCGATTTTCGTGCATGTATACCCAGTACAAGTTGGCACATTACATAATTAGATGGGGGCTGGGAGGCTGACGAAAGCATACAATTAATATTAACGACTGTATTCTCCAAGGACAAAGTGTTGCAATCATCCGAATAATGTTATGAAGGCCAAATGGCCCTTGAAGATGCAAAACATAATGGAATAAAATAAAATGCATTTCTACAGGGTGCATAAAAAAAGACAAATATGATTAATTACAAACATTTGAGTCCAACTTAGTATTAGGTAATTGTATATGACTCACTACACCGTGGACAGACGCTACTTGCCTACTTCGTGACGAGATGTTTTTGTAGAGGTCTTTTGTTGGACAAGCAAGAACAAATCTTTCATATACCCTCACTGGCCACTTTCTAAAGAGCCATGTTAACCGAAAATGCAGTTACAAAAAAACTTTTTGATGCATGTTAACGTGTAATGCAACTTTGACGTGCACTAAGGTCCGGTTTACACTGTCAAAGTTTTCTCATTACACTTGGAATTGTACATAAATAATGGTATTGTACATCTTAATGAGGATCAAATGACTCAGTATTAAGAATTGTTTTGGTCCTTTTGGATCCCTCAAATACCATCAGCAAGTTTTTTTTAAACCTAGGAATTATACCAATACGAAATTCCAACTGTATATAATGACGGAAACCATAACAATGTAGGACAGGACCATGAAGGCTTGGATGATAAATTTTTTATCTGAAATTTGATACCAAAAATGTTTCAGCATGCCCCTTGGGCTTGAGCCTCCTATGCATTTGAATGGCGTTTCGTAAACAACGGGAAGTGATGCATTAAGCATAATTCTTGAGTGGGCAATGCATATTAGGCAAGTATTCATCACCAATAACACCGTTTATCAACCTTACTTATATCGCTCAAAATCTGAGGTAAGCTCCATCATATTTTGATATCTTACTGAATGTGTTTTTTAGAGATTTAATTATGGTATAATGTGTACATAAATACACATTTCAGTACTTTATCTTCTCAAATCCGGTTTATAATCAAAGCGTTTCTATGTCTATGATTATGTCACCGTCTCATCGTACATTGCAGTGTGTTCTTCCCGTATATTTGTATCATTTGTCATTTTGTTGTAGCCTTGGGGTTTTTATTTACTTGTCTGATATTTGAATCGCTTTTTTCAAAGACTGAATGTATAGATTTAACTTTCGGTTAGACTTTACATGACTGTGTCAAAGACGAACTCGCCATACAAGAGCACCAAAACCGACAATTACCCTTTAATTTTTGGAAGCTAGTATACAATCGTATCCCATATTCTTCGTGAATAAGGGTGAAATATGTTTGTATTCAAAATTCTTAGAAGAATATGTTGCATTTTGGTGTAATACGTAGGCCTTTTGTCTTAAATACGGTGGACATAAAGTAAATAATGTATATTGACTCTATGGAGTCTTGTATTATTGTCTTTCAAAAAGGAAATCAAAATTTCTGTATACAAACCTCTAGAAGGTCTCGCGTAAACATTACTGTAGTGATTCGCTTTCCTTAGATTGGGCAAGAAGGTTCATGTAGTCACACGTTTTGAACCGAAACGACTGAGCCGAGTTCACCAAAGGGCATAATCTATTATTTTAAATTTTTCAGAAATATAAGCAATATTTCAAGAAGGTTTATTGAATAATCATGAATTTAGAATAAGGCATCTGGTTAAATAAGCGACTCTCTAAAAGGAGTGTATTAGTTGTGTTTAAAAATTGCGTCTCTCAATTAAGCTGAGTTCATTGCCAAAGCCAGCTCCACCGTGGTAAAAAGGGGAAGTCTTTGGGAAGTTAAGACCATGAATAGATTTGTAATTGTTTCCTTCTATAGAATTACTAAGTCTCCATTTGAATACATATATCCCACTGGTCCCTACATGAAACTTTATTATCAGATTTCTCTAGTGTTTCGTCCGCAATGATCCTGCTATATAATATAGGATTTCACCAATATAGATCTTGAAATTCAAAAACATAATCTAGTATCTACTTCCAAGCACATTGAGCAAAGTTCTTCTGCTCTTATTTCCACCCTCGTCTGCATGTATAATGATAAATAGGTACTTTATGAGCCGTACTGCTTGGAAAAGTTCCATATGCTATTCTACATATTTCCGCAACTCTACATATTTCCTTACAGACTAGACAAGGTCATTCAGGTTGTTCATTTTGTGTATCATTACCATTACCATTGTACATGTTTAACTTCGTTCATATTACAGCATGAAATACCTGCTGTATGCAATCATGACCTAACACAGTTTCGTCAGTTTAATTGCATTATATGACAGTTATATATAAATTGAAAATATAAGTAAGGTTGTCATTTTAAGCAAAGTTTCAGGTTTTCCTCAAACGAGGAAGAAATTTTAGTCGGCATCAAAATTATTGTTATATGATGTCATTCCATACCCAAAAATAGTAAAAAGCGGAAAAAATCCGTTAAGCGGAAGTTTTTGTGATATCTTGGGAGAGTTTAGTTTCATTTTAAGTTAATCCACCGACGAAACAGACGTATAATATCGAATCGCCATTATTAACAGTTCAATTGATATCTCGCTAATGCTTGCATAGTCTGTGGTATTCTCATGAGAAAATATAAAAAATTGATCAAATAGAAAACTGTTTCAATTCTCAAGTTGATTAGCACGCTAATTCTCATTACCATAAGTACAGAAGATGGAATGATTGCTTAAATTCATATGTATTTGGGCCGTGAGGTTAAAGTTGGCACTACAATACAGACAGTTTGACTTTCAGCCTTGACTTTGCGGCTAAGTTGCTTTCAGTGGTCACGGCTACTGTATACTAAACATTATCATCGATGGTAGCTACATGACTTTGACAAGGTGAGACAATATATGGGATTACAGCACTGGCTATGCATAGAAGTGTTGTATTCATGCAGTCTAATGAGAGGTCAGAAATTTATGCATAGCTGATTACGAATAGCAACTCATTGCTACGACTCAACTGAGTGATACGACCTTTCGAAACATTTATAAATATATGGCTAAAAGGTGCTTAAAATGCATGAACGGTGCAGTTCAGCAGCCAGTGCAATTATCTAGCAACATTTACTTACGAGAGCATCCGCTTGTACTTCCTTTTGCCAGAATTCCAGTACGTTTACGTACATAGCATAATCATTTGCGTCATTACGGCAATCCAAGTCTGCCTAACTTTAGCAATTTACTCAAGTGCGAAGTTTACATTATCTCAGTTAAGTAACTTAGTTTTAGTCACTGTTTTAGTGGTAATTCCATGTTCAGTAAATCCTAAATACACGAATCAGTTAATCATTGAAATTAGGTTAGGATTAGCGTGATTATGATTGATCCTAATCTAATCATAATCAAGGTTAAATTCGATGGAATTATTACCGAGGAAATTATCATCAGTACGAAAATCCAACTATGACGATGGAAACTTTACCGTGAATTTAAACCGGGCCTGGAGACACAGCCTGCGCACAGACGTAATGACTTTACGTCTGTGCGCTGGCTAGGAGACACATAATTTTACTATGGCGTAAATATTATATGGAGTCTAGATTTGCCACAAATTTCATTTACCACCACAAACCCACTGAATTCATAATGATATATAGATATAGTAATATTGGACGGAAATCAACAGCATGGAAATTCTTGACAGTATGAAAGTCCTCTTTGACCAATTTTTTACCATTGTCAACAGAATTTCAAGATGTTAGCAAGTCACACTTATAAGCAAAGAGCTCAGTATAAAGGTGCGTTTTTTTTTTACTATGACTATGTATTAGTTTGGCGTAGCTTAACAAACAGTATTGATTATGCGTGGATCTACTTTCCTGTTCAGTTTTTCCACAGGAAGGTGGTTTCTCAAACATCCTCCTTCCCAGAAGCTTTCTCAGGAAAAACGTCTTAAGATTTATCATTATGATATTCTGATATAAGGATTCTGCGCTTATATATGATCCCGCCCTAATTACAGTAGGAGGCAAAAGTTTGAGTCCAGTCGTTGTAGAATTCCAGTATTAAATCCTGGCAGCGTATTGGAGTTAAGACATGCGTGCTAGTGTTTCAGTACTGTAAACTATATTAATTGCACACTGTTTTGGTCCTAATGATCTAAATTATAACAAAATAAAGTTCTCATTCCTTTACACTGCCCAAGATGGGTAGGAAAAAGGGCAAAGTGATGGTGCACAAGGACAAATAGTTCCATTAAGTATTGAAGGATTCTTTCCTCGTAAGATCGCAGAAGAAGTGAGAATTTAAAAAGGTGGTATGCAACTAACCTTGGAGAGGTTCGAAGAAACTAAATCCTACTCAAGCAAACTTTTAGCTGCTTTGGTCATGCTCGGTTTGGCAATATTGAAAGATATAATAGGATCCTAATTAAAGAAAAGTATCATCCAATTCTTCAAGGACATGGAATTTCATCTGGTACAAAGATGATCGCACGTCTAACTACATGATAATCACCCTAAGCACATGCACATCTTCTATGTGCCAGAAATCGTTTAGAAGCAAACTCATTCTGGTGATCTCGTTGTCATGGCTTTCCACCTCATATTCCAGATCTAAAACCTATGGAGCACTTGTAGAACCGTTTTAACCGGAAGAGGGCGAGGCACAGACCCGCCAGCCAGGCTGACTTGAGGCAAGTGGTCAACGAATGCTGGCAAGGTATTGAACGTGTGACATTAAAAAACCTATGGAATCTATATGCGAGCAAGAATAAAGGTCATTTCAAGAGCAAAAAAGAGGGAACTAAGCAATGACATGTAAATGCATGTTTGCACATTAAAATACGTAAAAATGAATATCATAACATCTCATAGTTGTTGTACAGCATGTATTTTTCTGTTTACTTGTTTACTTTTTTCTAGTTCACTTATCGGTAAGGTTTTCTGTAGAATATTAATATATGCTGCTGAAACAAAGAAATACAGTCACTGGACTCAAACTTTTGCCTCCTACTGTACATATACCCGAGAACTGCAAGATTTCACAAAAACGGTCCCGGTAATTAAACTGAAGACTCGGTAGACTCGGTGAACTGCTTTTGTGAAACGTCATAATTACTCATATAGGTAGAAATACATGAGAATCTCTGACAGTTGATACAATCATTTGCTATAGTATTTAAGTTACATGAATTAATGGATAGCAATATGCGACATTTGAGGACATTTAAGGACATTTGAGGACATTTGAGGACATTTGAGGACATTCGACAAAAGCAATTTTATTCTGTCTTACAGGAAGTCATTCGGGTCCCATCTTGGCTGCAAGAACGTCAATTTATCTTTGGGAGTTCCTGCTTGAAATATTAGAAGACCCGGAGTGTGCTTCGATCGTACGTTGGACGGATAAGGCAAAAGGAGAATTTGAGTTTTTAAACGTTAGCGAGGTTGCAAGACAATGGGGAATTGTTAAACGACGTCCAAATATGGACAAAATTAAAATGTGCCGAGCTATGAGATATTATTACAAGAAAGATATAATACAAAAAGTAAGTGAAGTGAAAGAAAGGGTTTATTTTTGAACAATGTTATTCAATCGAAAGTAATTGAGGGGGGGAGGGGGGCTCCAACAACTCTCTTTTATATTCATTTTTAATCCATTTTTAGCAATGATGAAATTTGCAAAATAGAAACAGTCTAAATTAAACATGATTTATTTTAGGTTAAGGGAAGGCATTTCGTTTATAAATTCCTTCAACTTCCATACAACCATCCCGTTCTACCATCACCATCACCTCCTCCGCAAGAATTAGAACGACGATCTGTAATTTGCTACACTTCTTCATGGAATGGTGACTAATAACCATATCGTGTGACAAGAATCAACAGATCGGTTGATTTTGAATTTCGTCATCTTTGATGCAAAACCGTTTCAACGAGTTGGCATAATCCAAATTGAGATAAAAGAGGTTTTTTCTTTGGAAGGAGTAGCCTTTTAGGATTTTTTGCTTGTAGAGAGTCGATTTATCAGACTATTAGAATTGAGTAGCATTCAACGCCGGTGCACTCAAGCTGGTTGGGAACTTTTTGAATGCAAGGGCAAAATTTTATGTGTTTTTTTGCCTTGCACAAGTATCCGGTATTGTACTATATTTATGATGCATTTGCAATGGCCAAATTGCTTGCCTGAGGTAACCAGTTCACTAACAATTTAATGGTGTTGACAACCGATGAGTCCCTATAGGCTATAGTACACTACACTAGTCTGAAATCCTTTTTACTAGTCTGTTTTCTAGTTTACTCGACTCACTCTGACTCACATACGATCGGGAATTGCGGTAAATATTATTGTCTGTCTGAGCCAGTTTTAACTTTATCAACTCAGGCATTCGCTACAACCTCATCCCCAGACGCCGGGGCGACTGTAGATGCGTCGCGAAGGGGCGACCACCAACCACCAAATTAGAATGGATTATCATAAACATGTAAATTAGGTAGATAAAGTAAATAACCCCTCATTTTACTGTTAATTTTTCAAAGCATGAATATCAATTCCAAATGAATATGCACGTGTAAATCATTTCTGCCTATGATTTATATCACATTTCATATCACATTATTTTCAAATGATCTTTGCCATGTCACGCTACTGGCTTTGAAGGTGGCCTGGGGCCGAGGTTGGTCTGTCTAATGATTAAATTATGACTAAAAATGCATTAATTTGTGACATAACGTTACTAGACGATAAATGCTAAACGATACAGCCACATTACCGCATGTGATACGCAATTTCCGGTCGAGGAATGTCGTTAAAGCTACATTAAAATCAGTATTTAGAAGCTTTGTATTTATTATATGTATAAATAGATTTAATTTATATTGTGCTAATTGGAGTAATAGAATAAGGTGGAAATTTAATTTTCTATACAAGGTTCTGAAAATTAAGACAATTCAAAATTATGGATTTCAAAAACATGAACAACTCCATTCCTTCTATCTTATGGGAAAAATTCAAAGCTCGATTCATAATACGAAAAAACTAATTCATCCAGACGCAAACTATAGAAGGAAGACAAATATATTATTAATTTTATATGGGATAGATCTGTTCAAGAATGTAACTATTATTATATGCTATAGAGTGTAGACCGCTAATAGCGAAATAAACTAGTGATTATCTATTTTTAGAGGTTTCTGATATTCAATTTTACAAATATATTACTATGTCAAGCAAAATTTACGACCTCTGCAAAATAAGCGGCAAAAAAGGCATATATGGCGGTCATGTATTTTAGCGATATTTATGTGCACGCTTCTCATGCATTTCATGATTCCGGTTTGTTTAAGTTCCAGTTTTTCGCCTGTATAGATCAGAATATTTATCGATATGAAATCAAAAAAGGAAACTCCTCAACAATCATCCAGTCTGTGGCAAATAGTTGGTTCTCGTCAACAACTCGTCGAGAGAAGATGTAAGATCAATAATATATATATACTTTATTTCAGTTGTGAAGTCTAAATATTACACTTGACAACAAGGGAGATTGCGACAGAGCACAACCCTAACCAAGGCATTCTCCCAATAGCTACAAGGTTAACATATATAACTATTTACAAATTTGGACAAGATATACACACAATACAAACGTGGATTCAGACGATTAACAACATAGTCTGAGGCATGACGCACACCCAAGAAATACTTTTGCTTCAAAAGATTCTTAAAAATACGTGGTGATTTTACTTCCTTTACTGAGGTTGGTAAACTGTTCCATAACCTACACGTTCTGATGAAATAGCTGTGCTCGAACTGCTTGGTTTTTGTTTTTGGTAGCGCGAAATTCATTGCCCCGGAATTCCTCAACTGACGGTCTTGCAATTGTGGTGTGAATTTGACGTACTGTTCAACATCTACATCAAACCTATCATAGATGCACCCATGCAAAAACATCAAATCTTTCATCTCGTGCCAATAGCAGATAGCAAATATGTTTGGTAGCGACGCCAAGATTGGGCAGAAATTTTCTTTTCATCTCTCCCACATTTTTCCCACCCTTCACGTCATCAGTGGGAATTTCAGTTAATCACTGAGAGCAACTGAAGGCTACATAAACCTTATACGAATTTTAGACTGGATTATTTGTAAGATTAAAAAGCCATGAAATCACCAATTGTTGATCGTGCGCTTGCATGTTACTGGGAAATGTATCCATTTCAAGTCACTAAGTCAGAGCAACAGGCTGAATATATTATGTTCGTGATATTCAGTTTGAATGGTTGGCCAAGCAGCACCTCCTTTCTTGAAAATCAACTATTTTCATTTGTCTCCTAAATATGAGAGCTTCCAAGTTTTCCAAATTTGAAAGGCCAACATCGCCACTGAATAATTTTCACTTTTTAAAATTTCCACAGTACGTTCAAGAGATATCGTTAATTGCCACATTGTCATTGGCAGCAGGTAGAACGCGTAGACAATTTGGTACAAGCGATGTAAATGGCGCAGGCGTGCTTTTCAACACGTTTTTACCTGCTTCTGTCTTTGACGCCTGACTGGTTTTAAAGTAGCTTCACCGCAAATAAATAAAGCCTGTGAATTACTGTGTGGAATGATCAATTTTACTTAAATTTCGTTGTTGTTGTTGTTGTTGTTTTTATTCATGAACGAACAGTTCTACTGATTTGAAATTCAGGTATCAAAAATCAAAGAGGCATAAGGAGGAAGTGGAGACAATTCATATAATGAATTTATATCGTTTATTACAATAGAATGATATTATTATTGAAGCACAAATTATGGATATCATGTCTTGTTCTTGCTTACGTACGTCAAGTTTTCACAGTGGTTGTGTTGGATCAAAACGATAAAGGAAAGCCACTATGGCGCGAGACTTCATTATACAGAGACAGATCTCAAATTCCTACGCCTTCTGAAAATGACAAACGTAAACTAAATCAAGTTCGACAGGACTTCTATCCTGTAAAAGCTGATGAAAATACAAAGTCAAAGAAGTGGAAAATTGGGAGAATTTTTTATACACTACCAATTGGGGCGACATTTCCTATTTTTTACACTTCAAGGAGAGTTCTTAAAAAAGGAAAGAAAAGTGAAATTTTTTACCCTAGAAGGATCATCAAGGCAACGTTCTCTGATCGAAATAATGGTTTCGAAAAACAAGTGGAGGCTAACTGGAGATGAATTTCAGGCAGATAAAGTTTAGTCATTTCTCAGTCTTTCATTCCTTGACTCTTGTTGCATGCAGGGTTATTGTGATAGCAGTGATACTGTTTCTAATTACTAATGTTCATTATAATGTATCGTTTGTACGTAAATCCTGAACGCTGATTAGCGCTGAAGAGCCGTGTTGATCAATGCTATAACTCATTGTAAGATTTAAACGTTGCATTTGCCCAAAAGACACTGTGATATCTTGGAAAAGAGTAATAAGTAAAGATTCAACTAATTCATATTAAACGATAAATAATGAGATGATAAGTTTCTAAACCCGGCCTTCAAGCTTCAACGCCGGTTATACTCACTATATCGCCTGACGCCGCTTGTATCCACAGAAAAAAATTCGAAAGAAACACATTGAAAAAAGAGACCAAAAAGCATGATTTCAGATGAGAACGTAATGTATTAATCAGTATATCATATAAGCAGTCCTACTGCCATATCTGGTTTTCAAGACAACTATATGGCCTTGAGGGAAGTTGGAATTTGTCTGATTTTCAATTGAACTCACATTTGCCAGGGAAACGATATACTGTCCTAAAGAGAACACCTTTGAAAGAGAAATGATTTCACGCAACTTTTAAGTAGCTGGCTGAGAAAAACCTCCAATCGATACAGATTTTATGTTCACATCTGTATGTTCCATTCATTTGTTACATCACCAGCCGCGTTATTGGAAAGAGCATCATCATTGTTCAAAGCTAGGTTAGCGCTAACCCTGGGTTAAATTTTAATCCAGTGTTTTAGTTTTATGTGCTTCTGAACCATTGTTCGTTTTGAAACTTTAGGAAATATTACTTCTATCGGTCCAGAAAATATTTATGAAAAAAAATATTCAACTTTGTAAACAAGCGATTTAAAAATCGACATAAAGATTTGCTTTAACCCAGTGTTAAGCTCAAAAAAATGAACTTTCACTTTTATCATACAGTTTTAATCCATGACTGACTTTTGAAGAATCTAATGATAATTCGTGTATATCACCATGTTATTTAATCTAATATTTCTTCCACTTTTGTGGTTTGGCTCAGAAATGCACATACCACAGCTGCAATTGCTGGAATTTTAATACCAAGAAATACCAACAGATAAAAGAATGAAAAGCTGGAATTTTAATAAGTAATAAGTGTTAAACACATGCCCTAAACATTTAGCGCTAACGAAAATACGCTTGGGAAAATAATCGAATGATGGTATACGTGCGTGACTAAGCCTCTAAAGCTATAAAGGATATTTGTGTATTCTTAGCCCTCAACCACGCTTCCGAACACACCAGGCCATGTTGCTTGCACGCCGGGTCAGTGCTCACAATGGGATCAATAAAATATTTTTTTGTGCTACACCATGCATCCACATTCAACATGGCCTTTTTTTGCAAGTCATCAATACCCACAATATACTGTTTGAATTAGAATATTTTACATAGTTGAACGTTATCTTCTGTCCATTTGCTGCGCCGTGTGGGTCCAAATTATCTGCTCCGCCCCCGTTGGAGAGAAAGGCGTTTTTTAATTGAGCGACTCTAGAAACAGAGAGGTGAAAATGACTTTTTTATCATCCTCCAAAATTGTCACTTTTATCCCATCCTAAAAGTAAAACATATATTCAAATAATTCGAATATTCGATACAGAGACCCGTTGGCTAACTTGGCTATATATATATGTGTTTATAAATATTTCAAAAATTTGCTGATGTTGAAATTGGATACGGTGTGTGGTCCGAGTCAAACTTTCGACTCATTAATCCAATTTATGTCGTTTGTGAGAATCTTTTAAACCGAATTGCGCCGGCGTATCGGATTTAGAATATCTGTGGTCAAAAGTAGCCACGGCCTGTACATGTGTAAGATTGACATCTGGTTGTGCGAACGCGCAATACTGTCGACTCCCGCGGCAAGCATGTGCTTGATTTAAAAAGAGATCGAAGGGGGGTGTATATTCACACATTCATGCTTGCACGAATCTATGAATATGCACCCCCTCCCAATAAAGCTTCTAGCGACGGACGACGACCCATAATTCAATGAAATTTTATTGCTATCAGGGATTATTATAACATGATTATATTTTTTGTAGTTTGATTTTCAGACTGATAACAAATTACTTTTCAAAATTTTTTTTTGCAAACACGCACTTTCATTTCTTCCGTATAGGTCCAACATAATAAAAAAATATTACGTCTATTCTGTATTTTTATTATTAGTTCAAGATTTCAAGCACTGGTTCGCCCGTGCAATAGCATACGGCTACAGGTATAATCAGGAAATATAATTTACATTAATATTGCATGTAATTGGAATTTTTTTTTTAATTTTTGAACTCAAATTGAAACTGCAGCTTTTATTCAAAACTAAATTAGGAAACATTAGATTGTGATTTTACTCGGAAGCTGTAATTCTAGGCGGAAAATGAGTCGGAATCGACTTAGAGCTTTTTTCCAAAGACTTAACCTCTCATTTCCGTGCCATACGGCCAATGTGCGTCACATGTGCGTCATTTGGTAACAAGCAGTGCGTAAAAATTTCCCGTGTTTTCCTTACAGGTTGTCACGCGAATGCGATCTAAGCTATTCTAGGCTATGGCAATATTAAATAACTAGTCAAAGCATTCCTCGAGAATTCCTTCACCCTGATCACGCACGGCATTTTTGGTATATCATTGTTAAGGTATGTGATTTTCATTATTTGTTTGTATAAGTATGAAATACAATATGTTCTATGCGGAAATAATCATTTACAAAATTGCATCGCGGTACGCAATATCGAAATTTCCTTGTCTTGAGTATATACTTCTGAGTAAAGTGTATATATAGTCCGCATTTGTTTAGGACAATTTATAAACCTCTTCAAACGAGAAACATTTCAAAATGAACAATTTCAAAAGCCAATGTGTACTAATGTTTGGCAAAATGCTCCTTAAACGAACAGCGAAAACCTTTTTATTGTTGTGACAGAAAGCCATGCCAGTTCTTGGTTGCCAAGGTTTGAAATCTTGTATTCAAAAAATTCGACCAAATTTAAAATAAAATCGAAAATGAAGTTCCCTGCTTTTAGTATACATATAAAAATTAACGGACTTAAGCGATATCACCCCATGTGAAAGGAGAACGTGCACTAGGAGCCCGGTGAATAAGTTATGTTGTCAACAAGGTCATCTTTATATGTTTCCTCGTGACATTATCATGTATGATATTAAATGTACACGGAAAGTATACCTGCAACTCGAATATTTCCTCGGCTATGCAGCTATTTGGGAACCTATTTATCTATATCTCCTCAGGAAAGATGCGTGCGTGCGGAAAGCCAGCATTGCAGATCAGAGTGCTCCGCGGAAAGTTTAAACTTCATCAGTGAAAATACTTTTAGAACAGAATAAATCGCGCGAAACTTCAAATGTGGGTTGCTTCTGTATTATATATGCGAGTTCAAGATGCACCAAATCTACGACGCTGCTAGTGTGATCGAGGAACCCAGTTTTACACACGGCTCTGGCTTTGTTTATCAAAAAGAGCCTTTAATTTTCATTGCTGTTGGGAAACTGTGGAATTAGAGCAGTTTTATTTCAAGTCCGCGTCGTAGATTTGGTGAATCTCAAACTCACTATATTCAGCATACGATTTAATCAACCCCGATTTCGTGAGATATATAAATTGCGTTTATAAACTAAAGTTGTGCAAACTGCAAAGTGTACATATTTTATTACATTTTATCTTATATGAGATTGAATATTATAAGTGGGAATAATCTATTTTTATATCGCGTATATCATGAACAAAGCAGTATATTAAAGATCGATAATGCAGTTTTAGTTCACTGATTCAGTTCATACCACTGATTCAGTTCATACCGTTTCATGGCTTTCCACCTCCAAAAAATCATCATCCTAGTCGAAAAGGCATGGTTTCAAAGTTTAGATCACAAATATTCTTTAAAAAAGAAATAAGATCATTATTATATCTTCATGCAGTGTATGCAATCAGCGAATGTTACTTAAAGATATTATTTACGATAACCAGTTGGCGAATACTTAGAAATCTATCTATTGATATTTGATATATATGCATGTATTCGGAACCGCTCTAGACCAAATTATAGATAATACAGTAAATGGACGTGGAATCATATTACCTGCGTCATCTACACCCGTTTCCTGTAATCTATCACACGCGGTATGCAAATATGCAACTATAGTTCAATCATTTAGCTTTTCTAAGATATATATATCGAAGGATTTCGTGGTAATTAAAAAAATTCGAATGAAACTACAAATCCTGAATAGTTGTGGAAAAGTATTCACTAGACTAAAATTGCGAGACGCTTAACTTAACATCCATAAGGCAACGCATTGCTCACGGTATGGCACCAGCCAATCGTCGAAAAATTTGGCCACCATAATGGAATTGTCATTTCATGTTTATGGCCCGATGAAATAACTGATATCGCGGCTTCTTTGTGAGATTCTTCAAAGTTTTAGAATTTATAAAATTTTGATCTTAATTTCAAGGCGGGGGAATGTAAGTCTTCATGCCCGACTCATTTCATAGGATGTTTGATGATGGCACTCCTTCGTGAAACTTATGTAAATTCCAATATAATTAAGTCGCGTCTACCAGAATTGATGTCAAACTATCCTACGGCATACAATTCTACTATTTACGTATTTGTGACTGGCTACGCTCCCCTTTTATTCATTTCAAATATTTTCTCACATTTTTTCGTTACTTTCGAAAAATTGATATAGACTTAGACATAGATCAAAAGTTAAGAACTGGCCGTTCCAGCACGTGATTTTATACGATGTCCATGTTGTTGTGCATGGGTAAATGGAAATAAACTTGTTTCACTTTCAATCTATATATACTAACACAAAAAAGAACTTTCGAAACTGAAAGAATATCGCGTCTTCGCCAAAAGTCTTATTTGTTTGGAAGTCAGAGGTTTTTTGTGGAAGGAATTTTTTGTGGAAGGAAGATAAGTTTCTTGTATACGTGTGTTAATAAAAAGTTATTGTATTGAAACAACTTCCTAAATCGATAAAAAATCAATGTTATTGAACGCAATAAAAAACATTTTTACAGACAGAATAGACCATTTCCCAAGTTAACTTTGGTTGGAGTTACTTTGTTATAGAAAACTTGTATATAAGTTTAAGATAGCAACTCAATGTCGAAGAATATAATTTTAATATGCAGATTGCGAGATTCATATTCTGTGACCACTACGAACAATTAACCTTGGAATAGGTCAAATAAAAGTTTATGCCGAATTAGCATATTCTATGAAAACTAGCTATATATACCCGTTATACCATAACCTATGCATGTTAGCTGTTAAGGAATGATTATAAAGTAGGCCAATGGTAATTGTAGTAACAAGAACGTTTAAACTTGTAAAAGACGTAGTACTTTATTATTCTTGACTTCTAGTATTGATCTCAGGTATTAATGCGTAATGATAATGTAAATTCTATTTCGAATCTGATGTAATTTCAGTCCTAAAATGCTGACAATGATGATGCAGCAAACATGTAGAGAATTACCTGGTGAGAACTACATCAGTCATTACTCAACATCAGACATCGATATCCGGACACGGAAAACTACCCTAAATGTTATAAATGTTGATACTCAGGGTATAAATGTTGATACTTATCTATGCCCAGGGTATAAATGTTGATACTTATCTATGCCCCCCTATATGAGTTGCACGGTAAGCCTTTAAAATGCTACGTTTGTTAGTTTGGCGACCTTAAGAGTTAAGAGGAACACGTACGAAATGTGCGTGTACGAAAAGTGCATTTAGTGACCTCGACTGACACCGGAAGATGTCGGGTCTGAAGCTATAAATAAGGTTATTAACATGCTGACTTGCAGTCCGCAATGCGGAACTTATTTGAATGATACCGGATACCATAAGGCCATGTGATAGTCAAAACCTGTTATACTATAATGAGCATTGCAAAGAAGCTGATGGTTAATGCTGATGACTTATATAGAACTTATTACACTCTTGGATGAGTAAATGATTGTTCTTGCAGTGAAACCGACATAGATTATATTTTTTATGGTGATAAAGCGGAAGGTAAATACGAATTATACATTATTCTCCTAAAGCAAGTATCGAATGTCTTGTAGTGCAATGTCATGCAGTGTAAAAATTTCATTTGAAAAGAATAGGCGCATACTGGACACAGTTACTCCTCCAATATATAATGTAACAATAGCGTAGCAGATATTTAACCGCCGTAGTGACGTAGTGGTAAAAAAACCTAGTAATATTCGTCGTTGCATTTTGTTCAATCTATATTTCCCTATATATAGTACTGACCATGCAGGGACGCATGCATGGGAGCAGCTTCTTTAAGTAACTTTAGTAATATATCTTCCTCGTACAAGGAGACTAAAACATGGCCACATACCAATCACTAAAGAAGGAAATGATATATCCAAAAATAAACCAAAGGCTGAACGCAATGAACCCGATAGAAACAATCATTCGAGAACTATGCCTCGTTATGGATTCCTGTTAAGGCGATATGCATATCACATGAGAAGAATGACGTTTAAAACAAGCACTAAAACAGAGCAGCGGCTTCGTAATCACATATATCCCTTTGTAAAAGATCTAAGGTTTATTTACGTTTCTATAGTTAGTCTTTCATAAGTTTATATAAGCATTGAAAAGTTTATATGAGACGGCAAGTGCTTCCTCGACACGAAGTCCCCGAAAAAGAACTTCGCTTTAATCGTTGAAATTCCCAGTTGCTAAGGCGTAATTTGATCCCACGAAACAAATTCGTTGCAGCTTTTTATGTGGAAAGGACATGAATTGTAATGTTCGATGCCGTAGAATATATACTACTTAATAATTTTAGTAACAAATTTACTAGCAAAAGGAATAATATTACTAGCCGAAGAAGGATTGATATTATAGCTATTATAATACTAAAATGGTCGTAGTAAAATTTTAAGATCTGAAAATCTCTCTCAAAAATTATAACGACTTCTTTAATATCCAAGATTCAAGGTTAGCAGTTTCAGTGATGCTGGTTACATGCGTGGTAATCATGGAAGTAGGTGAAACCTATTCAGTGGGTTATCTTATAGTCTTAGAAAAAACTAGAATTTGTTTTGATTGTAAGTTTCCCTCGGGGTACTAGAGTAATATAAACACATTATTAGGCATTGTAGGCAATATTGCTATATAGCTATGGCATGCATGTAATACCAACATTGCATGAACCTTTAAATGAGACACACGTCGCCCGCTGTGGGCAACATGATTTTAGTATATTGGCAAGTAAATAAATTATGACAGATAGCGATGACTTTGTTACTTGATGTAAACCATTCTTTTATGGCGGCCTGTGTGTATGCATAATCATGCACCCGTCATGGACAACATTTTCATGTAATATACTGGAGAAACTGGTTTAAATTAAACCTGCCATGTTACCATCTTGAACAGGTCTTTGTAACCACACCCATGCAGGAATTAAACAATAAAACATTTATTGTAGTCTATAAATATCACTGCGAATAGGCCAGTTATTCCGGCGTGGATCACAAGATCTCGTCTGGGCAATCATATGTCTAAAGCTAATAAAAGAATGCTTATATATAGACAAAAATATAGCAATTTAACTATAGTAATTATAATTATAAGTTATATAACTATACACCTTTTTCCTTGGACTAAGACCTTTGCAATAACATTTTACTTCCCTAAAGCTAAAGCTATAATCAATGTCAGGAACTCGAACGGGGTTGGAACTGTAACTATAAATATTGCTTCAATCAGCGGTATCGAGATGTCGCACAACTCGTATGTTTATAAACAGCTGCAGGGTTTGAATTCGAGGAAATGCAATTGCAATTCACTATCCAGTTTTTTTTATTTCGCAATATTCAGTTCGGCTGCCATTTTTTTTTAATAAATCAGTAATCTAATAAATCAGTAATCAAAATTTGCTATCGAATCTTTCTTGCAAAGATTCTATGAAAGATGTAATCAATACAGGTGATTCAATATAGTTTTATATAATTATATATTAAGGTTATCCTATCAAAACCTCAAGGAATTTTTAGTAGGGCCTTCGAGGAAGTCATTTTTTACGGATTTCTGTGATGCCAAACACCAAATCATCATCTCTCGCGCGCTCATAATTTAAGATTCATTGTTTTGATTTACTAAATCTTACTTTATCAAAGACGATAAAGTTTTATATATCATATTTCTCGCATTCGGATCTGTTCGTCCTCGTTCCATCCACCCACCACCTTGAGAACGCTTCTAGCCTTCTATACACTAATTGAAACATAGGTCTAAATACGTTTCTCTGATTGTAATTATTATGCGCGCGTGTTAAAATATGGACCGTGATGTGACAGCATCCAATAAGAACACCTGCATATGTACATGAGTGTGTAATACATGTTATAAGTTAATGAGTCATGTGAACTCAATTACTCAAGTGTCTGATGTAAGTGTTCTTGTGGCAAAATGCTTTGTCATTTATGGAAAACTATTATACATATTATTAAGCTCGTTCAAATTAAAATAATACTGTCAGGCAGCAGTGGTCTGGAATTAACGGCTATTCCTATATGGGTTGAGAGGAGCAAACTTAAAACAATTCAAATATAGCTTTATTTTGCATTAATATAAAGCATTCGTTAAATGTTGATGGTGGTTTAGTGGAACGAAGGTAAAAGCATGAGAACAAGAAAACTGCAACTATATAAGCATATGAACTAAGGTGGTATGGTACGGCAAGTATATAGTAATCGAATCTATATACCTTTCTGATTTCTGCGGAGACCACGAGCCTGTTTGAAAGTCTAAAAGGGGGAGGGGGGCAGCTGGAACTGAGCTTAAATCTCATTTTATGTCCCACGCAATTTTTTTTTTAACCGATAATTTATCCGTCCGATGAAAAAGTGAGGGAGGGTCCTGTCTTATACCTCGAACATTGCTTAGGCGTGGGACAGGGTGTAAATTGATGCAAACGTATATACTATATTAATGTTTTGTTAGTGCGGCTTTCTAAAGATTATGATACTTATCACTTATGGATATTCTTATGTTACAACCGACACCGCAATTTCTTTTACTGTCGTGCATCTTTTAGCTCGTGTATATACAGACGCCTGAGCATTGGCCATTGTGTTTTTTAATTTCCCTCATCTTATACAGAGTTCTACTTAATTCACACGCCAAAACGCGCCGGAGTACGCGATGTTTCCAGAAATATAAACTTTACTTCTGTCTTCGTCGAGACGCGGTTAATTTCGGGCTGACATTTTCTTCCTGTAACCGATGCATTTTTTAACTTAATATCCCGTCGCTAAGGAATTAAGTGACTATGTTACGTCAATACGTAGGTCGTTACCTGCATGCCCACGCCAGATATTGGTAGGCGAAAAGATATGACTGCTGCTAATTCCTGCGACACGTGCGTTCTAAATTCTCCGGTATTACATAAAAAGAGGTAAAAAAAACTAATAATATATTGTTGAAATGATAACTTGCGTTCCTCGGGATTTTGCTTATGATATACTAAGTTCGCGCATGTATGTTTGAACAGCGGTCAGGATGTTTACGGCTGTTTCTTCAGTTGATTCCCTTTACTGCATGCAAACACCTAAGCTAATGGATCAACATTTCACTCAGAGGGAACTCGTGAAAGCCGAAAGTAAGCGGAAATTGAACGGTGCGTTTCTAATTGTAATATATCAATCTCGCCGGCTGCTATTCGTGACTATTGCTATCAATGTTTCCAGAACAAAGAAAGTTAAAAAACCGAGAAACATCAAGAAATAGCTATTCCTGAATTCAGGCAGCATTATTTTACTTGAGATTATGAATATAATTTTGATCCATGCATACTTGCGGAATTGCCTGTAATACTCCGTATCCTTATTGCGGTATGAATTGTGAGTTAAATTACTGAAAGTGAAAGTTGTTTCGTAATATGCAGGTTAAATCCATACATATTTCAGGATGATTTGAAGATTACGTATACTCAGTTGCGATTAAGGATTTTTCTGATTGTCATGATGTAAACTTCCTGTTTCAGGTCTATTATTTTAAAGACAGTTATGAAACTGAAAAATATAAAGTTAAGCGATTTTAAATGTCAATATTGTTATGTATAGGCTTTGAAAAATGAAACTTTTTTCAGGAAAACCAACGAATTAAGTTTGTGAAACTGCTGATCGGTGAATTTTCTGCGCTCAAATTTCCGCCTACCTGTTATACCCCGTCCTCAAAAATTTTCCTCCAATTCCAAGTAAAACTTCCGGTTTAGTAAATTTTGATTCTAAATTTTGATTTTGACAGTCATTTGCTTTTGTTTTCACTACTAAACACAACAAAACCTGTTGGAGATGTCACGCTTCATGCATGCGGTACCGGATGAAAAGAAAAATAAATTTGGGGGGTTTGTTCTTAATCTGCCTGTTAGTTTCGATTCGAATCAAGGAGAACATTGTATTATACTATGTATATATATATATAGACTTGCAATATATGCATGTGTTTATAGCTAGACATATCAGAGAGCTTTCATCGTCTATAAGCAATATTCTCTCCTTTGTTCGGCTTTTGTGCATATTTATGCATCGGAACCATTCAAATTATTTCGGAAATTCTTCATTATATTATTGAATTTCTTTCATATTTTCTGATCATGCATATATACACGTGAACTGAGAATCAGATTTGGGTACGATTGCATGCACACGAATGAAGTTATATTTTCATAAACATGGCTATTATATATAAAAAGGTTACACTCAATTCAAATGAAACTCATTGAGTATAATAAAACTACCTTTAAGATGGTTAAGGATCACTTAAATGGATTTCCGCGTCTTTGTTCAGAAATTCTGCGACTAAATATACGGAATAGCCCAAAGACTGGCTGTTAACAATAAAACCCTTTATATAGGAAGTTGAACTTCCATGAAGGCAATACCTGCATGAACTGTAATATCTAATAACGCCGAATGAATGCCTTATTTCATTTTCCTTGTGTCAAGTTCCTGCCATAAATATAATACGTGGTAATGAAAACAAAATGCTGGAACTGGAAGAATACGTGGACTGGAACATGCATGCATGTGTAACAAACACAAATAGTCTTTGATTGTCTTGTTCTTCATCTTCGTCATGCGATTTATACATCCAGCCGTGAACTGTGTCTTTGGTTTTCGTGAATCAAAGTTTAGCAAGCACAGACGCAACACAGTCTTTTCTCAGTTTTCAAATGAATTGATAGTTGTGTTTTCCTAGATCATGCGATAAAACCTCTGCACTGAGGTTAGAGAGGGCCAGCTATTTTTATCATAACGTCATATACTGGACTGCTATCACCCAGATTCCAGGTTGCGTAGCCTCCAGGTTTTTGTCTGCCCGCGCCACAATCAAGCTATGATACGGAAGTTGAACCATATAACTTCCGTATAATACATAGAACATTATTTCATCTTCTTCCTTTACCGCATACTCTATAGTTGTTCTCTGTGTTTTCTAGAATACACTGCGACGATGGAATATCCTAACGAAGTTTCTATTAAACAAGAAGGTATGAATGATTTAAGCTCATCTTTGCCGGCAAATTTTACGGGAATAAAGATAGGCTAATGCGTCTTTCGATTTGTGATGATTCAGCGTCAGCATTTAGAACTATACTCTAGACTATATAGTTTGCTGATAAACATTCTGAGTTGTATTACATCGAAATCAATTTAGTGTTGGGATAGACTTGCTGCCGGGGAAATCTACTTCATATATAGACTCGCTAAATTCTCCGCCTGACTTCGTAGATTTTAGACAAATTTGCATGGTTTAAATTGTCATGCAGTATCAATTCTCATTAAAACTGTTCTATCTAATAAAATAAAAGTGTACGAAACTGGTGTATATAGGAGCCAATGATGATAAATATGTTTATATGATAATCTTAGCGTGATTCTAATTCACCATGCATGCATTTATTTATTCTGTTTTATTTGGCGAGAATACACTCCACGCTACAATATGCGCATGCACTGCTATTAGCCAATATACTTTAAAACTTAGTTTTCAATTTTGGCAGGTATAGTACTAGTACTAGTAGTGTCGAAATATACGTATTTTGAGTATTTAACGCATGACTTTGATGAAGTGAGTATATTACATTGTTAAACATCTTCAAAGTCGCACTGGCGTATCAAGCATGCAGCTTTGTAACGTGATTGAATCTTATTGAGTTTTGATGTTCCGTTTCAGTTACGCGAAAAAAATACACTTCCGTGATAGATAAAGACATGCAAACATGCACAGCTTTTCTCGAAAATTTGAAACGCGGATTGACTTTGATTGACATACAAAGTCCCTCTTTTTATAGTGATAGGAATATTTTACAACAAGTTATATATATGATTTAGAGCATTCGTGAATTGTTCCAAAACTGTTCAACAAAGATATTTGAGGTCCAGCACTTTGGGTTGGGTAACGGTTCCCAAAAGTGACTAAACCGGCACAGTGCGGAAATAGCGGGAAAATGAAAACGAAAACCCTTGCAAATATATACTCTATTATATATCTATACCTAATCGACAATAGGATTTTTATTTTAACATGCAATATACGTTGGCGTCGTCACATATTTGGATATCGAAATGACTTGACGGAAATGAAATATGAACGGGATCAAGTTTCTCATCAGCCATTCAAAAAGGCTAATTCGGTCACGTATCAATTTAACATCGAAATCACGTTTTTATAAAACCACGGCACGGACGCGGTTACTGCATGTAGAAATCTTAAGAAATTTCGTTTATAAGCTTTCATTAGGACGTCTGGAACTTGTCATTAACTATCGGATTTTTTAGTCCTGAGATGTACTTAGTTTTAAAAACTGATATCATGCATGTATACTGAAATAATTCTCTTAATCAAAATCTCTTAAGATTAGGGATTTCACGGGACATCCGCGACATCGTCTATATCAGGATGTAGTAAAATGCAAACGCAATGAACGAACCAATGATTCATGCAAACCTACTGCATGGAGCTTCCTGTTTTTTAAGGAATCAATGGCTTTGTGGCTCATTATTTCTCTGTTGTATTTAGAAGGGGGAGTAAAAGAGAAGCCAATCAAGCCGTGGACTTCGAAAAATGCTATTCATTTATGGGAATTTTTACTGGAGTTACTTTATGACAAAGAGTGTCAATCTCTGATATGTTGGACGAAAGCTGAAGAATTTGAGTTTAAATTAATGGACCAGGAAGAGGTCGCACGAAGATGGGGAAATCTCAAGCAGAAACCACGAATGAATTACGACAAACTGAGTCGAGCTTTGCGCTATTATTATCAGAAAAATATTATTAAAAAGGTAAGTTCATTAAAGGGCAAACCGAAAAAAATGACAGCCAGGTGGGTGTGCAAATTACCGCCTGGCATATTTCAAAACCTTAATCACTTATTGTCGCTTGCATCGTACTCATTGTTTTTAATATTTACTTGGACTTATAACAGCATGCATTATTAATGTAATTCCATATTTGATAGGTCAACGGGCAACGTCTCGTGTACAAGTTTGTCAATCTACCTCATGGATACAAACCTGTCAAGAAGCTAGGAGCAGCTCGACTTCGTCAGTTAGCAAATCACCGAAATGACGACAGCAAACAGGTTCCAGTTGCCAATGGCGACGCAACTCCTCCAACGATGGCGACGAAAACATCGGTCATTAAAAGTGTCTCAGATGTGATTAAAACATCTTGGGAAAATTCGCCAACCAATCAAGAAATGCTGCCTTTGACGCGTGAAGTGTCGCCATGCCATCGTGAAATGTCACCTAATACTCGGAACAGTCCGGTATCGGCTATCGCATTGTACGAACCGATGTCGACAGTTACAGAAGGGCATGTGAGTTCACCACCAGTATACCTCCAGCCAGTCACAACGCTTCCTGGTAGCTCGAAATTGTGTGCATGCTATCCATACACTTTTCTTCAACCAATCACGCGTGCGCTAGGTGCGGACACCGTGACCAGACAAACGTTTACCGTATTACAAACTCCGTGTTGTGGAAAAGTCGCCCTCACACCCTTGTCGGGTCATCCGGTTATTTTTAGTGGGGAATCGCCAGCGATAGCAGCGCCGGCATCAGTGCAAGTCACGAGGCCCGAAGGCCGAGCACAAGTTATTGAAGCGTAGGACTTTAGCAAGAAAGAGAACATGCATCGCATAGTCACGAACTGTAGTCAATAGCTAACTAAGTTGCACAAGTCATATTGAAGTTTAGCTTCGGCTGTAAACAGTTTCAAAGTTGCCGAAATCCTTGTCAAGTTTATTTAAGCATTTTGTGTAATATTGGTTGGTTTAGGTCACTGTGTGCATTTTTCCTTTCCACATTTCAGAGGTCAGTTTATAACTATATGAATTTTTGTTCACTGACCTTTTGAATATGCACTACACTACTGTCGCAGTGCAGGAATAAAAAGAAAAATTACTGATCAAATAAGCTAGGCCAGTATTATTACACTGAATATATAAAGATTAAAACGAGAAGCGAGTTACTGGAATGCACACTTAAGAACTATTATTCTTACAAAGCCTTGCTTGGTATAAAACGTCTACTGTTTGAAACTTCAATGTGATATTTGCAAATAATATGAGAGTAGAGTAAACTTAAGGCGATTACGATTAAAGTTAAAGTGAATATCAGCATATCAGATAAAGGTTAAAGTGAATATCAGCCAGTTCGGAGTTGATAAAATGGCAGTGCTCTCTTCAAAAATATTCAATAACTAGTTGCCCTAGGCCCCATGATTTCATAAGCTATATCTATGAAAGCCCAAACATTGATATTAGAATATATTTAGCTAAATTATTTATTCGTGACTATATTATAAATTAAAAAAACCTGGTTTTTTACTTTCTTTATGTATTTGTCAATCTCCTACTTAGAGTACTCCAGCCGTTTCTAGTTGTTTAGGCAGTTGACAAGCATCCGTGGTTACGCGCATGCGCAATTGCAACTTCGAACTGGCTATTGGCTAAGTACATAAGTAAAAACATAAGAGTAGTTGGTGGTAAATGATTAGAACGAATGACAAGGATTATGTATAGAGAAAGTCGTTAGCATTTTGACTAATGACCGTAGAACTACAGAAGTACAAACGGAGACGGTGTAAAAATTTCGGGATGCGACTACCTTCTCTCTTTAACCATTCCGTCTTTCCTCCCACCCTCCGAGAGGGCCTGAGTGCCCAGCTGACTACTCCCTGGCACATCTATCGCACAGGAGGATGGATTCCCTCGAGGACATAGTTGAAAAGTAGAGTTATTATTTATGAACACATGACAGCATTTATTCAAGTCGTGTTGAAATTACATTTTAGTTTTACCGTTTTATAAAACTTTCCGCTTTAATTTATTTTAAACAAAAATACACCATTAAATACTTGTAGAAAGACATTTTTTGCCCGTGTTACATTGTAGTCTACACTTGGGACAGTGTGACTTACTTTCCCTGCCTTCGTCTTTTGTTTGTCATGTAATTACCTATGAAATCACCTTGACAAATCATACAGGTATTGGTAACAGTTTCTACAGGGTGTCCCAAAAAACCCAAAAACAATTGAAATCACCTATTTTTAAAATTTGAATGAATTGTTTGCATTGCGTTGCTCGTGGGCATTAACACAACTTATATAAAATGTTAAATTTAAAATTAGTATTAGTGTTAGTGCTTGGGTTGTAAATTGAAATATTGTTACCCATGCATATCTGTAAATTGTAATTATTGGTAATAAGACTCATTTGTGGGTACAAACAAATTTTACTGTCATCATGCATTAAAATGCTTATGTCAAAACATTTATACAGTTGTGGGTCCCAACAGGGTGCTTATAGGCATTCAAACTCAAAAACGAAAGTGATTTAAAGAGCTTTGGATTTTTTTTTGGGACACCCTGTAGTTTAAGTACAATTATTGCAGTAAGTGTCAAGTAACCAAAAGACGGAATGGAATATACTCCTGTTATCAGCCCTGCTGTTATGTACCCTTTCACACCTCCCGAATCATGACGCCCTCATCACATTCAAGTCCCTGACCACTGCCTGACACAATCAAATTTCAATATGGCGGTCGATTAGTGTGTTGATATTTGGTCGAATGACTTGTTTTGGGCGAATATCTCGACGATTTTGCCGCAAATACCTAGTTATTAAAATTTAAAGCCTTGAAATGTGCCAAGCACAGCAGGCAAACCTCACTTCAACAACGTAGATTTCTTTCTTATAGTTCTGGAATCTCCTTTTGCACTAGTAGCCTCTCACTCACAGCAGGAAATATGACTGAGCGTTCAAAAAAGTTTGTTGAGGCTCTGAATTCAGATTTCCGTGCTTTATCAAACGAAACAAGAAAGAAATTCCATCCTGTAAAAGAGGTAATGAAAAATTTTCAAGATTATTTGAATATTTGAAACGTGTTTAAACCTAAAATGTTCTCAATTCTCACTCATGTATTTGCAATTGCAAATCTGACACGTTGCAAATATTTTTGCCATGTTCAAGTAGGCAATTGCAAATGTAGTTTTGTTTACATATTTTTTTTTATATTTTGGTTAGTATTTTGTTCTTGGGGTGACTTTTTGAGCAATGCTTTGTTATTAATGATATAAAAGTATTGGCTGTTTTATATTTGATTTTTTAATGAATAATTTGTTCATTTTGTTGTATATTAAATTAACACCCTATTTACTCTACCCCAGACACCTACCTTACTAACAGTAAATACAGAGGCTTTGAAAGGTGTCTATCTAAATAATATGGAAGACCTGGAAATTTCATCTTCTGGCTGAGCACAATAGAATATCAGACATGGTGTCTTTAGGGCTTCAATGATGAATTCTGTAAATCAACAAATAAATGTTCGCAAGTGAATTGCCCCATATATTTCAGAATTCTATTGCACCAACTATAGTTGACCTCTAAGTCCCGAAACAAGGGGCCAGCCAATACAGTGCACCAGGTCACCACCCTTTATTTCTACACCAGGTCACCACCCTTTATTTCTGCACCAGGTCAGTGAGGTCACCACCCTTTATTTAGTAAGCCATGCTAAATGGACATACTGAACCATTGGTCATGAAAAATTTCCTACTGTATAAAAACTCCCCCCCCTGACAACCTGTGAGTGCTGCCTCAACATACCACTGATTTATCTTATTTCTTCATATTAGGCAGCAGAAGCTGGCATTTTGAAACTACGAAATCTTCCTGCTATTTACCAAAAAGACAAAGACATATACCGAGGTGGGTCACACTCACATCACTCTATGAAATAGTTGGAAGCCTATATGTATACAACCCTATGACCCAGGTTTAATAACTAATCATAAAGTAACTTTTTTCTTCAGTTTTGTCAGAAGAAACAGAGATAATTCAACCTTTCTTACTGGGATGTGACACAAAAAGTCTTCGTGTAGTTCAAATATCTTTGACAGCATTACAGAGGCTGATCTCTCATCAAGCCATCTCAGAGGTATTCAATCAAACAAAATTAAAAAATATACATATATAAGTTTTTTCCCCTTCTTTTTAAAATATAATAATAAAGAGAATTAATATGTCTTTACATTCCTGATGTAACAGTTAACTCTTAATCAGACATCAGTCCAAAAATAGCACACTGTTCTTCTAAAGCACCCATTTAGGTCTCAGCACTCAAGTTCATATTCACAGCAAGAAGAAACAGCCCTAGTACCAAATATTATTTGTTTCTAATTTGCATCCAATTTTTAGGCTTCTGCGAAGAACCTAATCAGTACATTATGGTTGTTGATGGAAACTGGGCTGGAGGAGTTGAGAATCTTGCAAACATTGCTGTTAATTTTGACAACCACAAAAATTGTAGCTGGGGAATCATTTGCCAAGGTATTGCTTGATGTAATAACATAAAATACAGATAAATTTCATTCTGTTTAGTATATGTACCTTTGCCTATAAATCTGTCCAGTACTTACCTGAATCTGGGCTACTGTAAACAAAATTAATGGTAGTTTGATTTGATTTTAGGCAATAGTCTTGTGCTTTAAGTTATATTTCTTCAAAGATGTGACTATCAGTAGTACAGCAGCTGCAAGTGTTCGACAGATTGTCTCAGCTGCTTTTGATAGAGTTGTGTATGAAGACAATGAAGAGGGAGGTGTGTAGCAATATCAAATCAAACTTATCTTGTTCTCCTCTGGCCTGGCAACTATTGATATGTTTCTTACTAGAAGGACAAAAACTTCTTATTCTAGACAATGAACCTGAATTCAACCCACCAAGTCCAAGACATAAAAATTGTCCAGTCAGTCTAAGACCATTTGCAAGAGATGCTTATTTGTTATTTCAGGTAAAATAGTTGTCTGATTCCAAATATTAATTCAATTTGATTGTAATATTCTGACAATCTTTGTTCCTTGTTTAAGCAAACCAAAGGTAATAGTCAATTAGTAACCCATGGCATTGCATATGCCATCTTCTTTCCAGATGACAAGTTCAATTTTAGAACATAGGAGTAATGGCTATATTCGATCTCTATCTATGCTCTGTTGTGTAATATTTTAAAAATGTTCCATCCAGTGGTTACTTTATCTTATTACCAAGTCACTGCATGAAATTAGTTCTTGCCCAGATTGGTTATCTGTTTATTATGGCTGTACCACTGCTTCAATTCTTTCTGTATTTTACATTCCCAGGATCTTTGTCAGCTGACAAATGGTGAGCAACCATATTGGCTTGTTGGAATGGACGAAATGATGAGAACGTTTGGATTGGAATTACTGGAGAATGTTTTGAAGAGTTTTCCTAATATATTCCTAAAGGTTTGCTCGCTAATTCCTTAGATTTACTGATACATCATTGAGGGTGGATAGTCATATTTCTGATTTTCTCACTTAGCATCCTGAGTTCAGTTTTCTTCTCAAAGAAAGAGTGTGTCCACTTGTTATAAAGTTGTTTTCACCGAGCATCAAGTTTCGGCAAGGATCGGGAAACTCATCAGAACCACCTTTAGAGAAACCGGTTTTCCCTGTTTCTATGAGGTTATTGCGGATCGTATCGGTCTTGATAGAACAGTTCTACACGTTACTGGTAAGAGAAGTCTGAAACTTTTCAGAGACACACTAGCATAACTTGTCAGGGGAGGTCGGGTACTTCTTGGTGGGTGCCCGTACCTGGATCAGTCATAGGCATCATCACGCGACACGACCACACGCGACACGACTAGTTTAGCATGCTAAACGTGAACAACCCAAATGATCGATTCTTTTTAGAAATTGTATTGATCTTAATATTTTTGCAGGTGACAGAATGTGAGATCTTCCTCTCGTTGTTGGTAAAGTTCTTGGATATTGACAAACCATTTTGGCAACGTTCACTCGCTTTGGAAGTATTACATATTCTATGTCTTCAGCCCAAACTACTCAGGTACATGTACAAAGAAGTTCATTATTTCTGCATTTATAACGTGACCAAATAAATAGTGCGTCTTAATTTATCAGCTCAACTGATGAGCTAACCATTAAACTAAAATAAACTTGTATATGTAGTTCAATGGAGCCAACTAACAATTGGTTTAGAAAGACAAAAGCCACATCTTACCAATTCAAATTATATTTAAGATCGTTCTGTCAATACTATGACATGCAAGAACACTCGACCAAAGTCTTCCACGATCTCGTCAACTCGTTGGCTAGTTTCATCCAATCACTTTACTCCGGTGCTGGGCAGCAGACTCCTTCAGTAACTCCACCTCACTCCCCTTCGTCACAACCTCCTCCGACCCAGTCCACTACAGGAAATACAGCGGCTAATGGCGGTACTCCAGTGCCTGGTTTTCACTACCATGGCGTGTGGCTACCTCTTGTAAAGTTACCTTCAGGACAAGCAAAACCTGTCTAGTAAGCTTGGCTCAATTTCACACGTTTCGTATTTTTGCGGACACAATCTCTACCTAATCTTTATTTAGAATGTAGCGAACTAATATGATAGCATCAAATGTGGTATAACAACTGCCTAAATAGACAAAACACTTCTCGACGTTTCGATCTGAGGGCCTTCGCACTAACTCTCCTGACGAAGGCCCTCAGGTCGAAACGTCGAGAAGTATTTTGTCTATTTAGGCAGTTGTTATACCACATTTGATGCTAAGTTGTTTGAAGACGCTGCCACGCTGCTACTTGGTTATATTGGAACTAATATGATATTTTAAGAAATATAACAAAATATAGGCAGAGCATTTGTCAACATTACAGCTGAACATACGCTAACCTTGCTAATCTTATATCCTGTCCATCTAATCTAATTCATACTTTTTTAAAATTTTCCCGCACCTGCTATAGCTATATTTTTGGAACTGTCATGTCAGACGTCTATCCTTTGTGAGCTTTCTCGTATAAACAAACTTTCTCTAGCAAGTATAAAAAAGTTCATATGTTGCACCACTCGTATAGTACATGTATGTCGCGTTTTTATTTGATCTAGTCTGGAACAGTTGGATAGAATTCAAACTCCAAATGTGGCTGAAGCTTATGCAATGACCGTTGCCTTCAAAACTTTGTTAGCCCTGGTTAATAGCATTGATGTTCTTGTCAAGTCGACGATGAAGAAAGAAAATGACGCGAAAGTTGAGGGATGGATAGAACCGAATGAGGACGTGAAGACACCAGACCAGACTGGAGTTGGGACTGAAGCTGTTGAAAATAGCAATAATGAAGAAGGTTGGTTTAGTTTATTTTGTGGTGGTTATCCTGACGGTGAAGTATATATTGATAATGTTGAGTGGTATGTCCACTGTTTGTTAGTGGCGACGGATTTGATTTTATGTTGTTTATTCTGCATGGTTGTTTTTTTCCATGTTCTTTTAACGCTTTCGTTTATATTTTCATTTCCAAATTCTTTTTATTTCAAAGAAGAAAATCTAAACGAAGTTTGGAAACAGATGTTAAATTCTTCCTGGTGTGGTCTGCTTGCTGCTCTGTCGCTGCTGTTGGAAGCGAGGTAAATATTGGTCATCTATATAGACATAAAATGAGGCAAACTAAAATGGTAATAAAGAGAAAGTTGATAACATTTTGAAGGAAAACATTCTTTCAAACTCGTTAGCGGTTCTCTTCGAGAATATATGTTCATGCATATGTACGTAGCATAGATCGCTGCATGATTAGTGGTCAGTTTCTTAAAGGTGATTCTCCATTACCGTCCACTTTACCCGCGCGGGCGAAGTGGGTTTTGAAAATCTGCCCATGCGACCATGACCGGCCTGAAAAACAAAGCGCGCTTCGCCCGCGCGGGCGGAGCGGATGTAATGGAGAATCGCCTTTAGAGTAGAAATTAGAAATAATATTTGTTTCAAATTTCTCTTATAGTAACAACGAATCATCAACGGAAGGAATCTTAAAATGCTTTCAAATTTTATCAAACAGTTGTGGCTTACTTGATCTAACATTCCCGCGGGATGCATTCATTATGTCCCTATGTAAAGCCTCTTTACCATCCCAATGTTCCCTATCTGTACTTAGCGTTCCCTCATTGGACACGGCTGTTGATGCCAAGTTGTTACCGTCCCAAGATCCTGGGCACGCGGAAAAGCCCGGGGATAACGGAAGTGGGTTTCCGACCATGGTTGCGGGTATGGCGCCTGGAGCACAAAGCGGGCCTGTGACGGTATGTGATTGCGCTAATTTTGCTAAATAAATTATCCGCCCCCTTTTGGACACTTTGCAATACAATTTTAAAAACCTGGAACGCGAACGTCTGTGAAAAATGCAACATGCATTGACCACTGATGAGTTGCAATATTTGCAATTCCGTTCAAGTCTGAAAAATCTTATTAAGAACTTCTGAGAACTTCTGGTAAACACGTTGCAACTGGATGTTGTAACTCCCGTAGAACTCTGCACCTGAAACCCTGTTCAGTTTTGCAACTTCTGTTGTGTTACCTCAATGAATATCTATCCATTAATGTTGGTTAATTCTTTCGGAATTCGGCAGTCCTTTTTTAGTATAGACGTTTTAGTCTCTTGAGGCAAGTAAGATTTTCATCATAAAATACGTAAACAACAAGAATTTCCATTGAACGAAAATATTTATGACTACTCGAACCCAGAGACCGGGACCGGGGTATCTTAACCTTGTTATTATTACACACGTTAAACGATAAAGTATAATTCTGTATTTAATTCAATTTAGTTGTCTTCAAAGAACATTCGCTGTATGAGAGCAATTTTAAACCTCGCTCATTGTCACGGAGGAATATTGGGATCATCGTGGTATATACTGCTTGCCACTTTAAAGGTAAACAAATGTTTTCTTTTTCCACTTTTTTAATTGTAAAGCTGACTGATTATTCGTGAATATTTCGTTAACCTATTTTTCTTAAACACATTTGAAAACACATTTAGCTAAAAGATGCTTTCCAATGCGGACCTTTTGTAATGCTATATGCTAGTGTGCAGATATCATTTCATTCGTTTAGTTTATTTTTTCTTTTTATTGATATTTTCAGCACTTGACCTGGATGCTGGGACTTATACCCGCGGATGGAGGCAGTTTAAAATCGGGTCCGATTAACGAAATTCCAAATTTGGTAGGCTACAATATATACTACAATATGGAGGAAAGACTCGGGGTTTTTTCAATCTGACTTACTGTATTTACCAGGTCGTCAGTTCCTCTTTGAAAACAGAAATACCAGTTCTGTCCGCCATGTTGTCCAGGCTTTTTGAAAGCTCACGGTACGATAACCGCTAGTACTTTTTGATGAGAAATATCTAAAGGGGGCGACACTGTTTGCTTTGGCTGCATGGGGTCTCGAGTAAACTGCAAAGTCAACGACTTATTCTGTTTTACAGTATATGTATACGCTCTGATTACTTTCTGACCACTTCGGTCCAGCGCGATTGATTTCTCATCTTACCCACCTTAAATAATTCTCTGCATTTATTTTGTTGTACCCAGATTCCTAGATGATGTTGCCGTCCACCACTTAATCGACGCACTGTGTCGACTCTTGTCTGAATCTGCTGATCAAGCGGAAAGCAGCAAGGTATGTATACGATATTTCATACGATCCAAGAGTGAAGGCAAGGGCATTTACATACTAACAGTGTCATCAAATTCAGGATCCATCGTTATTTCCGATTGCAAAGCTACTGGAGACGGGCTTACATAATCTTCATAGAATACCTGTGCTGTGGAAACCACTCACTGCTCATTTACTTGAGGTGAACTTCTGTTTGTCCAAACTCTTTTTCATCTCAAACACGCAGTATACACCCATGGAGAAACGCGGACGCCATTGTCTTAACCTTGTAGATATTTTTGTTTTCGATAGGTGTGTCAGAGTCGTTATACACGCATGCGCGAATATGGTGCTGAGGCTGTGACGATGTTGGTTCGTGAGGCTCTGAATTTTGATCACAAACCTCCGCTTGTTGCAAACTCGGTAGGTGCAATAACAAAAATGATAAACTATGAGTCGAAGAGTCTGCTCCAAATTTATGTAATTCGATTTATTTTCTATATGTATTACGTATCTAATCTAACCTGAGTATCGTTGCATGCTTTTGTTTTGTCACCCCAGGCAAATACAGACAGGAAAAAGTAAAAAGGGCCTGACCATAACATCGTTTGTTGGTAACTCATTGTTTTTTAAAAGTTTTGAATATTTCTCTTTTGTTTCCACTTCAGCAACTCCAGTCCATGATCTTATCTCCACTACAAGTTATGTCAAGCAACAACAATGGCGATGTTCGTAATAGGCAGTTGGAATGCGTTCTTAAGGTACGGAATATTGAGTTGTGTCACAGTTAGAATAGCCAACAGCAATAGCATTTTTTTAAAAAGCTAACAGAAATCCTGGATTCCGTGTGGTACCATACATAAAAATATTTATTTGATTACGTAATCAAACAAACCCTACTGGTGTATACATACCCTTTCAATTACGTCACGAACAAGATACTAACCGACCCAGACGGTCGTCTGACGACCCGTGCTAGTTTAACTCGTTTATCGAAAAAGCTGTGTTGAAATTGTTGGGTTTGAATGGTTTAAAGTCAGGGGAGAGCAGCAATATAGAATTATCTTCAAGAATTCGTAATGACCATTTTAGATTCTGCAATCAAATGGTCAAAATTTGGGAACTGGATGGCCGGTTATTGTTGGTGTGGTTGGGGCGGCTACGAACCAGAAAGGGTATGTAAGGTCTTCTCTTCGGTTTTTATTACACTAATATCAAAGGAAACATGCAATAAATTTGACTTTTTTATGTAGTTCTGCTATAATTCAATCCGGATTTCAAAGTCTTCAACTTATTATTACTGATTATCTTCCAATGATCCCGCATTCTGATTTAAAACTGGTCATAGAGGTCGTTGGAAAATATGGTCTACAGCCCCAAGAATTGAATATCAGTTTAACTGCCGTCGGATTGTTGGTACGTCCTACAGTATATGTACAGTAGTGTATAAGAATTTATACAGGGGGTGATGATGATGGTGAGAGTGTCAGTGGTGGCCTTGAATTGTGTTTCAATGAAGTGTGAGGCAGCCAGACACCATTATGGTGATCGTGGAGTGCGATGGTGATGTCAATGGATGGGGCTGATGCTAGTGTGACAATAATCGTAGAATTAAACGTTGATTCCAATGAGTGGTGTCTATTAGTGTGTCTGATAGTGATCGTAGGCTGAGAGGGGGAACCTCATTGGGCGATACTGATGCCAATGTGATACTGATTGTAGAGTGTTATACTGGACCGGTTTCAATAAGTCATCCTGGTAGTAGCGTGATGGTTATTGTAGTATGTGGTGATGTTCGTTGGTACACACTAAGTTATGATCTTTTTCATTTTCAGTGGAATATCTCGGATTTTCTTAATCAAAATCGCGTCACCATTCAAGAGGCTTTGGAGCAACAGGACACCCATGCTTCCGAACCTACAAGAGACGATCCTGCACTGCCTGCTTCTGACCGCCTGTGGATGGCGCTGTATTCTAAGATGGGTGAACTTTGTGTTGATCCCAGACCTGCCGTCCGTAAGAGTGCGGGTCAGACACTGTTTTCCACCATAGGTGCGCATGGTTCGTTGTTGGATAAGGTTACATGGTACACAGTGCTTTGGCAGGTATGTTACTCACTGTGGGCCATTAAAATGACTTCTTTCCCTGTGACACTTTCGTCGTTCAGTCAATTTGGATTCTTGATTTCAAGTTGTTGAACATTAACCAGCTTTTGTAGAATAATACATTTTAACATGAATAAACTTTAACTTTTTTTTTAAATTTTAACTTTTATCCCTCCTTCCATCCTAATGACGCAACCGCGTATCGGGTTGTGCTTTCATTTCAATCAAGAATATTTTCCATATCTTTTCTTGTTAGGTTCTCTTTCCTCTACTAGAACGCGTCAAGAAAATGTCGAGTTCAGCCGCTTCAGTCCCCCCACCAAGCGACACGTCCACACAAGGCAGGATCCTCATGCATCATTCACGTGACACGGCCGAAAAACAATGGGACGAGACACGGGTGTTGTCTCTCAATGGCGTTGCGCGCGTTTTTAACACGCGACGCCAACTCCTCGCATCACTGGACGAGTTTCCAAGAGCCTGGGCTCTACTTTTGGAGTTCGTTGAAGCGTCTGCTTTAAGCAAGTCCGCTGAGGTATCGCTGGCAGCACTAAAAAGCTTCCTTGACATTGTACAAGATCCGACACCCGACGACGAAGTGAAAGAGCCCGAAGCCGTGTTCAACGAAAAAAGCGGGAACTTTGTTAGCAAAGGTCGAACTAAACTTAAAGTAAAACCGAAATTTTGTGAAGCCAGTGAGGATATAAATTTATGGGTCAACGCTTGGCGTGTCTGGTGTAACATCGGCATAACTTCTACCTCGTCGACAAACACACTAAGGGTTAAAAAGGACTCGAATGGACAAGTTGTAAAATACCGCGTTTATCCAACTCAATCCTTTTTATCCGCTTTAATCGACGTGTTTCCTTATTTATTCCCACGTATCTACTCGCGTTTCGGACTTTCCGATTTGCAAAAATTATCACAAGTTTTAGTTAGTTCGTTGAAGGTGCCCGTGCACATAGACTCGGCTCCATTCCTAACAACGGCGCATGACTCTGTTTTGACGTCATTACAAGTATCAATTTCAAATGCTCTGGACATGCTCCGCGAACCAATCCCTGAGCATGGTTCAGTATTGGATAACCAATCACAGCCAATGTATCCAACGGTTTTTGCAATGTTACTTCAAGTGGTAAACTTTGCCTGTCATCCTCCGACTGTGGACGAGACGGAAGAAGGTGTAAACAGGAAAAGGGACTGGATCATACCAAGTCTGGTGCCGTTTTCTGAGAGTTGCTTGGAGCGAGTGGCGGACTTGTACCAAGTCTGTGCGGACAATGAGAGTGTGATTCAAGATCACGTGATATTTAGTATTATTAAGGTAGGCATAGGAAGGAATCGTTCTCATTAAAGAAAACCAGACGGTTGTTCAGGTTTTCTCTGGTAGTAACTCGGAAGCAAAGCTGTTCTTCTCTAGGAAGAGTGGATAGGTTTATATTCCATTGTAAAAAGACTCAATCTAGACACCTAAAGATTCTTTGCCTGTATTTCTCAGAATGCTTTGTCTGTATTTCTCAGAATATGCTATTTTAAGATACATGAAGAGACAAAGAAATGCAATTTTTGGGGATGTTTTCCCTCTTTCTGTTTTCATTTCGGCTCATGATTTGAAATAATGTAATCTTATTGTACTTATTATTCGTAACCATTTTGTTTCAGACATTGCACGATCCGCTGAAACTAAAATACAAATGCCAACGACAGACGACATGGAAATTGGCCATCAATTCACTGATAACAGTCTTAGAAAAGAGCTTGCCTGTTGCTTATAAAGACACAAGAACAGGTTAGTTGAGAGTACATATGAACATTAATTTTTGTTTGGTTCTTGTATTAATAGAAATATATAGTTGCATGTGGCTAGTGTAATTAATATATCGCCAGAGAAACTTCCATTTCCATATATGTCATGCCACTCATCGATAATACACGTGATCATGATTATCCAATAAAAAAGTGATATTCAATGTGTTAAATTTTTGTAAAATCAAAATCCGCACCGCGCAACTGCATTTGTAAAAGCAATGTCATTGATAAGCAGAAATTTGTCCAATGAGTGACTCGGGCTATGAAACTGCTTTCAGTAATATTTCGATAATTTCTTCTTAGAGTTGTTTCATTCCATGTGGGAGGAACTCGCTGCATCATTTGAAGACTTTCTCTTTGCGACAAGGTTTGTAGTCGTCACTTTACAATATTATAAAGAAAATTGTTTTCAAAATGCTATTTTTTTATTTTTCCATTCACAGCAATCCTCCTGATACCCAAACATTGGAAAATCATTTGAGTGACGAGCAACTTGATCTTAAGGTTAGTACTGTAGTTTGTAAGGTGCAAATTTCCGCTCGTGAGGGAAGCATTTGTAAGAACTGCTCAAATATTGATTTGCTAAAATCTAGAACCATAGGCAAACGGCCTCCAAACAATTGGCCTCATGCAGGATTATAAGAACTGTTCAAATAGCGATGTGCTAAAATCTGGATTGTCGATTCAGGGAGTGACGGAGTTGCCTAAAATTATACTTTACCTCATTGATCCTAACAAAACAACAAACATTTTTCACTCCCATTTATCGATCTGCTCGATTCTCTGAAACGTTTTGACAAGACCTATAATAACCAACTTCTACCATTAGAATTCTTCCTCTGCAGAAGTAAACCCAGAGCAGCATATCTAATAATGCTGGAACAGACCTTTTCAGCTTGTATGGAAATTAACCTATTTCAAATCGCATGGTCTGAAATGGCGCATGGTCTGAAATGGTTAAGTTTTTTTTGGCTATTTCACGGTCACAACATCTGAAATGGGTTAATTTGCATGCAAGCTGAAACGGTCTATTGTAAGATGACTTATAAATTATTCGTAAAAGCCAGTAATTCAACTTTTTTACATAGGTACTTCACGTTATACGTGATGACATCCTGCCGCACTCGCATATAGTACCACGTGATTTTCTTTCAAGAATAATGACGTTATTAAACAAAGGCTCCATTCATTCCGCCACGAACTCAACTTTGGAAGGTAAAAAACAGAAATATTGAAATTTGACGACCCAAAAATGCGATTTTGTATGTTAAATTATTGGCGATGAAGCAATTCATAATTCATTTGAATGTTTAGGTTTAGATGGTAGTAAGTTTCCACTAAGAGAAGAGTTTGCTAAGACATGTTTCGAAATTCTTTTGGAATTTTCCTTTTCAAATGGAGATGCGAAAGGAACTCAGAAAGGTATTGCATCCGATTCATCCTGCAAAATATGAAATAGTTTCTGTATGTATTTTCAAGTTTATAAATCTCCTTCCAGATTGTTACATCACTTAACGTTTTTCTTTTTAGAAGTGAAAGTTTCCCAACTGGCCATCGACTCTTTGCTTGGCCGCTGTAAAGAGGTTCTTTCTAAATACAGTGAGGATGATAAACTCGGCGGGAAATGTCCCTTACCAAGGTAAAAAAGACCTTTGTGATACCTGGTATCAACACGAGAAAACGATGAAAAATCAGACAATCAATTTTTGCCCGCATCCCCTGAATATGCAATCGTAACATTTTTAACATCGGGAAGTGTTTCCACTCTAAATGTTCAACATTCACCAGCTTACATTAATTTAGACACTGCCTGATTTAGAAGCATTCTTGTTTTTTTATTTTTACTTTAGTTTATGATTTACACTGCACGATCCGCGGAAACTAAAATAAAAATAGCAACGACAACGATTGGCATCAATTCACTGCAAACAACCTTAGGAAAAAAGCTATATTACGCGGCATTTATTTGTTATGTTCTTTTATTTCCAGAACTAGAATGGCTGAAGTAACGTTCGTCATAAAAGCGATGGCAACCTTGGTCTCATCTTTGAAGAAAACCTCAAATTCTCCGTCAAGTAGCTGTAAAGGTAGGTCCTTTGCACCGGTGCATCAAGAATTTGCTACAGTAACGTTATACATGAACCCTCTCTTAAACGAATAAGTCAACCAGCTTGTCATCAGATCTGAAAGGTAACAAGCGTTATATTGTAACTCATTATGTCACCAACTGAGCTGAATACCTCTTAACTACTCATCCAATAGTCCTTTTCAGCTTACATGCAAATTAACCCGTTTCAGATGTTGTGACCAAGGCCCTTTCAGACCATGTGACTTGAAATGGGTTAGTTTGCATACAAGCTGAAAAGGTCTATTGAAAAGTTCTAATTTATTAAGTTTTACAGAATTCCTTGATATGACCAGCAAAAATATCTTAAGCTTCAGACTATGAAATTTCCCCCCAATTTTTTTCCAGTGGATCCCAAACTTTGGTCGCAAGTCGTCGAGATTTATCCGTGCCTCGTCGATTGCATTACGTGCAGTTCCGATGCCGTACGAGAGGCTTTGAAACAAACACTTTTCGAATTTAAAGATCTTTTACTGCATGAGCCCAATAGCAAATCTACGGAATTTATTCATCAATGAGATCCAACGCAAAGGCACAAAGTTACGCTGTGAAAATATGTCTCCTTGCAACTTTCCCAAGTTGGCAAACAAAGAAACAATATTTAAATTAAAGTTCAGTGATTTACGCTAAATCTTTATGAATTCAACATTAACACCCCGTATCGCAACATTAAGATTCACAAGCACACCCACAATATGTACGCTAAAGATGCCTGTGAAGTGAATTTCAGGAACCAGTTTGTTGTTCGTAGCCGCTTTAGGCTGGATAGCAGAGAGGCGAAAATAAATCGATCAAGTTCATTAAATAACCACAGTTTGCAACAACACATTCAGTGCTTGCAGTAATTACGTTAAAGCATTCGCAAAATGTGTAAAACTGTTACACATTTTTTGTTTATTCACCCTATAACGGTTTCCGAACAACTGTCTCCAGGAATGTAATGAGAAAAGGTTATACTGATAGGAATTATCATTATATATAATATAACCAAGCCCGCGATGTGTGGTTCTTGATGATTTGATAAAATGAATTTGTATTCCACGTTTCATTTTCTCAGAGCGCATGTAGTTAGTATGCGTTATATATATGCGTGACAAAGAACCTCCCGCGGGAAAAATGTGCAGGAAAATGTGATTATTCTCCACCAGAAAACCAGTAATACTCATTTATATCCTAATAATTCTATATTGAATGAATGCTTGATATTATACAAAATAATTTTTATAATGAAAATAATAAATATAATTATTTTTACATCTTGCAATTAAATATTTACATGAAAGCGATGGCAGTCGTGTTCAGAACACTTTTTTAATAGTCTGCCGTGTTCAATTTCCTTCGGCAAAAATGGTATTTGTCAACCATTTCCAAGCTTGTTTTTGTTTTTCGTGGTGTTGTGTTGCCAGCAATGCAGTTTTGAAAACTTCATTTATACCATGTTTCGTCAAAGCTGAACATTCTCTAAAGGCAACTGCCTTAAGTTTCCTTGCTGTTTCTCGGCCTTCCGACGTACTGACCGGCCTTTCTTCGTTCTCCGAAAGCTTCCCGATCTTGTACTGAAGATCAGTTTTATTGGCCACCAAAACGATCGGCACATCTGGGCAATATTGCCTCAGTTCAGGTACCCATTTTTCGCAGATATTTAATAAAGAGTCGGGACGGTCCACCGAATACATCACGACAAATACCGAAGCTCTACGATAAAACATTGGCCGAAACATTTCAAAATCCTCTTGTACAGCGGTGTCCCATAATCTTAGTGATACACTGTGTTCTCCGAGCTTTACTTTCTTAATATGGTTCTCGTAGACTGTCGGAACGTAGTCGGTCGGGAATCGCTTTCCCAGGAAAACGCTTATTGTTGAGGTTTTGCCGCACATTCCATCGCCGACCACGACTATTTCTTTCACGGGACTCGTCATATTCTATAAAGTAGAAAAACTATATTTAGAATGTTGACGCCATACTGCCTTAATAGGTAATCGTAATGTCTTTATTTGGCTTCCTTAATACGGATTTACAAGTAAAGCCTAAAGGAGGATTAACATCAATATCTCATGACGTTTTGTTCAGTATCCATTTATTACGTCATTGCGGGTTTCAATTATATTTATGTTATCCAAGGGGACTTGACATGCAGGCTACCACAAATTATTGTATTACTTCTTTGATGACCAAGATAATGGTCACGTGTCCCTTATTGTTTTAAAGATGTTAAGATATTATTAATATTATCAGAATTATCGACAAGGATTTAAATGAGTTAAATTTAGTGTTGTAATCCTCACGCTTAGCACAAACTAAAAATAATAAACGTATAACAAAGCGACTTAATACTCTATTGTTAGGACAACGGGGCTAGCCGGTTTAAATTCCGTGTAGTTTTTCTTAATGTTTTGATGAAAGAATAGGTTCGCTGAGCTGCCTGAGCATTGCCATTCAAACTAACTTTAATGTCCGTTTAGCACGGATAATAATCTCCGTTTCCCTAAATCTTTCGTAGCTAAACTATACTACCGTGCACCAAATATACATGGCTTAGCATAAGTGCCTTCTTATTACTGTTCATTATTCTTGACAAATTTGTACAATTTTTTTCGAAGCTGGTTAAAAGATTGCTAAAAGCCTGGAATTTAGCCAAGAGGGTCGTTATATGTTATATGCCCTCTAGCCAGTCAAATCGTACTCGGACGTAAGATGTCATGTGAATGGCCATTTACCTCGTTACCGATTAATGAATTAATGATGGTAGCATCCCACAAGGATCTAATGTAGATCTTTTCTATTTTTTGTCAATGTCAATGACCTGACAAAGTGACCTGACAAAACAAGCATGTACGATCATCTAGATATTAACTTTTCATAACATAAAAAACACATGAGTAGACTAAACACGTCTGTTGAAGCAGCTTTCTCAAATTTTGAGGTACGTGCCTCTCGACAAAGGCTAACTTGTGCATGTTTTGAAATAGTGTTTTCAAATAAGTGCTCTTGAAAGAGTGATGCACTTTATACACTTAAATACTACGCGCCTATTTGAACCCTGAAATTTGAATTTCGCACGAATAAATTCCTGTCGTGGAAAAAGGTCTTATTTGGGTCACTAACCAAACGAACTGCGAGCAGGCTGAGCAGCATAATCTATTGACGTGTGTTCGCGACTCGCCCTTCACTGAACTCCGCACATGGGCAATCGCGTAAAGCGCTACTAATAACGTTCTCATTGACCTTGAATGAACGGTCCATGTGCGCGTCCAGTCCATATATCAGTTCAGAAATCAATCCTTGTTTTTTACTTGCCCTGTTTCCTGACAGCAAAAAATACAATATGCCTTCCTATCTGCAATATCTTTCAATTCATTTGGTGAATTGCAGCTGTTGTTGACAGATCAGACCATTAATGTATTTGTATTACATCATTGTTAGCATCATTACGGGCTGCTTTTATTGTTGATGGGAGATTTAATCGAATTTTCCTGAATGAATAGACTGAATATAGTCTAAATGAAGATCATTGATTTATGGTATGCATTCGTGAAAGATGGTTCTTTTTCAAAGATGATTGTTAATGAAATACTTAGTACAAATCTATATTCAGCTTCTGAAGTTGCATTCTTGTTGGCTACTCTTAGTTAAAAAACTATATGTAAATTTTAATTTTGTTCGAGTATTCACGGCTAAAAATAGATCGATCCCAGCCATTCTACAATTCAAACTTTCCATCTGGCTTTGTTTTTACGCATTTAATTAAAATATTTGTCGTGCTCTGGTTAGCTTGTGTTTAGACCCGTGCGCTTCGTCCGGCTGCTGCGCGACAAGAATAGGGCAGTTTCGTCTAAAAATTATCACGATTATCCCTAAATTTGCGCCTTGAATTATGCGCATTCATTACAAGTAGATAATCAAATGTACGTCGTCGAATAATATAATTGGAAGCAAACTGAATATATTCATTAGAATGAAGTATACTAGTATGGGGATATTTTCTAATAGTCGATAGGGTAGAAAGTTTGGGTAATGAACGGCTGATACATTTTAATGTAGCTTTGTATTAATTCAATCCTAAACAAAACTAGCCTAGAAGATCTAACGAAGCTTGTCTAAAGTTTGGTATAGTTTAAATCGATTTTATATAATATACCATGGTTGAAAAATTATGAGTGATCACTTACCATTTTAAATAATAATTTTCACAATGTATCTTTTAATCTTCCTTTGGACTTTAAAATTGCTAATTTCAAATGAAACTCTCTGTCCACTCGCGACCTGTCAGCTCGATTTGCAAGATTGGTTTGATTATTGAATCAGTTCATTTGAGGCTTTATAGATATCACACTCATCTCGTTTTCCGCAACAGGTCACACGTGTGTACACGTCACGTGTCAGGTTGCTGGATTAACTGGCTTAACTCTCACCCCCGCGTTGTCAAGGTCAAAGCACAATCCAAGTGTGAAAATAAGTTATTTGCCACATTTTCCCTCAGGGGAATTCTTCCCCCTCATTTGGTAAAAAAAGTTTATTCAAAATTTTTACCAAGCATGCTGATAGAACTCCATGTATTGAGTATATGTTTGTTTCGATGATGTAAACCCTATAACTAAATTATGTTGCTAAGGAAATGCTGATGTTATCTCGACTACTGTGGTTGAAAGAGTTTGTCTGTAATGTTTCTAGTTTTTTCCTAGGTTACATCATTGATCGGTATACACCCTTTTTATTTATTTATTCGCCAAGTCAATTTCCTGTTTAAAATCCTCACTTTTCTCATTTAATTTTCTTCTGAATTTTACCAGAATTTTACTTTTTGAATTTTGCCATTGCCTTTGATCTGTGATCGTATTAAAACGTCTGTAGATGTGCACGTTTCACAAAAAAACAAAAAAAAAAAAAAATGTTACTGCCTTTCAGCTGTTTTACATGGTCACATATATATGAGCATTTAATCATTTTGTAGTTGCACCAGCTTTAAGGGTTCTGTGGCTTTAGAATTAGACGCATTTTTAAGCCCACGCTATTTCTGAATTTAAGGGTGAAAACGAATTTAAGCTTATAGCATTGAAATCTCTGTATCTCATCGAGAGCAGGTAATGGGGTAAAATCAATATATTTATTGCTATTCAAACCGATCTCGTTCCCGGACTTTCCTGTAGGAGAACCGTGGACGGGGGTGGACGGGCAATTTGATACTGTTTCTTACTAATTATTCTTTCTAATTACTATTACTTCAATTTATATCGCGTGTATAGTATACCGCTCATCCCATTAGAAAAACCTAATAAACATGAAAAAAAAACGATTCGATACGTCGACAAATGAAGTGATCTAACATGCAACCTGACTGACACGGAATACCCTCGGCACGCCTACTTTGGATTGTTTCCAAAATTTTGGTCAAGACATGAAAATCAATAAAAATCAAGATATATGAGATATATCTGATATTGAGGTACATTGGAGACGAAAGTATACTATAACATTAAATCTATAGTATACTACATATACTATAAAACAAAGAACAGTCCACAGAGTTCCACGTATACACCAGCGATTTATGTACGTGCGGACTTCGCTCAACGGCAGATAATCGTTTTTGCGCAAATAATAATTCTTAGAAAGGCGCCGTAGAAACAATGGAAACGATTAAGGAATATTACCCTAAAAAACCAATCAAAACATTGTCGCATAAGTGGATTTATTACAGTAAGCAAGCAAGCTAGCTCATCGCAGAATATGCGTGGCGATTTTAGCAAGCATGGTCTGTCAGTCACGTCTCATATGAACTCTCGAATCTGATAATCTTATTAATTGCTTTATATGTCTCCCAGCCCACAAGTTCGGCAAATAAACATATAAGTTATACAACTTCCAGGTTTTGAACCCTGTACGCCCAATACGTGTTCTCCATTATTCAGCAGTTTTATTGCCAAGACTGAAACGCTACAACCGTACAACACTTGAGGTGAAGAGAGAAAAATTTAACCGGCAGACGCTTATTGCTGTTTACCGCGCGCTACAAAAGTAGTCGTGTTAGCTGAACATCTCATCAAACAGTCAATGTGGATGAAAAAATTTCTTTCAATTTTTATTCATAGCCCTTATGATTGGACTTAACATTCGATGTTGTCACCCCCCTAGCTACTTTTCCCCGGCATTCATGACCGGTATGGCATATGTATGGTACTCAGTGCAAAATGTCCAGCGATATTTTTTTGCGTTTGTTGATCATGATTGTGCCCACAACCGCCCACCAGTAACAAGACGTCATCAATAAAAAGTGGCTGTTCACTTCAGAAGTTATTAGGTTGGTCTTTGTCACGTATATCAGCATTGTGTTAAGCTGCTTTAAGGCTAGTTTCCACTCGGAAAAATTCTCCTTTGGATCGGAACGGACAGGAAGGTTTCCTTTGTCGGTGAGTTCTCAGGCGGCGTTTACACAAAGGTCGGAAACTTTCCTGTCCTGTCCGATCCAAAGGAGAATTTTCCTGAGTGAAAAGTAGCTTTTATTTTCATTGAATAATGCATACATGACAAGCATTACAATTCCCTGAAATGGAGGACCGGCTGCGCATATGATTAGCTAAGAAGAATTCTCAGCGCTTCTTTACTTACCTGTATTGGCCGTCGGAGAATTACAAGAAGGAAAACAAGCAAACTTTGAAAGAAAATACTAAATATAAAAGCCGAAAGGGCAAGATAGGATTTTATAAGAGTAATCAAAGATTACGGTAAGGGCGTTCGGTGGTTCGGCCAGATAGATTCCTGATGCTTTGATAAGCATCCTTGTGTTAAACACTTCGAAATAAAAAAAAAATGGAAAGCACATGGAAATTGGGACGCGGCACGAAATCGAGGCAATTGCAAAAACACAAAAGCGAGGCAACTTAAAAATCTCAAAGCGACACTGACAATTTTGACGAAACAATTATACTAAGAGGCGTTCACCTTTGTCGAACACAATTATAATTTTGACATCAAATATCTGCAAGTGGTAAACGTATATAGGGGGGAAGAAAGATTTAATTATCCTTTCGAAATCTAATTTACATCAATATTTACACATATACATTATATTATTTAAAAAAGGTAATCTTGTTCCACGTAGGCATAACAAGCCTGCCCTAATTAACCAGTTTTACAAAATTATGTTGATGTAAAATTTAAAAGTTAAAAGATAAATTGTCACTATAAAAAGGTATTCTTGTTCCACGTAGACATAAACGTATATATATTGTTATTGTTACTTTTCTGCTCGTTTCAGTTTGAATCAGTATTTTGCTTGAATACTGGCGGTTAAAGCAAAAAACCAGGCCCACAAAACTAGCGCCGGACATTAAACTTTGGTTTCCGCTAGCGACATCTAATTTGTTTCACTGACACTGAGCTTTCGAATAATCTGCCTTTGCCTTTTTCCCACCCACGGCCACGTTACCGTCGGGAAAACATCAAATTCTTCTAATATTTGAAACTTTTACAGGTTAAATCAGCATTGAATTCATATATTTACCTCTATGGATTTAGACTCATATCCGTGTGTGTGGGTGGATAAGAAGCGCGTGACTGCAAAGCAGCACCAATGCTTTTCACAAAAAGTTAGAAAAGTTTTCTACGACTACGTGACCTATAGTAATCTGCAACTACTGTTAGCTAAATTTCAGTCATTCTGAGAAGGCTGTTTTTGCTGCCTACTAAAATCCCACATACTGAAGGTTAATTCCAGACCGCATCCATATCGGATGAGTTAAAATTTGTGTCCTGTGAAATGCCTTATATATATTTACGCAAGATTAAGCGGTTTAAGCGAACATTTTCTCCTGGAACCATCGAGCAACTACGCCGCAACAATAAAATTTTTGCTTGAAAATGCTGCACCGTGAGCTGCTTCTGTGTGTGCCATCTAACGGCTCTCAGAGTCATTCAGCTGGAGTATCATTCTCAGTTTATCCTTGCCCTTGGAAGAGCAGACGTAAAAATAGTGAAATGTTATGACAGCGCGTGTTTAATTAAAAAGGAAATAAGAATTAGAAATTATTACAGATCCCCACCAGCTCTAGCACACTAATCACATGATTCACATCAAGCGTGTTTATGCTAAATATATATATATATGAACTGTATACCACTGGAAATTTATCAGTTATATTTTTAGCAACGGATTGAAACAAAATTGTATTTAATAAAACCACAATGTCAAAGTGTGAAGTTGTGAAAGTATTCCATGCAATATAGTGAATTTGTATTATAAAAACAAGTATTTTGTTTATTTTTTGAATCAAATTCCTGCGTGTTCTTATATAGCCTTTTTTTATAGGAGGAACGCTTTTATGCAGCGAAATACTACGTCGTTTTATCACTTTTATGTATAATACATACTACTTTATAACGTTTACAATAAGTCAATAAGTCAATATGGAACTGCTTCTATAATACAAGGTAAATATTAATAAAAACTATGATCTCATACAAGAGCTGGTGTCCCACTCAGTCTCAGTATCGAATTAACTAAAGGTCAAGATGTTTGTTTTCGCTTGGATAAATATGTTTGAAACCACATTAACACCATTCTTTGAATTCCAAATTTCCCGGCTCATTCGTTTGGGATTACTCCATTTATAGCTCGCCGCTAGTTTTTTCAACCATGCAGCGGTGGCAACACATTTTAATTTTAAAACGGATAACGTACCACGCTGGATTTGTTTTTAGGATTTTCTCCATCAGACTCAGACACAGATGAAATAAAAATTGGACGATAATTCTCAATAAGTGTTAATGGTGTATTTAAAAAAACCAATACCAACCGAGAACCGACAATATTAAATTAATACAAAATAAAATGGGTGTTCCCCAAGCAATCTTCCAGTGCGTGTGCTCCTACAGAAACCCAGTAATGATTGAAAGATTGAAGATACGTCATGATACTCATTGTTTATGAAAATGTGTCGCACAATTGCAGTAATTCACCAAACTTGATTTCTACTGAAATTGTCCGGTCGAAATATTTCCCCTATAAACATTCCAAAACCATCAGGCAATTCTGAATTCCGTCTTAAGTTTATTTATTAAGTTGTTTGTTTGGGGATTTTCAAAATAATTTGCTTTTACGGTGGCCAGGATGAAGAAGAGCTTTCTCGTCATTCTGCGCAGGCGCTGTTACGAAAAACCGTTCTGTGCTTCCCACAATCATTTCGACTGTTCTTGTATATAAATTACATTCAAAACCAATGAAGAATTTTGAATGGTATTGAGCGATAGCTGACGTTTGTTGGCTCACGAGTTGCTAAAGTCTCGTGTTCATGGGAAATCGCTCGTAATTTTTAGAACGGGGGGCTAGCTATCGCTTGTGGTGTCCCCCACCTACATGTACCTCACCGATCTGAGGTCAATAGACTCAATACGGTATCCGAGGTATTACGTATCCTTAAAAAAATAGTATCATAAATAGCGTGTTGTTAGCTCATTGTTTGTATTTGCAAAGAAAGTATTGGCCTATTCCATCAGCAGGCCTGTTGCGAGTAACGAGAGAGATCTCCCCCTTATTTTTCTGATTGTCCGATTTTCTCCTGCCAAAATTTCATAATTATTTGTTCATTCATTTCTTACTGTTTTTTTTTAAATATCAAAATAGATTGCAATGTTTTGATATCAATATTTTAGAAGAAAAAAAGTAAAAAGGCACTGATTACCACTGAAGACAGAATGAAATTGTGGTTATTTCACTTATTTGTGGGTCAAAATCACCGAAGCGGCAATCACAGTTCAGCGGCAAAACATACAATTAAATTCCATAATTCCAATATGGCTTCCACAGATGGTGAGTTTTTTGTATTTTTTGCAGTTCTTTCGCTAGTATTCCACCATTTCTATTGCAATTATGTGACTATTTTATTCTATACTCTATCTCAGATGATGTTTTTCGAAAGCGATTGCTGATAGATGGTGAAGGAGCGGGAGATGACCGAAAAATTCAGACTTTACTTAAAACATTTCTGAAGTGGTTTAACGACACTGAGGGATCTGAAAATGACAGGTATAAAGTAAAGTACATTGACTTACTGTCTGAGTTGATCCCCCTCTGTATCACAGAATGTTTTTCGTTCTTTTGTGTCAAATGCATGCAAAACACGAAAAACAGCAAGGGAATTCTGTGGCATGGTTCAAATTATTGTTGAGTGTTGGGAATGATATTATGATTCATACCTTCAGGCCCTAGGGTGCGTGTGATGGGCAATATTAGCCTTTTTTGCCTTTATTCAATATAATACTTTCTCCACACTTGCTCCTAATGCTATCAATATTTTCCTTAGTCAAACATAACACACACAACCATCTGAATCCTGATAATAATAAGCTACTGATCTCTGCATGTATATGTGACAGTGATTGTAACCAACTCTGATATAGACAATAAATGGCAGTATGGAAAATAAACTTCTGCTATTGCATTTATGCTGTGATAATGATTATTATTAGCCTTAGCCGGTTAGAACTAGTAATAACTATTATAATGACCATAAATTTGACTGTAGTTTTCACTAAAAGTTCTATTTATTTTCTTATCTTATTGTAGGAATATTCTCTACAATAAAATGCTAATCTTATTGTCTCAATGTGACTTTAATATTGGTAAAACTTTACAAGTACATGAAATGAACCAAAGAGAAATGAAAAACTATAGAAAACGTTATGAGGAAATTGGTAAGAGATGCATGCACCATCATTATGGCTTTGGGAGGTCATAAACCTTTATTTATGACATGTCATATAGAGGTTGAATAAATTTTTCATTAATTTGATAGAAAAAAGTATCAAGGTGGCAAATGAACAAATATCAGAATGCAAGAAAGAGCTAGAAGAGGCAAAGACTATCAGGAAACATAGACAAGGTACAAGTTGTTGATGGATGTGAAAATGTTCACAATACATGATTAATATATAGGGTGTATCTAGTATATCTACTGTTAGGTAAGGTTTAGGTATTTTCTCAGTACTTTCTCTCGCAAACCTGACTGTCTTGGATTTGCAGAATATGACAGTCTTGCAAGGGTTATTGCTAAAGAACCAAACAGAAAAGAAACAACAAGGTAGAGTTTACCCAAAAATGTTTATAGCAAGTTCTTTCATGGATGGGATTGCATTATGTTGAGGTTCTTGTATGACTCATTTTCATTTCTCTAAAATTTAGACAGATTGAAAGCTTGGATAAAGAAGTACAGTCAATGAAAGAAACACAGGAAACTCTTGTTACAAAGGTTTGTATATAGTTAAATTAATTGCGTATGTTTCAACTAATCTGTTCATTGCATAATATTGTGTTATTTAAATCGGTTTATATTTACATGTTTATGTAGCTTGAACTGCGTAAGAAACAATTTCACCTTCTGATTCACACCATTCATGAGTTACAAGAAATGTTGGAAGGTAAATTTTTATATTTCTCTATAGCACATGCATTTGTACCATGAATATCATAAAAGTAGCTTTTCTAATTGCTCTTTGAAATCAATACAGTCAGTTGATCAAACATAAAGTGATTATGTAATTTAACTACCACTACACTCATGAATGCAGCTAAATGCATAATTTTGTTTTCTTTTAGCAGACTCTTCTAGCACCAATACAACAAAAGACATGCAAATTGAAGGTACCAGTGCTGATGTCATGGACACATCATGACATCAAAGATACATTGTGAGGTCATGCTAACCCTGTGGATAAAGCTGTATGTCATTGTATTAATAAGTGATACTCTATGGTATGCAAAAATTATTCAAATAGTCTAAAACTGAACATCAAAGCTTCATATTGTACTCTATGATTGTTTTTGAGGTCTAATTCAATGAATTATTTGATGACTCTCATAAACATTAAATCTCTACAAGGATACCATGCAGATAGCTTCAGTATATTAAAGGAAAACTATCAAGTTGTTTTTGCAGAAACGTACTGCTCATGCCTGCACTTTTGAATGAAAAATATTAATATCCCAGTACAAACTTCATAATACTTTGTCCCGACAATCACGTGTTATGTGTGTATCGTGCAAATCCTGTACAATTCAAAAAGTCGTCAACTCCTTCACCATCACTATACTATACACTATTCGAAAAATCACTATACTGAAAATACTATTTCTGCTAATGTGGAAACTGCGACCATTGTGCGTATCGTAGGCCTTGCATTATTATAAAGGGGTTTTTTAAGGGTCTTACGTAATTTCGAGTGGAATCATACACAACTCAATTCAAGCCAGGAACAGTTGAGTAAAATTAGTCAACTATCTGTCCTCCGGCAGGAATCGAGCCTACGCTTAGGCGATGCCGGTGCAATGCTCTTGCCAAGCGTAGATTCCCAGGGGCGGCGGAACATAATATATTTTAGGGGCGCTAATTTCACGAGGCGCCACCATGGTTGGCGCCGAGCGAAATTTTTTTTGAATTTCAATGCTCTAGATCTTCGGAAATGGCCATTTCAGAGTGTTACTTGCCACTTTCATCGTAGTTTTTCATGGGCAAACACAAACTGAAAACGGCACAGCGCGTGTAGTGATATCTCCTACATTTGAAAAATCATCTCTCAAATTCTGAAAATAATTTCCAAACAAAATGGCGGTCCGAAAATAATAACAATATGCAACCACGAATATTCTGCTGTTAAAGACAACTATGAAAGATCAAAGAAAGTCAATTTACATTCACTTGATCCGTATTACAATATAGGATATCTTATTAGCATTTAATACGCCGGCGAGCATTAATTTGACGACTTCGTGGTAACTTAGTTTGTATATTTGCTCTCCCGTTCTGGCTGTCTTCATGAAATTTTTTGGGGGGGCTAAGCCCCCCCACTTTTACTTCTGGGGGGGCTTTACCCCCCTAGCCCGCCCTGTTCCGCCGCCCCTGTAGATTCCTGCCGGAGGAACGATAGTTGACTAATTTTTCTCAACTGTTCTTGGCTTGAATTGAGTCGTGAATTAGTCCGAAATTAAGACCCTTAAAAAACCCTTTTAGAATTTAGCTACATCGAGTGAAGTTGATTTACTTGCACTTTTATGCCTATATTCCCACTTGCAATATTTGAAAGGCTATTATATCGACATTCTGTTGTCAAGGATAGACGCTTATGCCATAATTGATATTAATGTGCACCTGTCGTTCAAAAATCTGATTTTTCTCAACCACAGCCATTGGTTACGCCAAACGAACCTATAATGTATTTTAAAAATTTAGATGCATGCATAACCGTTTATATTTTGTTAAAAGATGCCAAATTAATTTTGATGTCAAACCAGTTAAGCGTTTTCACTTATTTAATTTTCACTTATGCAGCATGGCCGTTTTGGTAAAATGTGACATTTTACGACCGCAGTCTCATGCATTCGTCAAATAAGATATCAATGTATACGTGCATTATACTTCAATAGTAACTGTGATGAATATTTTTTGGATTCGTAAACATTATATCACGAACAAGGGGCTGCCTTGTCTATCCTGAAGCGGTGTACATAGATAACAGTTCGCCATGCAGCTTAATATATATACGATACTCTTAAGTGTATATCGTCAATCAAATTTACACCCATTTCATATGTAGGTATTTCCTTAATCCTTACATAGATATCGTAAAATATATATACGCGCATATTTATATTTATAAGCATAGGAAATATAGCTTTATAAGTCAGTAAAGTCACCTGAAAATCTATGCGCAAATTAAGCTGCGCTTAACAACAAGATGTAAATGCAATCTTCACAAAAGAAATCATTATTATTCCTATGATATTCAGTGCAAGTTACTTTATACATATAATTATGAAGAAGTTACACACGTATTTTATGCTATCAACTAGACTGAACGTATATGTAAACTCATACATGGATGCAGTTATCCACTAAAGTGTCTGCTCAATTTCGTGCCTACATTCTAATGTTTGACCAGAATAAACATAGCCTGGTCTATTAAGCCTGTTTTAAAAAGTGCAAAAAACTACGAATATGCAAGTGACAAATAGTAATTTAGGAGTATTAACAATATGTGCATGGCAATCCTGGACTTCTTCAACCAAGATTCCTAGGTCCTCTTGGCTCCTTCTTTTCTTTCTCTTCTTCTTTTGAAGTTTCTTTCGAACACCCCAAACAGCACTTCAAGCCACCACAAGTCTGTGACTCTTCATTTACCTCTTTTCTCACTTCTCCTCCTGTTTTAGCTTTTCCGTCATCCATAGTTTTCTTGTTTTTAACTTTATCGGTATAGTTACTGAACACTGGTTGAACTAGCAATGCTTTTGAAGGTTATTAAATTTTCAAGCAAATTTATACCCTGGGTTTTGATCATGAATAATTTAAAACAATTTTGTTGCACAATCTGTGCGTTCTCATTTTTTTTGAAAACAGGTCGCTGTCGGCAAGTATGTATAGGTTAATTTCAAGGAAGGACAAACAACGCGAGATATATTTGGTTTGTTTTTATTCAAACTTCAATTATATTGCATGTTATACATTTTTTCATATTCTATAAACATCACTGCACGTTAGAATATCCTTTGTTAACACCCAAAGGTATTCGCTTACCACAAGTGTAAATACAAACCACCGAAAACTCATTTCATGGATAAAATTGATGCATATTTTACTGAAAACTCATTTGAAACTGTTTTTATCAGAACCGTGGATTGTTTTCTGTGTTTTTGCGCAGTCTTCTGCCAACAACTTCAGTATCGCGGTTTGTTATTGAAAGGAATAAACGGAGTTTCAGAAATATTAATTTTGCATATGCACCACGCGCGCGCTTGTTTGCCACAATTAACGCGGCTGTGTGTTCGATTGCCGCGTTAGACGCCGCATTATTATTGAAATTGGTAGACCAAAGAACTTCACTTTCAAGATGACCGCAGAATAACCAGAAAAACACCACTTAAATTATACGGACATAAAATAGTCGCAATCAACAGGCCAATAAATTGGTAAGACTTGGCCCGTTGCATGGCAACCTCGTTCCCTGGCCGCAATTCTGAATAGGCTATATACTTATAAGCTTCAAACTTGGTGAGAAAATAAGATTTATAAATGCTTAAAATAAGCCTTGCACAAGATTTGAAGCTTGCATGCAAATGGCAAATCACAGCTATCAGACGTGTGTATAAATGATGCTTGAGCTGTCAAAAGATTGCAGAATGCGTATTCAGAAGAAAAATTAAACGTTTCACCCGTAAAGTTATTCGGTTTATTATTCTTTTATTTTTTTGAAACCCTATACCCCGAGAATAATCCCGCGATATCCGTGCATGACGCCTTTTAATTTAGAATTAAAAATATTTTTAGTTTAAGATATTATATTATTTTTATAAAGCTTTAATTGCATTTAGTCGCCTATAATATATAGTAATTAAGGTTTGTTTAATATATAGCTAACATTTTTTTATCAAGCCGGTTTAAATTGTTCTTTCAGAGAAATCCTTCCTGATTCAATAAAAATTTATTTTCCAATATACAGAACGTTATAACTATCGAAAAATAGAGAAACAGCGGGTTGAAACCCAGCGTTAACGCTAATGTGGCTTTGAACAACAACTGGGCCCGGCAGCCTTAAAAACAGATGTGAAACGCGAAAGATTTTTTTTCATTGGGGATATTCCTCTATCATCATTTATATATGCTTTGTCTCTGAGGTGTATATTTTATAGATAACATTACCAATGCTGTGTTATCAAACAGAATAATTGTTCGTGCCCCGGATTCATCTTTCAATAACAGGCAAGGTGGTTTATGGACACATTTCAATGTTTTATTATGCAGAATAATCATGCAATGCCAGCAATTATATGCGTGTTTCTAATCAGCATGCAAGTGCGAAAATCACTGAATTACAATTATGCAAATTATGCAATGTGACAAATATCATTCATGTTTCTATATATATACATTTCACACAAAAGTTGTGGAATTCTTTAACCCTGATTCCTGGCTCATGTTATTCTGCTCTTTTGGCTCGGCATTCTTTGCATGGAACCTCTTTGCAGCCAGTCTTCATGAAAAACCACCAGAGGTGACGCAGCATATGTTTCCTCATTTCAAATTTTTCCTGTCTACTCTACTTCATTCTACTCTATTTCTTTTCTGCTTTCATGCATTATTAGTTTGCTTTGTTTTTCACTAAATAATGTCTAAATTGCCAGTGCATGCTTTTAAAGTTTCACTCTAGGCTCATTCATGAATAATTAAGTAAATTATCAATAATTGATTTGAAAATTACTTTCACTTTCAACCTTTATCTCAATATAAAACTTTCGTGGACTAATTCTGCGTTTTTTGTTCTTTTTCTGTTCTATAACTTTTAAATTCTTATCAGCGCATGTTCTCAAATTTTCTAATATCAAATGGATAAAATGCATGTGCGTTATACACTTTAGTAACTCTGCCACCCAACAACAGGTCGCAAAATATATCACAGTCATAAAGGACAAACGGCGCCAGTTATTTTTGGTCACTTAATTGTTTTCAATACTGGGTGTCCCAGAAAAAAGTACTCCGGTTTGATTCATAATAGCTTCTAAACTAGCTAAGCTATTAAACTGAAATAACTTCCACTAGATAGAGGGAAGACTAACTTAGATTTTGATATATTACAGTTGTATTTTACTTAAAAATTTACGTAGATATCAATGTTCAAAATTGGTAGCATATTTCTTGATGTGTCCAAATTATGCAAAAAACGCCGTATCAAATATTAATCAAGCTTTTCTCAACTGAAACATGCACTGTTAGCAGTAAATAAATGACACTTGACAAATTGTTTATTATGAAACGAAGTATTATTAGTTACAGAAAACAAGGAAGATTTATTCTTCGGAATCGCGTGTCCCCCAACACGAATGCACTGCCTAGCCCGTGAGATCATTGCATCGAAGGAGTCATGGATCATTCGTTGTTCTAGATTACAGCATGCTGCTACGATTGAGTTGCGAAACTGTTCTAAATTCTGCGGTTGCTGATCGTGTGGTACATTCCAAATTTTCTGCTTAAGAAAAAAGTATCCCCAAAGAAAAAAGTCGCATATCGCATTATTTACTGCTAATAGTGCATGTTTCAGTTGAGAAAAGCTTGATTAATATTTGATATGGCGTTTTTTGCATAATTTAGACACATCAAGAAATATGCTACCAATTTTGAACATTGATATCTCCGTAAATTTTTAAGTAAAATACAACTGTAATATATCAAAATCTAAGTTAGGCTTCCCTCTATCTAGTGAAAGTTATTTCAGTTTAATAGCTTAGCTATTTTAAAAGCTATTATGAATCAAACCGGAGTACTTTTTTCTGGGACACCCGGTATAAATATATATTATACATGCACACTATATTATAATTACTGTTCAAATCATTACTGCACGTCTTTTTCTACGCATATATTTTACCAGCATTTTTAATGTCACAGCATACTCGCACAAACATACACATTCTTACATAAATGTACTGATATATTTCGTTGGGAAACGAAGAGTAGTACATGGACGCATGAATCATGCATTTACCATCGATTATGCAGCGCGCGCTTGTTCACCACAATTATAAGGCGGCTCTTTGTTCCAGTACCGCACCAGACTCGGCATTATATTTGAGACTGGTAGACCAAAGAACTCCACTTTTTAGATTACCGGGCGCTAACGGAAAACACTTTCAAGCATTAATTGCATGCATGCGTATTAAAATAAAAATAATTAGTTGCTCTTCAAACTGCCTGTATTGTATTGTATACAGGGAACGATTCAAATATACGAGCTGTGCAACTTTTATTTTTAGCGCGGATAAACAGCTGAACATGACGACAATCTTAGAGCAGTTTATAAAATATTGATAGAATAAGATATAAAAATGACTATATAAGACGAATATGACGAAAGGTCCAGTGTAATTCTTCATTTAGACCCAATACAGCTGGTATAACCTTTTATAATGCCTTGAAATAATCTAATATCAAATTCATTCTCTCGTTTCAATACTACAATGGAATAGTTGTTATCTTCCATGGCAAACTCGCCACATGGAAAATCATTATCCATCAATTGTAACATTTTAAATTTGACTGTCTCCGATAGTTTGTAGCGACTCGAGAGCCTCTCCACCATCAATGGATATTCGTCTCTTTGTATCTTTAAAAAAAAATATTATGTTTTCAGTACGATGCCATCATTTCAATTTACTGTTTATTACAAATCGGGGACACATCCCCCAGTTTGGAGTGGGGGGACGAATATCCAATTATCCCCCCATAGTTACATGCATGCATGTTTAATGGTAAAATATTAAGGCTATACACAATCAAATTTTTCATTGCCTTGCTGGATTTACTACTCGAAGCCTCGAACACGATCATTGGCCACAAACGTATTCACATTCGCTCTTTTATAACTGAATATAATGCATATCACAATAATCTAGCTAATATAAGTATATAACATTATTCATTTTGAAAGTTTGTCAGGTCAAAAGGTAGACACGCTTTTGTCTTATTTCGGCGGTTGCTTCAACACATTTGCATGATGAGAACGTTGGCGCTTTCTGGTTATATTATCATGCATAGACTATATTATTGATTATTGACTTGTACCTCGGATAAAACTTTCTCATGACGTTTTCCTGCGACTTCACAACCGACGCGTGTTTGTTTGTTCGTTTGTGTTCCAGCAACATCCTTTGCCACCATAGACTCTTCGTCTGATTGCTGACTTCTAAACGTGAATATATTGAATAGGGAAGAGATTGTATCCCAAATGTACGTCAAAACGTCTCCAATCATAATTTGTCGCCTTTAATTCTACTGCCTACCAGTAGATACGATTCGTAGTAAAATTTAGTTCTGTGCGGATGTTTGCTGATCGTGACTTTAAAGCGTAGTTAACTTATAGATAAATAATCCCGTTTGTATTTAGTTTCATAAATATCCAGAAAGTGAATTTAGGCGGTTTAAAGTAAAAATGAAATCAACAAAACAGGAAAGGAAAGTTCAATTGAAAACTAAAGTAAATATATATTTAAAAATATTGCTTCCTGGCGGTATAGAGTATGGACATAGTCTATATAAACAAGTAATAGTATTAACAGGGTGTATAAAAAAAAACGCATCATGATAATTGCTTTCTATTCAATCACAAAAGATCGAATATTCATGAATATTTACTGTAGTATGTATGGATGCGTTTTTTTTATACACCTTGTACTGTAGTTTGCAAACAGTCCTCCTCATTCGGACTCTTCTCACTATCTCGTCCATTTTATCCCTAGGACCTCCCTAGGACCGTACTTGCACACGAAACTGCACTACAACTTCTACTGTGTACATCGGTATATACATGCATGCACAATAAATATTTTCATTTTTCTTACTATCAATATAACTTAAGATACATCTAAAACGTTCCGCGCTTTATATGAAAAAGAAATCACAATGCGAAATTGCATGTTAAATCGAGTGTAAACATTGCCCGTTCAATTTTGCTGGCATTGTTTACCTTCAAATAAATATTGCATTATATATACGCATGCAGAAAACATGCATGCACATGCATGCAGAGATACTGGGGTTTTTGCTATAAGTATACATCTAGAGCAATGCCAGAGCAAATCTTCAAAAGCTTCGAGTATATTATTTGAAGAGTAAAGAATGGCAAAGTGAGAAACATGCATTGTAATGAATAATAAAGGTATTTTGTACTTTTATGAAAGTGATGCGTCTTCGAACGAAATTGATCTATATAGGACTATATATTTTCAGACCTTACTACCGGAAAGCCTAATAAGAATAACCTGACCATGCGATGTTCAAGATTTTTTTAACAATGAAAATGCAAGTTTTCAGTTTTTTTGCGGAATGCATGAAAGAAAATCGTACTGAAATTGATATACCGGTATTTTTTGAATTTGAATAATTTGAAAAACACGTGATAGTCCTCACTGGTTGTTGCGCGAGTATATAATTTGCTACAAGTTAGTTTCACGGGCGAAAGTGAGAACAATCATGGCAGCTACAGTAGCATCTGCAGTCAAGGTCGCGGAACGTGCTGTTGACGTTTTTTGTAAACTTCGAGAAAGTTTTAAGCTTTCAGCCGAAACAAGAAGGCAGTCAAAAGAATGTCAGAGTGAAATAGAGAAAATTTGTTTTAAAAGTTTCGACCAAAAACACTCGTGTAAAAGTGTTAAAGAAATTCCGATGGAGGAATTTGAAGCATTCGCAGTGAGGTTGAAAAAGAGGCTGGGTTTGTCTGACGAGGTTCATGAGTCGATACTTGACGGGTTATACGTTGGGGAAAACAACGAAAAGTTAAGTGAATTTCATTTTAAAGACGGAAAAGGCGATATTCATCACGGGCGGTTAATCACTTTGAAGAGAAATGGCAAAATGGATGTAGCATATGCTGTCTACACTCTGTCATTTGAACTGACTGAAAAAGAAACGAAACACGACTCGTGTGATTGGTGGTTTTACGTGTTTCCAGTTACTTCTACAACCACAGAAAAAGAAATTCAAACTTTAAACGAAGACGAAAAAAATAAATTTAGTCAATGGTGTGAAGTGAAATTGTATCATTGTGTTGTTGATGAATGTCCAAATAATGAGAAGTGAACAAAACAAATTTCTTGTTACATATAATATGATATAACTGCTTGCAAATATAGAACACGAAATAACATACACTGACATTATAGATCGAAGAATTTTTTTAATTATATGAGCCGAGGGGAGTTGGTAGGGTTGGGTTATATGTATATAGGAAACAATTGTATTATTAGGTCACGTAACTACGTACATTTTTCCTTTTCATAATCAACTTTTTCAAAATCTTTAGATTCATTTCCATGCATTCGAAAAATATGTAAGCTATGACACTTCTCTATAGCAACCATTATTGTCAAAATTTTACGAGAAAAAAGTCAAGAATTCAATGCCTATGATAAGTTTTTTATTGTTCAGTACATGCATGGTGTTTTGTACACCGTTATTGCTATCGTACGGTGCTACACGACTCCTAAGTTCATCAACTTTGTCAACGTCTGTTTATTTGGGGTCTCTATTCCACCCCGTTGCTTCGGTATTTGTTGGAGGTGGTTCATTTGGGTGAGGATACAGCGCGTATCCAGATGTCTGAGCTGTAGGTGCTGGAGGTCCCCCATACGCTGATGACACGCCTGAACCTATCGGTGGATACGGTGCTGTAGGCATACCAGTACCGTCGGGTGAAGAAGACGCAAAGCCAAAGGCTGGGGCGGTGGGTTGCTGGGTAGTGGGAGGATCGTAAATAAACCAAATACTGTGAACAAACTTTGCGGAAACATCACCAGCCATGTAGACTCTCCAACTTCGTGCAGCAAAAGCCTCGACGATATTGCATAGAAAGCTTCGTATGTGATACGCGTCGTTATTCAAGCTACCATTAAATGGGCACCCGTTCAGTTTGAACTGCCAGACGCTAACGAAACTTAAATTCGTAACTTTTTCTTCTTGTATTCCTATTGACCAACGACTTAGGAAAAGTTTTTTGAAAGATTCAACAAGTTCGGTAGGTATGTTGATACATCGAAATTTGTCCGCATCGTCAAGACTCAAACACATGATCGAGCAGTGCTTTGGTTCACGTCGTTGGAAAATAAGCACAGATTTATCAGTTGCTCGCCTTGAGATATCAATGGCAGCAATATTATGCCAACCTTGATTTAACATTGCTTCGAGAATCTTTAATATCAAATACCTATAAAATAATACGATGAATTCAGTAAAATGAATTGCGATAATAGGTTTCAGGATACCAGAGGGCTTTTGGCTTATTGATTCCAGATTTCCAGGTGGTAAATTTGAAGATGTTCAGTGCTCAGGAATGGGTCATGAAAACTAAGATGTATCACCTTGCCATCACTGATTCTTCTTTACAAGAATGCCAAGGATTTCCAGAGATCTTAAACTCCCAACTGCCATGATGATCCTTCTCCTCCTGTATCCTTCCATGAGACCAAACATTCTGGATGACACCACGAATCATATTCACTATACTCTCGGGAGCGCAAATAACACGTAAACTATCTGTCCTATACAAACTGATCGTGCAAAACTGCCCTGGCTGTCCGGCAGGCAGTTCTGGGTCATAACGAAACAATATCGAATCTGCCGTACTTTGAAGGTTAACATTCACTGTAAAAACATACTGATAACTATAGAGTGTGGCAACTATGTTTTGCAGAAGCACCTTGGCCATGACTGATTGCAGATCTGTTGCCCACCATGGATTCCCTGACATCTTTATTTCCAACACACCATTTTCGTATGATTCGTTCTGTATTCCTTTTGTCCAGTGATGGTATATAACCTGTTTTAGTGGTGCAATAAGGTGTGATGGAAGGTTTAGAATTTGCAACTTGTCTGAGCTACTAAGACCAACACAAACAAATGGATGGACAGTGGTGAAATTAGTTGGAGACCTCTTTAGAAAGATTGTACTTTTATAGTTAAATCGCCCCAGGTCACAGGAGACCACAATCCTCCAACCCAAAGTATACAATCTATTAAGAATGGTGGCAATCAGTTGCCTTGCTTGCTGTGAAGTGCTGGAGCTGGATGTTTGAAAAAATGGATTACCTTGAAAAATTGAAGGTATGTACAATATGGTTTGTTCTTCGTGCAGTTTCGAGATACAGTTTCTAAGGTTTTTTAGTAGCAGGGTATAGATTTTTCTCAAGTATCATTTATGTTGTCTTTTTGTTATGTTGTCAGTATACATCTATATATACTGGATAAAATACATGAACTAAAAATACATGATCGATATTCATTCACAATCATTGGCAAACCTAAAATTAATATCCTTACAGCATGGGCTTGAAACTTAATTCCATTCACACAATATGATTAGTTTGCTTTTTCTCTCTATCTAATTTGTAATCAAAAGTCAGTATTCAAAACAATTAAACAACATTCTTTTGATATTACCTTTGACTTTAAACATCCAGCCTGTGCCACATATAGCACCCTCTCTTTGAATACCATTAGGCCAAGCATCAATAATAGCTTGTCGCATGGTAGATAATGCTCCACTGTCATGGTGGAGTACAGTAATACCATCACCATTGTGAAGTGTAATGCACATTGTTGAAAAACCAGGTGGTACTTGGACAAGAGGAAGGGAAGTATCATTCCCCATGGTGATAACAGCTAATGCTAAAATGCTAAATACAACAATTAATCAGTGGCGTTAAAGCCAATGCATTTGATGGTTAAGGGTGCAGAAAAGGAACACAATCACAGTAGAGGCATGTAAAGATCAGGTGGATAGTTATAGTCATACATGCCAAGCTTTACTTACACAATTCCAGAAGTCGAAATTGTTTACAATTTCATTGAAAATTATATTTAGTTTATTGAAAAAAGGTTTCTCTATTAATTCTTCTACAAACAAAAATTGATGGAGAAGTTGAGGCGGAAATATATCTAGACTTCGGCGTTGCTAGACTTGCTAGAGAGTATTTTATATCCAAGCTTTTATGCATACATGTCTTTTTGCTTGACTGACAAAAGAATAGCTAGAGGAGATGTAAAAAGAAATGTAGATGATATCACTGCTTACCTATAAAAAATGAGATTATAGATTGATTATAGGAAAAGATTGTAAATCGTAGATTTTTAAAGGCCTTATCCTATCTGTTGTCGAATGTCTGACGAAATGTAAACAATGCGTCCGGACACATTGAAACACGAATAGGTATCAGTGGAAAAAAATAGGAAATATCAATTATCAATCCTCGCATTTTTACATTTTTTTGCCAAACGCATTCACTGCCATTCAGAAACAATACATGTGATAAACAATACATTCGACAAGTGAACTAAACGAATTTCAAGTTACATATGATATTATATAAATGCTTGCAAATATAGAACACGAAACTGGGGTATAATATGCATTGACATAAAGATCCAAGAAATTTTTCAATTATGGGCGTCGAGGGGAACCGGGGAAGGGAATTTGGTAGGGTTGGCCGTGGGGTTATATCTATATTGCCAACAATTGTATTACTAGGTTACGTAACTACCGTACATTATTTTTCCTTTTCATGATCAACTTTTCAAATCTTTACAACCGATTTAAATTCATTTCCATCCATTCGGGAATTATAAGCTATAGCACTTCTCAGTATAGTAACCATTATTGTCAAGATTTTACGAGAATTCAATGCCTGTGCCAAGTTTTTGTTGAGTTGTTATAGTTGAGTACATGCATGGTGTTTTGTACACCGTTATTTTACTTCAAACATTGCAAAGGTCTTTTTTGAATTCTTTAAAAAACAGTCTTTTCTGAATTCTTTAAAAATTATACGTGTTTTGTGCAATTTCCAGCAAACCAATATCTTGTAGGCAAAAGAAATAGGGAGGGTAATAGGGTTATTACTATCGTACTGTGCTAAAACACAAAGACTATAAATGTGACTCCTAAGTTCATCAACTTTGTAAACGTTTGTTTATTTGGGGTCTTTAATCTTTATCACTTTATCCACCCGCCATGAAGATTACCCCGTTGCTTGGTTATATGTCGGAGGTGGTTCATTTGGGTTGGGCTACAGCCCGTATCCAGATGTCTGAGCTGTAGTTGGGTAGGGTGCCTTTCCTTGAGGCCCGCCATACGCGAATGGTACGCATGAACGCATACGTGCCAAGCTTTACTTACACAATTCCAGAAGTCGAAATTATTTACAATTTAATTGAAAATTAAGTTTTATTTATTGAATACGGTTTCTATAATTCCTTTAGAAACAAAAATTGATGGGGAAAGTCGAAGAGGAAGTATCTTGAACTCGAAGTTGCTAGAATGTATTTTCTAACTATCCAACTATCCAAGCTTTTACAAGAATAGTGGAGATGAAACAAGAAATGTAGATGATATCACTGCTTACCTGTATTTTATAGATTGATTACAGGAAAAGATTGCAATTCGTAGATTTTTAAAGGCCTTGTCCTAGCTATCTGCTGTCGAATGTCTGACGACATGTAAACAATGCGTCTGGACAAGTTTAAGTCGTTTCAACTCAAACCCATAAGAATGAAAAAAAATTGGCAAATATCAAATATCAATCCTCGCATTTTTTGCCAAACGCATGCATTCACTGCCATTCGGAAACAATACATAAGACATAAGTAGATTGGCTATGACATAACTAGTTGTGATTTGTGAATCTGTGAAATGATAACTAATTAATTTCAGGTAACCGGCACAAAAAACCATACACAAACCGTCGATCGAGTGGATGATATCCCTATCCCTAGGAGTAGGGACTGTAATTTAGTGGTTGAGTCGTCACTCATAAAAGCTTAGTCTTTGTGTACTAGCCATCGATGTTTACGAGTACATCGTAAGACGTTTTTCATTGGAATTTGGAATGTTTGAATAATTGGAAGTGAAACATTCCATCTTCCACCGAATAAAAATATTCTTATTATTGTACGAATGAAAATATTTATCACTAATATTTGTTTTTTATGACACAAAGAAGGTCATTGTTTAAGCGAAAACCAAAAAAATAAATTCAGTCAATGGTGTAAAGTGAAATTGTATCATTGACATTGTGTTGTTGATGAATGTCCAAAGAATGACAAGTGAACAAAACAAATTTCAAGTTAAATAAAATATGATATAACTGCTTGCAAATATAGAACACGAAACTGGGGTAAATAACATACACTGACATATAGATCGAAGAAATTTTTGAATTATAGGGGCCGAGGGGGAAGGGGGTTGGTAGGCAACAATTGTATAACTAGGTTACGTAACTAACGTACATTGTTTTCCTTTTTTATGATCAACTTTTCCAAATCTTTACAACCGATTTAAATTCATTTCCATCCATTCGGGAAATATAAGCTATAGCACTTCTCTAAAGTGACTATTATTGTCAAGATTTTACACGAATTCAATGCCTATGCTAAGTTTTTTATATTTCAGTACATGCATCGTGTTTTGTACACCGCTATTACTATCGTACGGTGCTACACAGAGACTATAAATTAACGCGACTCCTAAGTTCATCAACTTTGTCAACGTCTGTTTATTTGGGGTCTCTATTCCACCCCGTTGCTTCGGTATTTATTGGAGATGGTTCATTTGGGTTAGGGTACAGCCCGTATGCAGATGTCGGAGCTGTAGGTGCGGTTGCTGGAGGTCCCCCATACGCTGATGACACGCCTGAACCCATCGGTGGATACGGTGCTGCAGGCATACCAGTACCGTAGGGTGAAGAAGACGCAAAGCCAAAGGCTGGGGCGGTGGGTTGCTGGGTAGTGGGAGGATCGTATATAAACCAAATACTGTGAACAAACTGTCCGGAAACATCACCAGCCATGTAGACTCTCCAACTCCGTGCGGCAAAAGCCTCGATGATATTGCATAGAAAGCTTCGTATATGATACGCGTCGTTATTCAAGCCACCATTAAATGGCCGCCCGTTTAATTTGAACTGCCGGACGCCACCGAAACTTAAATTCTTAACTTTTTCTTCTTGTATTCCTTTTGACCAACGACTCAGGAGAATTTTTTTGAAAGATTCAACAAGTTCGGTAGGCATGTTGATACATCGAAATTTGTCCGCATCGTTGAGACTCAAACACATGATCGAGCAGTGCTTTGGTTCACGTTGTTGGAAAATAAGCACAGATTTATCAATTGGGCGCAGTGAGATATCAATGACTGCAATATTATGCCAACCTTGATTTAACATTGCCTCGAGAATCTTTAGTATCAAATACCTATAAAATAATACGATGAATTGAGTAAAATGAATTGGAATAAGTTTCATGATACCAGAGGGTTTTTGGTCGATGAAAACTCGATCGGAATTACTTTATCCCTTTGATTCTTCGTCCACCAATAACCTTCTAATATTGATCTCTATCTTGATATATGCCAAGAGCATGTGTATATTTTACAAGAAGCAACAGCTTTTTTAAATATCAGTCTCATTTAAATGTAGGTTCAGGAACTGTCCAGTACGAAATTTCACGACGCAATTTAATGGTCACTGTTTCTGATATATTTCATACAGGTGATACAGTCGCCCGTCGCCGAACCTATCACGCCGGGTTATGCCCGGTAATAAAGATGTTCAGTTCCCAGGAATGGGTCTTGATAACTAAAATTCACCTTGCCATCACTGATTCCTCCTTATAAGAAAACCAAGGATTTCCAGAGATCTTAAACTCCCAACTGCCATGATTATCCTTCTCTTCCTGTAACGTTCCATGAGACCAAACATTCTGGATGACACAACGAATCATATTGACTGTACTCTCGGGAGCGCAAATAACACGTAAACGATCTGCCCCACTCAAACTGATCGTACAAAACTGCCCTGGCTGTCCGGCAGGCAGTTCTGGGTCATAACGAAAGAATAACGAATCTAATACACTTTTAGGGTTAACATTCACTGTAAAAACATACTGATAACTATAGAGTGTGGTAACTATGTTTTGCAAAAGCACATTGGCCATGGCTGATTCACTGAGGCCCATTGTTGTACACCATGGATTTCCTGACATCTTTATTTCCAACACACCATTTTCGTATGATTCGTTCTGTATTCCCTTTGTCCAGTGATGGTATATAACCTCTTTTAGTGGTGGGATAAGATGTGATGGAAGGTTAAGAATTTGCAACTTGTCTGAGCTACTAAAACCAACACAAACAAATGGATGGACAGTGGTGAAATTAATTGGAGACCTCTTTAGAAAGATTGTGCTTTTACCACTAAATCGCCCCAGGTCACAGGAGACCACAATCCTCCAACCCAAACTGAACAATCTATTAAGAATAGTGGCAATCAGTTGCCTTGTTTGCTGTGAAGTGCTGAATGTTAGATCAAATGGATTACCTTGAAAAATTACAAGTATGATTTGGTCTTCAGTTATGAGATACAGTTTCTAGGAGTTTTTAGAAGTAGGGTATAGATTTTTCTCAAGTATCATTTTATGTTGTCTTTCTGTTTAGAGGCAGTATGTGTCTATATATACTAGATAAAATACATTAACTATAAAGGCAGGGTGTTGGAAAATATAAAGGCTGGCAGTGGCCTGATCGAAGCATAGGAAGCCCAGACAAATGAGTCGAAGTTAATAAAAATCGGCCGTAAAACACTTGAGATATGTGTTAAAATGAATTAAAGTATGTAATTTGCTACAAAACTACTGTTAGAACCATGTATGTAGCGTGCTCCAGTGGCAGTGGCGCTGCCATTTGACTATGCAACTAGCGACGTAACTTACTATATTATTGGGAAGGAAGGAAACTCTCGCCTCAATTTTTAACATGTTGAAAATATTTGACTTATTACTTCAACTTATTTGTCTGGGCTTCCTATGATCGAAGTTCATTCACAATCATCAATTGACAAACCTAAAATAAATATTATTCCTCTATGGTTTCTGGTTTTGTCCCTACAGCCAGGCTTTAATTAAACTTAATTTCATTGACACAATAGGATTAACTTGCTTTTTCTTTTTATCTAATGTGTAATAAAAAGTCAGTGTTTAAAAACAACATTCTGTTAATATTACCTTTGACTTTAAACATCCAGCCTGTGCCACATATAGCATGCTCTCTTTGAATACCATTAGGCCAAGCATCAATAATAGCTTGTTGCATGGTAGATAATGTTCCACTATCATGGTGGATTACAGTAATACCATCACCATACTGAAGTGCAATGCACATTGTTGAAAAACCAGGTGGTACTTGGACAAGAGGAAGGGAAGTATCATTCCCCATGGTGATAACAGCTAATGTTAAAAACAACAATTAATCAGTGGCATTAAAGTCAATGCATTTGATGGTTGAGGGTGCAAAAAAGGAACACTATCACAGTATAGGCATCCGGTGGATAGTTATAGTCATACATGATACATGCGAAGCTTTACTTACACAATTCCAGAAGTCGAAATTGTTTACAATTTCATTGAAAATTACATTTAGTTTATTGAAAAAAGGTTTCTATAATTCTTTTACAAATAAAAATTGATGGAGAAGTTGAGGCGGGAATATATCTATACTTGAGACTTCGACGTTGCTAGAGAGTATTTCATATCCAAGCTTTTATGCCTGTCTTTTTGCTTGACTAACAAAAGAATAGCTAGTGGAGATGTAACAAGAAATGTAAGTGATATCACTGCTTATCTGGGGCCGGTTGTATCAAGCCCGTTTAGCTTAAATGGTGGTTAAATTCAGCATTGAAAGTACGTCTGCCGTTTTATTCAACAAACGAACTAAATGTTTTTAACCTTAATACAAAGATACTGTTTACAACTACATATTCAGTGCATAATATTCAAGTTGACTCATTCAAGAGAGATGTAAGAGTGTTATTTAATTTTGACTTATCCGCCGTTTAAGCTAAACGGGCTTGATACAACTTGCCCCTGTAACTAATTTATAGCTTGATTATAGGAAAAAAATGTAAATCGTAGATTTTTAAAGGCCTTATCCTATCTGTTGTCGAATGTCTGACAAAATGTAAACAATGCGTCCGGACAAATTGAAACACGAATAGGTTCAGTGACAGTGGAAAAAAATAGAAAATATCAATCAATCCTCGCATTTTTTGCCAAACGCATTCACTAGCTGCCATTCAGAAACAATACATGTGAATGTCATAAACAATACATTCGACAAGTGAACTAAACGAGTTTCAAGTTACATATAATATTATATAACTGCTTGCAAATATAGAACCCGAAACTGGGGTAAATAATATGCATTGACATATAGATCCAAGAAATTTTTGAATTATGGGCGCCGAGGGGAACCGAGGAAGGGATTTGGTAGGGTTGGCCATTGGGGTTATATGTAGGCTATATTGCCAACATTGCCAACAATTGTATTCCTAGGTTACGTAACTAACGTACATTATTTTTCCTTTTTATGATCAACTTTTCAAATCTTTACAACGGATTTAAATTCGTTTCCATCCATTCGGGAAATATAAGCTATAGCACTTCTCAGTATAGTAACCATTATTATCAAGATTTTACGAGAATTCAATGCCTATGCCAAGCAGGGCCGTCCTCAGGATATTTTACAGGGGGGTGTAAGGTCATCTTAACCGACTGATCGACGTACTTGTACCGACTACACTCTGGATGAAACTTTGTCAAGTATATATTGGATCGGTCTATAGTGTCAAAAATATTTTTAACCTTAGAATAAACTTTCTGGGGGGGGTGTGACACCCCCCTAAACCCCCCCCCCGTAACTCCGGGCCTGATGCCAAGTTTTTATTGAGTTGTTATAGTTGAGTACATGCATGGTGTTTTGTGCACCGTTATTTTACTTCAAACATTGCAAAGGTTTCTGAATTCTTTAAATAACATACGTGTCTTTTGCAATTTCTAGCAAACCTATATCTTGTAGGCAAAAGAATATAGGGAGGGTATATAATAGGGTTATTACTATCGTACAGTGCTAAAACACAAAGACTATAAATGTGACTCCTAAGTTCATCAACTTTGTAAACGTTTGTTTATTTGGGGTCTTTATCCACCCGGTCCCCGTTGCTAAGCCAAACCCGGCAGGCGGTCTTTCACCGTCATCGGCTTGCCCGAATTTAGGGACTGCCTGCCATGAAGATTACCCCGTTGCTTGGTTATATGTCGGAGGTGGTTCATTTGGGTTGGGCTACAGCCCGTATCCAGATGTCTGAGCTGTAGTTGGGTAGGGTGCCTTTCCTTGAGGCCCGCCATACGCGAATGGTACGCATGAACGCATACGTGCCAAGCTTTACTTACACAATTCCAGAAGTCGAAATTGTTTACAATTTAATTGAAAATTAAGTTTTATTTATTGAATACGGTTTCTATAATTCCTTTAGAAACAAAAATTGATGGGGAAAGTCGAAGAGGACTGAGTATCTTGAACCCGAAGTTGCTAGAATGTATTTTATATCCAACTATCCAAGCTTAATTAATGCATGTCTTTTCGCGTGATTGATACAAGAATAGTGGAGATGAAACAAGAAATGTAGATGATATCACTGCTTACCTGTATTTTATAGATTGATTTGAGGAAAAGATTGCAATTCGTAGATTTTTAAAGGCCTTGTCCTATCTGCTGTCGAATGTCTGACGACATGTAAACAATGCGTCCGGACAAGTTTAAGTTGTTTCAACTTAAACCCATAGGAATAAAAAAAAATTAGGAAATATCAAATATCAATCCTCGCATTTTTTGCCAAACGCATGCATTCACTGCCATACATAAGAAACAATACATAAGACATAAGTAGATTGGTTATGACATAACTAGTTGTGAATCTGTGAAATGATAACTAATTTCAGGTAACCGGCACAAAAAACCATACACAAACCGTCGATCGAGTGGATGATATCCCTATCCCTAGGAGTAGGGACTGTAATTCAGTGGTTGAGTCGTCACTTATAAAAGCCTAGTCTTACGCCTGTATTCAAAAAGCTCACTCACACTCATACTCACTGAGTGTGACATATAAATTTTGTTAATGCTGATCAATGAGAAAGTTTTTTCTGAATAGATGGAAAGATATAAGATAAATCACTAAAAATCAAGCCCCTATTCGGCTGGAAATACCGCCATTGAAACGTTACGAGAAGATTAAGATCTCGCACTCAATGAGTTTAAGTGTGAGTGAGGTTTTAGAATACAGGCGTTAGTCTTAGTCTTCTGTACTAGCCATCGATGTTTACGAGTACATCGTAAGACGTTTTTCATTGGAATTTGGAAGGTGGAATGTTTGAATAAATGGAAGTGAAACATTCCATCTTCCACCGAATAAGAATATTCTTATTATTGTACGAATGAAAATATTTATCACTAATATTTGTTTTTTATGACACAAAGAAGGTCATTGTTTAATTCTTTAAGTTTAAGCGAAAACCAAAAAAATAAATCAGTCAAAAGTGAAAAGTGAAAATTCAGTTAAAGTGAAATTGTATCATTGTGTTGTTGACGAATGTCCAAAGAATGACAAGTGAACTAAAAGAATTTCAAGTTTAATAAAATATGACATAACTGCTAGCAAATATAGAACACGAAACTGGTGTAAATAACATACACTGACATACAGATCGAAGATATTTTTGAATTATAGGGGCCGAGGGGGAAGGGGGTTGGTAGGCAACAATTGTATTACTAGGTTACGTAACTAACGTATATTATTTTCCCTTTTTATGATCAACTTTTCCAAATCTTTACAACCGAATTAAATTCATTTCCATCCATTCGGGAAATATAAGCTATAACACTTCTCTAAAGTGACTATTATTGTCAAGATTTTACAAGAATTCAATGCCTATGTCAAGTTTTTTATTGTTCAGCACATGCATGCATGGTGTTTTGTACATCGCTATTTTACTTAAAACATTGCAAAGGTCTTTTCTGATTTTTTTTGAAAAATATGCTTATACGTGTTTTGTGCAATTTCCGGCAAATCTATGTATTGTAGGCAAAAGAAATGGGAAGGGGGTTAATACTATCGTACAGTGCTACACAGAGACTATAAATGTGACTCCTAAGTTCATCAACTTCGTGAACGTTTCTCTATTTGGGGTCTCTATTCCACCCCGTTGCTTCGTTATATGTTGGAGGTGGTTCATTTGGGTTAGGGTACAGCCCGTATCCAGATGTCGGAGCTGTAGGTGGGTAGGGTGCAGTTGCTGGAGGCCCCCCATACGCTGACGGCATGCCCGAACCTATCGGTGGATATGGTGCTGTAGGCATACCAGTACCGTAGGGTGAAGAAGACGCAAAGCCATAGGCTGGGGCGGTGGGTTGCTGGGTAGTGGGAGGATCGTATATAAACCAAATACTGTGAACATCTATTGGATAATCTGCTCCTTTATCTTGATGCACATACTTTGCGGAAACATCACCAGCCATGTAGACTCTCCAACTTCGTGCGGCAAAAGCCTCGATGATATTGCATAGAAAGCTTCGTATATGATACGCGTCGTTATTCAAGCTACCATTAAATGGCCACCCGTTCAATTTGAACTGCCGGACGCCACCGAAACTTAAATTCCTAATTTTTTCTTCTTGTATTCCTTTTGACCAACGACTCAGGAGAATTTTTTTGAAAGATTCAACAAGTTCGGTAGGCATGTTGATACATCGAAATTTGTCCGCATCGTTGAGACTCAAACACATGATCGAGCAGTGCTTTGGTTCACGTTGTTGGAAAATAAGCACAGATTTATCAGTTGCTCGCCTTGAGATATCAATGGCAGCAATATTATGCCAACCTTGATTTAACATTGCTTCGAGAATCTTTAATATCAAATACCTATAAAATAATGCGAAGAATTCAGTAGCTATATGGATTGCAATAATAGGTTTCAAGATACCAGAGGGTTTTTTGGTTATTGATTCCCGGTGATAACGATGTTCAGTGCTCAGGAATGGGTCATGAAAACTAAAATGTATCACCTTGCCATCACTGATTCTTCTTTACAAGAATGCCAAGGATTTCCAGAGATCTTAAACTCCCAACTGCCATGATGATCCTTCTCCTCCTGTATCCTTCCATGAGACCAAACATTCTGGATGACACCACGAATCATATTCACTATACTCTCGGGAGCGCAAATAACACGTAAACGATCTGTCCTATTCAAACTGATCGTACAAAACTGCCCTGGCTGTCCGGCAGGCAGTTCTGGGTCATAACGAAAGAATAACGAATCTGCCGTACTTTTAAGGTTAACATTCACTGTAAAAACATACTGATAACTATAGAGTGTGGCAACTATGTTTTGCAGAAGCACCTTGGCCATGACGGATTGCAGATCTGTTGCCCACCATGGATTCCCTGACATCTTTATTTCCAACACACCATTTTCGTATGATTCGTTCTGTATTCCTTTTGTCCAGTGATGGTATATAACCTGTTTTAGTGGTGCAATAAGGTGTGATGGAAGGTTTAGAATTTGCAACTTGTCTGAGCTACTAAGACCAACACAAACAAATGGATGGACAGTGGTGAAATTAGTTGGAGACCTCTTTAGAAAGATTGTGCTTTTATCATTAAATCGCCCCAGGTCACAGGAGACCACAATCCTCCAACCCAAACTGTACAATCTATTAAGAATGGTGGCAATCAGTTGCCTTGCTTGCTGTGAAGTGCTGGAGCTGGATGTTTGATAAAATGGATTACCTTGAAAAATTGAAGGTATGTACAATATATGGTTTGTTCTTCATGCAGTTATGAGATACAGTTTCTAGGGGTTTTTAGTAGTAGGGTATAGATTTTTCTCAAGTATCATTTTATGTTGACTTTCTGTTATGTTGTCAGTATATGTCTATATATACTGGATAAAATACATAAACTATATAAAGAGAGGGTCAATTTGGAAAATATAAAGGCTGGCAGTGGCCTGATATTCATTCACAACAAATGATTGGGCTTCAAACTTTATTCCATTGACACAATATGATTAGTTTGCTTTTTCTCTCTATCTAATCTATTATCAAAAGTCAGTATTCAAAACAATTAAACAACATTCTGTTGATATTACCTTTGACTTTAAACATCCAGCCTGTGCCACATATAGCACCCTCTCTTTGAATACCATTAGGCCAAGCATCAATAATAGCTTGTCGCATGGTAGATAATGCTCCACTATCATGGTGGAGTACAGTAATACCATCACCATACTGAAGTGCAATGCACATTGTTGAAAAACCAGGTGGTACTTGGACAAGAGGAAGGGAAGTATCATTCCCCATGGTGCTAACAGCTAATATGTTAAAGACAACAATTAATCAGTTCCATCATAGACAATCCAATGCATTTGATGGTTAAGGGTAGAGAAAAGGAACACAATCACAGTTGAGACAGTGTCATTTGAAAGATCATTAAAAGATCACGTGGATAATTCTATTCATACATATCCAACAAGCCCATATCAACTTGTCAACAAGATGTGAGATTTTTAGGTGTGTACATGCCAAGCTTTACTTAAATACACAATTCCAGAAGTCGAAATTGTTTACAATTTCATTGAAAATTACATTTTATTTATTGAAAAGGTTTCTATAATTCTTCTACAAACAAAAATTGATGGAGAAAGTCGAGGAGGAAGTATCTAGAGCTCGAAGTTGCTGGAATGTATTTTATATCCAACTATCCAAGCATGTCTTTTCGCGTGATTGATACAAGAATAGTGGAGATGCAACAAGAAATGTAGATGATAAATCATGATATCATTGCTTACCTGTATTTTATAGATTGATTATAGGAAAAGATTGCAAATCGTAGATTTTTAAAGGCCTTATCCTATCTGCTGTCGAATGTCAGACGACATGTAAACACTCCGATATAATCATCAATCTTGCAAATATGCAAATTTATTAGCAAATTTATGCAAACATTTTGTTAACAAAAACTTGAAACACGATAGGAATGGAAATATCAATCCTCGCATTTTTTGCCAAAGGCATTCACTGGACCTTCACTGCCATTCAGAAACAATGTATAAGACATAAGTATATTGACTATGACATAACCAGTCTTGGATTTTTGTGAAATGATAACTAATTTCAGATTTTCAGGTAATCGGCACACAAAACCATACACAAACCATCGAGTAGGTGATATCCCCAGCGCCTGTATTTAGTGGTTGAATGGTCACTCACGAGTACATCGTAAGAAGATTTTCATGAGATGGAAGGTGGAATGTTTGAATAAATGAAGTGAAACATTCAATCTTCCACCGAATAAAAATATTCTTGTTATTGTACGAATGAAAATATTCATGACTATGTTTGTTTTTTATCACACAAAAAGAGATCAATGTTTAATTCTTCTGATTAATCCAAAAGACGTCTTTCGCAGAATCGCCGGTACCAGTACGGCAGTACCACGGTACCACTGTACCAGTGAGCATCGCCTGGTCCGCCTCCGTCCCTCCGATCAGGTACCGAGTATTCACGATACTGCGAGGCCAGATTATATTCCACTGCAGTAAGGTCGAACTCCATGTTATGGCCGCCAAGTTAGGTAGACTGAGCTGGTCGACTGAGCTGTTGTTTGTCTAAATGATCTGAAAAAAGACTGAGAGGGCAAGTAAACGTGCCCACGTCACGATGAGTATCTACACCAAGCTTATACGTGGTTTTCCACGGTTCTGTTGGCCCACAAAACATTCTTTTGGAAAGTTCTTAAATGGGAATTTATATGTACAAGAAGTGCAACTACAATTGTCCCGAAAATTTCATTTTAGCCCCTTATCGCCCGTATTTGCTAAGGAAATTTTCGTGGGCAATTTTGTGAAGGTAATTTTTCTTGTTCCTTCGACGTATGGTCGTATTCTAAATTTCTAATTCTCTGTGTATTGTTTACAAAAATAATTGGTATCACGTGGCACATGATTGACATGAATGATAAATTATTTAAAATCTCAGCAGGAAATGTACAGCCAGTCACAAAAATAAAAAATGCCATACACTTGCCTAGTTTTATATCTGACCTTTGAATGTGAGCCAAGGAATTTTATCTAAGTGGCATTGGGAATTTGTGACCCACATTCCCTTCCCCAATTTTAAAAATTGGTGGCTGCATGAAAAGTATAGGCTGATTTAGCTTTAGGAGAGAAACATCAAGGACCATGTGAAAATGGCAAATAAATGGTGTGGCACATTCATATATATGAGTATTATGCCATTTTCACATCTGCATTTATGAAGTGCTCTAAATCTGCCTAGTGTTCTTTTTATTTTTACCCCATGCCTTTCCATATCATTTGCATTTCTATTTGTTTGCTTTCATAAGATATAATGATATAGGCAGTTACATCTCTAAATTATTTCAACTGACAATCTTCTGACTTAATTAATTGTATCATAATTAGTTTGTGCTTGTTGAATTAATATGTGGTAAAATCACATTTTCTTTCTTAAGGATAAGGTTTTCCCCTATCCAGAACCAACAGATGACCAACAGGAAACATTACAAATGATGATTGATCCTGTGGAAAAATTTTTTGCAGATAAAGGTATATAGCTGTTGGTACTTATTGGTTACAAATATTTTCTGAAGTTGCACATCTTTGCTATAGTATATATATTCTTCTCTGTGCCTGTGCATAGTTAATTATGGTCTGTACTGTTTCAATGTTTTCATTAAATAAATCAGTGGATTCAGCCCAAATTGATAATGAAGCAACAATTCCAAAGGATGTACTGGATGGACTTAAGGAGCTAGGCTTGTTTGGGTTGCAAATTCCTGAGGAATATTGTAAGACACAATGTTTTTTATGTCATTCATTATAAGTCTGAATTTGCATACTTCGATCATGTTGTGTATATGTTTACCTAATTTCTAGCTGGACTTGGTTTATCAAATACAAATTATGCTCGTGTTTTGGAAACACTTTGTACAGACCCAGCAATTGCTGTAACTCTGATGGCCCATCAGTCCATTGGTCTTAAGGTGGGTAGCCTTAGACCTTTCTTATAATGACGTCAAACGCGGAAAGTCCGATGTTACACAAAATTTGATTGGCTCCACAAAACTATCGAGCCAATCAAACTTCGTGTAACATCATACTTTCCTCGTTTGACGTCATTATAAAAAAGGTCCATTGACATGTCACAAGTGCTATATTTTACATAGAAATTTAGTATGCAAAATTGCAATATAAAAATAGCTATAATTTCTCTTTCTAATAGTATATGTAAACCTTTTTGCAATGAACAGTGGAAATGAAATGTTGAATTAAATTTATAGGGTATTCTAATTTTTGGTACAGAGAAGCAAAAAGAAAAATATCTACCAAAACTAGCTGTGGGTGAAAACATGGCGGCTTTCTGCCTAACTGAGCCATCCAGGTGTGTTTTACTTGTTATGGTTATGATACGTACATCAGTCCCTGGAATGATATTCCAGTTTTTCATTTACAACATTACATTGCCATATATGACCATAATTCAGGTTTACAAGAATGCTCAGTATCTGTTTGTTTAAACTGATTAAAATATAAATCTTTGTTCTAGTGGAAGTGATGCTGCCTCTATACAATGTAGAGCAACCTTAAGTCCAGATGGAAAGCACTATATATTAAATGGAAATAAGGTAGGATATACAGCTGTGTTTTTCAGACAGGTTATAAATGTGATTGAATGATTTGTTATAATCACCTGCAGAATAGTTACAGTATGCAGCTATAATGTTATCCACATTATTGATACATGCACTATATCATCATTCATCATATTATAGATATGGATATCAAATGGAGGCTGGGCAAACATATTTACAGTATTTGCTAGAACAAATGTGACAAATGAAAAGGTAAAAAGCTCAAGTTCAACTACTCCATAGCGAAGTTTAGTGCATTTAGTATTTATTGCTAATTAATATATTTATAGGCTTAATGTAAACACATCTCATATCAGGGAACATGAGCCTGTGTTTGCATCAATGACAATTGATTTGTCATTCCCGATCACGGCAAGATGCATTTCAACTATTAGAATCTTAAATAAATGTGGTACAAATTTACTTTATATACAGTATTTGAGGAATAATATATGCACATTCACCTTCTGTACTTATAATTCCAAAGGGTGAAGTTGAAGACAAGATAACAGCATTTGTGGTGGAGAGGGATTTTGGTGGAATAAGTAATGGAAAACCTGAGGACAAAATGGGCATCAGAGGATCAAACAGTAAGTTTGTATCTCTGTGTATCAGATTTTATAAGTTAATTTAAACATCATTTTTTTTTTAACTAAGAAACTGGTGATATACACAAGTGATCATTTCCAGAAGGTTTTTGAAAGTGATGAAACATTCCTCATGCACAATCATATTGATAATAATTACATTTTCAGCATGTGAAGTGATATTTGAAAACACTCCAATTCCTGTTGAAAATGTTCTTGGTGAAGTTGGAGAAGGTTTCAAGGTACATAACATGCGCAAGCTTCCTGTGGAAACTTTCTAGATGTCTGTCAAATGGTTTAAAACTTTCTGTCATTGGGTAAAATGATTTTTGGTGTTGACACTGCTGCTGACTAGCAGTGCAATGTACCCAGGTGGTTAATCAGGAACATGCTTTGTCCGCAAATTACGTCAAAGCGCACACGTTTTATACACGTCTATATAATACTCTTAATAACCCTTCTTATGTATTAAAACTCTCAATTATTCTTTTACTATATATTAAATTTTCCGGACGCAACCCCTTTTTTAATAAAACCGCTCCCAATAACCAGTACTTTCACTACAAAAGCACTCTCAATCACCCTTTTACTAAACATATGCAAGCACCGTGAATTACAGTAAATACCAAATGCAGGGATATAATTAATGCTTCTTATATTCAGGTTGCAATGACCATCTTAAACAGTGGTCGTTTTGGCATGGCAGCTGTTGCCTCAGGTGGAATAAGAAAGATTATCGGTACGTTTTGAGACACGCCGTGTTTTATTTCCAATGTTTCCCTCTGTAAAATATAGACATAAGATATTTTTACAATTTTGATGATGTCCACCTCAAGGCCCCAGACACGTTACCAAAAATTCCGTTTCTAAAATTTCCAAATTTCCGGAGATTAAAGTTGGAAAAAATGTAACAATGACTATATGAGAGTCCAGTTATCTTGTAATCTTGTTTCTACGTCATTATCCACAGTTATGCTTCTTTCCCCTATAATCATTCTTTATCACAGGTACCGATAATGCTATGTGATGTGTAAATATGTAGACAGTTAGAGTTCAGGTGGGATTATAAATATTCAGTAGCTAGTAACTGTACGTACTGTAACATATAAATCTCGTGTCTCTATTTAAGAATATGCCTCAGAGTACGCCACTCAGCGAGAACAATTTCAGCAAAAACTATCATCATTTGGACAGATACAGGTGCGTCGAACTACAGGGCTTGTTTCAATTAGCGTAGCATATTACTACTCTACATATGCCCCGGGGGACGAGAACCATTGAAGTGTTAAATAAATTTTAACTTTTTTAAAAATATAGGAAAAATTTGCTCGCATGGCCATTACAGGGTATACTGTAGAATCAATGGCCTATCTTACATCTGGAATGGTTGACAAGGGAGAAGATTGTTCACTGGAGGCTGCAATGTGCAAGGTAGGTGTTGGATATCGCTTTTATTTCCTGAGTATATATAACAATCTTTTATTGTAAATCTTGTATATAGATTTATAGCTCGGAAGGTGTTTGGGATACTGTTAATGATGCTCTGCAAACGTTGGGAGGTAGGTTGATGTTCTACATTGTCATTCTTCACTTTTTCTCTCTAAATTCGTATGTTCTGCTTCAGGGCTTGGTTACATGAGAGCTTTTCCATACGAAAGAATAATGCGGGACACTAGAATAATGATGATTTTCGAGGTATGTCACGCATGCGCCCGTCGGTTAATTTGCTTTACAATCGGTTGTACTGGGGCCGGTTGTATGAAAGCCGCATAGCGCTATCCACTTTCTCAATCGCTTTAAAACCGCCTGTTGCTTGCTATAATTTTGGTTAAATCTTGGTATTCCTAGAACGGTTGAAAAAATTACTATCCATTGGATAGCGCAACCGGCCTCTGGTCTACTCGTATGACTTGTGTGATGTATGTGTATTTTAACAGGGTACAAATGAGATTCTTCGTATGTACGTTGCTTTAACGGGAATGCAGTACGCTGGAAAAAAGCTCTCGAATCTCGTAAAGTAAGTTAAAAATTTTACCTGCTATTCCATAATTTAAAGAATAGCGTTCCTGTAACTTGTTTACATACCTCTGTTCTCTGCCACTACCCACCATAATTACCGATATCTTCTACATTTACATTCCATTTCCTCAGAGCTCTGAAAAGCCCTGTTGCAAATCGTGGTGTGCTGGTAGAGACGATATTTAGGCGGCTCAAATATTCAATTGGAATGAAAGGAAATATAAACGTGTCTGATTCCGTACATTCAACATTGAAGGTATATCAACTTTTAGCTATATCAACTTTAAATAATATAGTTACCACCTCTTAAACGTCCGTTGTAATAAACACTGCTCCCATAAGACTTATTGTACACCTTCCTAACAAACGTGTCTCGCTCAATTATAAGTACTCTCTCCATTAGAGAATGTTCCTCTCTAATAGACACCTATTTTGAATAAATTTTACATTAACTAAGTGTTGCCCCAGTAATGTGTGTCCTCGGTAATGAACGACCCGTCAATAAATTAAGTCTATCTGTTAAAATGAATACATCGCTATCTGATAAATTATCTCTTAATGACACCATGTGCACCCCACCCTCTCCTCATTTGCAACCAGTTTGATTTTTTTGTTGAAATGTTACAGAAAAGTGCGACGAAACTGGAAGAAAATGTTGTCGACTTTGGTATGGTCTCGGAAAAGCTACTTAGAAAATATAAGAAGGTGTGCTCTAGGAATCGTTGTCCGTGTGTCTTTTTTTAGGGAAGATTAACTTGTATATCTCGATCTAGAGTACCCGTTCCGGACCCCCCACTTTTGTGTACTTTACGGTTAGACCCCCACATTTTTAGGCTAAAACGCCCTGCTAGCTCATCTTATCTTTTATTTTTCTCAACTTATAAGTTCGAGTTTTTAGTAATTTCGGTATTCTTCATTTTTTTCAGGATATCGTTGACCAACAGTTATTGTTAAAACGATTGTCTAATGTCATTATCAATATATTCGGAATGACAGCCGTGTTGTCAAGGGCAACTAGAACAATGATGAAAGAAGATTTAAATGCTGAATATGAAGTATGATGCTTTCATCCACTTTGATTTAATCTATAAGTTACGAAATTTTCACGCGGTAACGTTAATATTTCATTAAACAGGTTTTACTTGCTAATACATTCTGTCAAGAAGCATATCATTACAATAGAGCAGCCCTTGGTGAAATTAAGAAAGGTATATAATTACAGAATATAAATTATATAAATTAACATATATTTTAAAAATTATTATCACCAAGATTAGTTTACTTAAGCATCATGATCATCGTCATCACAATATGACTATATATGTATGTGCTAGTATATTTTACTTTATACCACAACAATTTCAATGCAGGTACGCTACGAAATGGTGATTCAAATCTCGAAAAAATCGCTGCTGGTGTTTTTGAACACAATTCACAAGTGCCGCGTCATCCTCTTAGCTTCTGAAACCACCGTGCTGAAACCGCGTGAATGATTTTACACTACGTATTTCTACCAACGAACTCTACAGTGAAATGTTTTCCTAGTTTCAGTGACGTGCACAACAAGAATCACTTTACTCCCACTCTCCGACTTCAGGAATTCTTATCGCACGTGAACCATTTAAGGGGCCTTATTTATATCGTTGTATCAGCCAAAACGTACAAAGATTAACCGATAACTTTTACTATAAACTACTGTAATAAAATATGCGGTTGTATTCCATTTTTTGAGCGCTTTTTTGCCCTAACACTTTTTAAAGGCCGTAGTTTATTCTAATAAAATAAAATATTTATCTGAAAATATTATCGTTGCATGGAATACATATATATATAGTTTCCTGAAGTACACAATAAAAGTTATCAATAAATAACATTGATAACACATATATAAATACTTACAACCCAAGGGGACTGGGACTGGTCGTGACGAGCAGTTCGCTTGGTCCAACATTCGCATTCAGCACACCTAACAAAGATCAGGGTACCCAAGCTATATAGGAAGTTTATGGTTCAGCGGTATATACAAAGTGACTGGAGGCCGTTGAGTCACTTCATCTCCTCTTTCTTGATTTTTCTGCATAAGAATGGTACTGTTTAAACAATGTTTTGTACAAAACTAAATTGTGAAAATCTAACTAGTGAGTGAGAAAGATCTTTACAAGACTTTCTCATGTAAGACGTCAAAAGTCTTCATGATGTTACACGAACTTTGATTGTCTCGTTCTTTCCTATTTGGGTTTAAATTCGTTCTTCTAACGAACTGCAAAATGTTGTTTCACCTTTAAAATTGCGAAATTCATATGCAGTATACATATACTTGTGAGAATGATGATGCCATTGTGTATGTGATAGGCAACTGACAAAGGGGTCTATCTATAATACCAAAATGTTAAACTATTTAACAATTAGCCGCCTCATTTAACAATTAGTCGCCTATATTCCCTGAGCAGAAAGCGAAGTGAATATAGGCTTGTAATCACCGAACTTGAGGCGACTAATTGTTTTCGTATAAATTTCGAGGTGTTTATAAATAAGAATAAACACAATTTCATAAAAAATTATAATTACTTTAAATTTCTTATTCAAAAAAAAAGCATCAAAAGGTTAGCTATAGTCACCGACCAGTGACTATCACTTCAGAGACCGTGAATTTTGACCAATCAGAATGCAGGAAAGTCGTAATTGATTTACTCTCACCTATTCTCGGCATTACCACCTTAAAATACACATTAACCACGCTTGCTCTTGTCAGCTACCTCTGTAGCTCAGTGGCAAGAGCATTGCACCGGCGTCGCATAAGCGTTGGTTCCGTTCCTGCCGGAGGACCGATAGTTGACTAATTTTAAATTTCTTAACTGTTCCTGGCTTGAAATGAGTTTATATATAAAGACTATAATTCGTATACTGTATCACTATATAGAATTTTATTCAAAAATTGTAATATATATTTCTTCACCACAAATATGTTTCTTTTACACGTGCATTGAAAGGCATTGAATATGCGACGTCGTCTCCATGCATTTGTTTCTTTGTATGCAAACTGATGCGGACGTCTAAATTGTTTTGATCATTTATCCACAAGGCCTTGGACGGTTTTTTTGAGCTCATCTAGTGAATTTCGTGTTTCTCTCAGTTCATTTTGCGTTTCTCTCAGTTTATTTTGTGTTTCTTTAAGCTCATTTTGCGTTTCCGTCAATCTACTCGTAAGATCATTTCGTGTTTCTATATTTTGCTTTCTCAAGTTCTCCATATCTCTTTCGTGTTTTTCATCCCTTTTTTTAATGCGTTCTTCAAGTGCGAGAATATCTTTTTCCAAATGGGAAATATTTTTTTGATCATAATCTGTATCTTCCTCAAATATTTTTATATTCACATTTATCTGCTGAGCCCTTTCTTGGTTTGCTACCAGGTTTTCCAGAAGAGGGACTATCGTTTCTCCACCGTTTCCTGCCTCAATTATTTCTTCAGCCTGCATAATCAGAATTTCGTTCACTTCTACAATTTCTTGTGCAATCGGAGAAAGCATATTTTGTTTCAAAATATAGTTCAACAATGAATCGCTTTATTCCTTGCCGATTTCCTCCTATGACAAAACATCAGAAAACAGAATATAATGTTTCTACCGGATGGGCTTGTGCAGAATTGGAAACTATACTTCTCATTTGTTCACTCAAATTCGCTCTACTAATGTATAAACTGCAGTTTTTCGCTTTATGTTTAGGAGAATATAAATGATAATGCATGCATTGCATGCATGCATGTGATCAGCAACAGATATCTACGTCTTAAAGTTGGAGACAAACAGCCGGATAATTGATAACAAAAAGAAGCGTTACAAATGATCGGGTTTATAAACTATATATACCAAATAAATTCACTGCCATGCATATAACTTTGAACGAGCTGTTTCCTTATAAAAGAAAGTGTAGTTAGAGTTTACTTACCAGTTTCCGGGAATTCCCTTTATGAGACTGATGTCAACGGAACGTCTTAAAAAATAAAACCATGCATTGTATTTATGGCACCTCGGCCTACCTGCTAGCCTTGTTGCGATGGCAAAGAGATATATAAATGAAAACAATAATTATGCATTATTGCTGAATAATGCAATATGATTTGCTAAGTCTGCTTTGTCTGTATATGCGCTGTCCATAGTTTAAATCTGGTATGCAGTGAGATTGCAGCAAATTATCTATTTTATATAAACCTATAAGTTCTAACACCTAATATAATTTAAACCTTTAAACGACCTGTTCTTCTCGAAATAAGTGGAACCCTACACACAAAAAAGCTCACACATCAACAAAAAACTGTTTTATATTTTCAAGTTATAACTAGGTAATAATAATTTCATATTTAATATTCCGTTTTAAGAGCATATATTCTTTATGTTTCTAAATGCATTTGATTGAGGATCGACAATAGATTACTGCGCTGTGTTATAGAAAAAAGCTGATGTAGATCGTCGAGTTTACGAGATGCCCAGCTGGATTTGTGCCCGAAATGTTGTTTCATTATTTTACTATTATTATATATTGCATTACATATGGTTTAATATGGTGGCCACAAAAATCTTAAAATGACATAGAATCCAGCCATGATGTCACGATTGGGAAACGTTCTTCTTCGGTATTTGTTTTTTTATTTATAACTGAATTGAAAGCTTTCGATTATAAATTGTTCACATCGTCAGCCCTTTTCTCTGTCCAATAGACTACGGATATATAGAAATAATAGACATATATAGCTATATAGTGTCTCCAAATATTCAATTTACCTATAATTTCATGTAGTATTTTTGTCTTAGGATAAACATTACCGCTTAAAATTTAACCGACGAAGACTGAAGTTATTAATTGTATTGAACACCACAATATTGGAAACAGAAATAATTTCATAATAAAATCTAGATTCTAGGATTTTTTTGATAAATAGACATTGAATATATTAGACTTGATTGATATATTTATTCCAATATAGCAAGAAACAGCGTGGCATCCTCTAATAACCTCGTATATCTGTGGTATAACAACTGCATGCCTAAAACACTTCTCGATTTTTTGCTTATCATTATATGATTGACCACATTATAAGAAAAACTACAATCTCTCAACGAAAAGAAACGTTTCTAGCCTAAATGATAAACAATGTTAATTTATTTGTTCCATATGTTTGTTTAATTTAATGCAACAAAAAGTAAACTTAGCACTATATAAAAGGATTTATATTTCCTAACCTGCATCAACATGCATGCTATTTTTGTTTTCTTCTCTTTGCATTTGGAGCTGGTGAACTTTCCTGCTACCGGCTTTGGAACCAAATATATATATATAGCCTAAAGTTTGCACTACAGGAGGCATAAATACAACTACTCTATTGGCAAATAATCTGCTGAATCGTGTTTTATAAAAATCTGTCAGAGTCAGATAATATATGATATATAGCTGTTACACCCACACTGGTTCTACTGTTATATATTATTTAGTGCTGTGTTGCTTGTGTATACTTTGATATATAAGGACTGTCATGGTCTTCTTATGGTATGTTGGTCAAAATTCTATTGAATTTAAACCCCACGGTCTATGGCAATTACTAGTTGCTTGATGCTAATAAAAATACTTTAAGAATTCAGTTATGGATGTTGTAGAAGAAATATTTGATTAAAACCTAGGAACAAGTCTCGATGTATCGTTGCAAACGTTTGCTATAATTAGCATTCTGCACACCAACCATGGTGTGCACACGCATGCATTTCTATCTAGGACACTTCCTTGCCAATTCAATGAAGGTTCCGGTCAGTCTGTTGGTTAAATTGATTACTATGTTGTGGTAATTGTTTAGTTTAAATAACAAAAGTCATCGGTCCCAGTTTTCTTCCTTGACGCACGCCACCGTTCACTGATGACTCTTTGGGGTTCCATACTGCGAGTCTGATCTTTTCTATCCGTATCCTCATTTTACAATCAATGCAATTCACTGCTGAGATTACTTTTTGTATCACTTTTTTGTCTTTCTCTTCAGTTTATTGATTGGAATTGATAGCAAATTGTTTTGTTTTAAAAATTTAGATCATGGAACCCTTGATACGATAATGTATTTCATGTGTATCTGGTTATTAACTGTTCCAGTACCACCCATCCGCTGATGACTGAAGCTGACACTGACAAATATTTTTCTTCTTTTATTGTTTAATTAATATAATACAGAAACAAGGTAGGATATACACTAAGAAATAATAGGAAAGTCAAACCAGTTTATCTATGCATGCATTGTTCATTAATCTCTATGACGATCATATTTACTTTAAACGAACTAACGTTCGTTACCATTACTATTATTACGTTCAATTCCATGCACATTTCTCACATTTATAAATTCCACACGAGTATATCAGTGTAATAAGTACAAAAAAATTAACACCATTTTTTAACTCAACTTCTTTCTCTGGTACGCGAGCTATCTACGCACAATTTCACTAAGTTGAGCCACCAATGAAGCCATGGTCCATGATACTTCAGGCTCCTCGTCTTCTTCCTCGCTTAGTTCATCAGTACCACTCTCCTGCACTTCGCTGGACACTTGTCCATCGGTGGTTTTGTCCTGAGGCTGAGGTTCCTCACTTAGATCGCCGGATATTTTCAATTCGCCTTTTGTTTCGTCGCCCTCGCGTGAGTCGTTCAAGCTGATATGGATGTCCTTCACAGAGACCGCACCAGCGTCACATGATTTCGCAGGCGGCGCTACCGTTTCCGTGGTAACAGATCGCTCGGCTGGGCAATGCTCGCTTTCGACTTTGCATACGTCAGACTGGATTTGATTTGTGACGTGGCTCTCAATTTCATTTGTTGCGTCATCTTCTTTGATTACGGCAACATTAGCTTCCACGGTGACGCCAATTGCTTTGATTTCTGTTACATTACCTTCGATGGCGACGCCGCTTGCTTCTTCCTCAGATACTCCCAAGTTTTCGCTAGTTTTCAAAGACTTCCCAACACTATCGATTTCCGAAGATTGGTTTTCGGAGGCGTCAGCTTGTGCCAAGTCTTCTTTGACTTCTTGTCCAAGTTGAGCCATTGCAGATTCTTTGCTCGGCAAATTGTTGTCGTCTTGCTTCTCCAAGGCATCGCCTTTAACTTTATCTGCGACATCTGCTTGAATTTCGAGCTCAGTTGGCAAATTTGTTGCTTTTTCCATCTCGATGGATAAAGTCTTTTCTGTGGCCTTGTCGATTTCCGAAGATTGGTTTTCGGAGGCGTCAGCTTGTGCCAAGTCTTCTTTGACTTCTTGTCCAAGTTGAGCCATTGCAGATTCTTTGCTCGGCAAATTGTTGTCGTTTTGCTTCTCCAAGGCATCGCCTTTAACTTTATCTGCGACATCTGTCTGAATTTCGAGCTCAGTTGGCAAATTTGTTGCTTTTTGCACTTCGTCAGCTAACGTCTTTTCTGTGGCCTTGTCGATTTCCGAAGATTGGTTTTCGGAGGCGTCAGCTTGTGCCAAGTCTTCTTTGACTTCTTGTCCAAGTTGAGCCATTGCAGATTCTTTGCTCAGCAAATTGTTGTCGTCTTGCTTCTCCAAGGCATCGCCTTTAACTTTATCTGCGACATCTGCTTGAATTTCGAGCTCAGTTGGCAAATTTGTTGCTTTTTTCACCTCAACAGGCAATGGCTTTTCTGTGGCCTTGTCGAGAACTGGCTCTTTGCCGTTATCCTTGACTTCGATTGGCTCCGCTTTGTCTGTCGCGAGTGTTTCTCCCGTCTGTGACCGAAGCTCTACATTTTCACTTTTTGTAACCATCTCCTGCGTTTCCAAGCCTTGCGATGTTTCTGCGAAAAACAAAAAGATGAGCGTGAATCATTTTTATCCTTGATTGAATGAAACTATTGTCCCTAGAAATGTCTCAAAGCATTTTTTGCTTTTACCTTTTTCCTTAGGCTTATCGATATATTCACATTTAGCATTAGTCTTCGCTGTTGAGGAAGACATTTCATTGGTGCCCGACTTATTGTTTGCCACCGCTATCGGCTCCCGTGTTTCAAAGCCGCCTTCCAATGCTTCTGCGAAAAACAAAAAGATGAGCGTGAATCATGTTTATTCTTGATTGAATGAAACTATTTTCCCCAGAAGTGTCTCAAAGCATTTTTCGTTTTTACCTTTGCCCTGAGGCTCATCGATATCTTTATCAATTTCTTCAGCAGGGTCATCTGCCTTTCGTGAGCAACCGAAACAGCAACCCATTTTTCTAACTAAAAAATTTCCAACAATACTTCGCAACTCGCAGTTTAATTAAAGAGAACCGTATTTCGCAAAACGCAATAATACAATGACTTAATTAACTCGTGACGTTGCAATTTAAAGGCAGAGAAAGCAATCAATTAGCTTCTTTATTAATTATAATTGGATTACGTAAAAAAAGTAAAACAACTTCGCCGGAATTTAAGGTTTGCGACATGCTTTGAACAGAGTATTTCACTCTTAATGCTAAAATAGCCTAAGATTCCCTCTGCAACTCTATCAACTGCAAGGCTGCCAAGTCAGGCGATGGAATTGTTCCGAAGAAGTTTATATTGCAATTGGCAAACATTGCAAATATATGTAGCAACTTTTATAAGAAGAATTTTACAGTGTAACAGCGTCTTCACTAGCCATAATGTGATAATTTTAAAAAAGTCTATTGCAAAAATGATCACATTATAGTGAATAATAATTTCTGAGACTACCTAGCTAAAGCTCCTAGCTAACTATTTCGTGTTTTATTTCATTCTTTCGTGCTATTATTTTTTTTTTTCTAACTATTTGTGGGATCCCGTTTCTTAATGGGAAATCAGGGTCATCGTGTATAATATAAAAATGGTTTTGTGAAAGTTAGTGAGACAGTAGACATTTTACAGCTTCGATTTGAAAAAAATTGCCGTAAGACATATTGGTTATGTCCAGTTATTTTTTCTCATTTTTAACTACTATTAATTAACCACGTACGAGCAATATTACAATTATTATGAGGACTTCTTAACACACTTCTTATGCTATGAGGACTGTCTTAACACACTGCTAGTTTATATCCGGTGCAACCTTAGAAGAGACTATAGCACGAAAAAGTGGCAATAAGATCTAATTTCTTGCATTTCAAACCTGGACAACCATCACGGAGTATATCAGTGTAATAAGTACAAAAAAATGAGCACCATGCCAGACTGGCGGGAACGGTGTTCGACTTGAGTTTTTAGCCCCGTTTACACTACACTCGATTTATTGGCACGGCACGGCTAAAATGGGTACCCGTGCCCATTTCATCTGCGCTCGGCCTTTGTTTTGGTAGCCTGAACACTAATAAAATTGGGTACGGGTACCAATTTTAGCCGTGCCGTGCCGATAAATTGACTGTAGTGTAAACAGGGCTTTTAACTCGACTTCTTTCTCTGGTACGCGAGCTATCTACGCACAATTTCACTAAGTTGAGCCACCAATGATTCCAATGAAGCCATGGTCCATAATACTTCAGGCTCCTCGTCTTTCTCCTCGCTTAGTTCGGTAATACCACTCTCCTGTACCTCGCTGGACACTTGTCCATAATATAACCAGAACTTTCAAGAAACATATAGTACCGGCTGGTATTTTTGGCAAATAATTGTTAGATGCCACAAAAACGCATGCAGAGTCTTAAAAGAATAAATGCATATTATCCCGTCAGCGTATTATGTTTAAACAGTTGCACGTTAACAGTCAGGGGATATGCTATTTCAATAACAATTAAGAGATTGTATAAAATAATAAATACATCGTAATCCAAAATATGTTTAGCCGTTAACGTGCACATGCATATGGGAAATTCATTATTGATATAATGAACCCATGCATGTGCACGTTCACGGTTAACCATATTTTCGATTACGTATTCACGATGTATTATTTAATACAATCTCTTAATTTTTTATCTAGTTATTGAAATACCATATCCGCTATCATATTGTTCTTTGGTGATTGCATAAACCGGTGACATCAGTGATAGCAAAGAATTTATACTACAATAAATATAAAAAATACCATAATTACCATGCATGCATGCAACGCGTATAGAAGGCTTGAAGTAATAATATTATTATAAATCAAACAATTCTCTCGGGTGTCAAGAATTACTGTATAATCAATATATTCTACTGAGTTACTTCAACTGATATTATTAAGAACTTCGACCATTCTGATAAAAAAACCTTCATCTTTATTGTAATGTCGTATATAGACAAAGACCTTTGCTGGAAACAAGTGATAACGTATTTCATAACTTTACGGATTTCGCAATAATTTAGGAGACACGCGTACGTTGAAAAGTGTTATTGATATTTTTGGAAAAAAGGCACTTACGACTCCATATTTTTTACTAAATTATTTTTCAAAGCTAGACAGGCAATCACTGCTGAAAATGACTTTGATGACATGGTATAAAGCTTGAAAACCCGAAATAGCCACATTAAAGTTTTAAAATACCATTCACAATGAAAACCGAAACGAACCATTTCCTTTAGGACTTATCAATTGTTCACCACAATTTCCGAGTACAGGGTTGACGTTAATTTGACAAATTATTTCTCTTGTCGACGCGGAGTCTCAGCTCAATGAACTAATTGTGATTTTTGCGCACTTCGTTAGAATAATTAGCGCAACATTAGGTAAAAAAACAAACGCATTTAAAATGTGCGTTATCCTTTCTTTTAGCACTTCTATACCAAGTCGATTTCATGATTTTCAGAACTTTTCTGAGCACAACTAACAGAGAGACTGTTTTCATTTTCTCGCTCCAGGTAGAGTTCGAACAAAAGCGGAACATGATTCTCAGATGATGAAATACAATCTTACCTGTTCATGATTTCAAAAATAGCATGGTAGGCTATAACTCGACAAATCTGTTTGAATTAATTGCACTACAAGGCTTTGCACCGTTACCCGAGATTTAACAGAGCAGAGAGGTATATTGAAATTAATCTTTATAAAGCTAAACAAGCGCAGCAATTGACGGGATTACCACACCACTGCCAGATTCATGTTATTTCCTCATTTCTATACCTTCTTCACGCTGCGTCTAATCTAGACTATAGTCGAGATGATTTAAACGGGCCATATTTTTGCAAATACTTCTTTTGTATCAATCTATCTTGAAGTTAAATTCTAGAGGTTTTAAAGGGCTTAATTTCGAGTGGAATTACACACACTTCAAATTCAAGCCAGGAGCAGTTGATGGAAAAATGAGTCAACTATAGGTCCTCCGGCAGGAATCGAACCTACGCTTTTGCGATGCCGGTGCAATGCTCTTGCCAAGCATAATCGATTTATCTTGAAGTTGTAGTCTGCTTTTGCACATGCAAGTTTCATATTGTCTTACTTCCGGGCTTATAAAATTAGTATGCGTTATACCTATCCCCAACACCCCCCTTCGGCCTAGTTCGGGCCTAGGATGACACAGTTTAGCCTATTTAAAATGAAATCCAGAGCGTGTAGGCCTATGATTTAGTCTTATTATACACTTTACGTACAGGAAGTATAAATAACGCAACTCGAAATTCCCCGGATCATTCACGGTTGTAAATTAGCTTGTAGGTACACCACGTAAGTATTTAATACTAAGCTAATTACTTATTGATGTCACCATGCAAGCTTACAAGAATATTAATCTTGAATAGTTTCTAATTGTATCTAAGCCGCATAACTGCAAAATCACCAGTATACGCACTCAAGAGAGTGGCATTTGCATGGATGAAAGTTTACCGGCTTATCGCGTTCGTGATTGGTTAACGTTAGTTTGACAGGCACATTGCATTTGATTTGTTCATGTTTCTGTAGCGATAGCGATAGCGGTAGTGGAATGGAACACCATGCATGCATTCAGCACAATTTCTGGTGTCCATAAGATTCCCCGCTTGTGAATATTAGTCATATTACACAACAGTAGCAATTTTTAAGTTTGGTATTCTGAGTATAAAATTCTTAAGAAATTGAAATCTTTTTTTGCTTTAAGTCTAAAGGACTCTAAGAATTAATGAAGTGGATTACTTGGAAAATTCCGAGGTTGCATTTTTCGCACTCTGAAGTTTGATTAATGAATTGCGTTTTTGCTTCATGCTTCGATGGTCATTATCAAGTATCAACCCTCGAAAAAAGTATTATTGTGAAAAACAATCGCTATAGATGCAATCCACAGTATGTTGTGGGCCTGTGGCCAAATAACACGAAATGTACGATTAAAATATTCCTATATAGTATATCCTACGGACCAGGCCCTTCGGTTCATGGCAATATAGCTATGACTATGTATCGATTTTTAGTAAATTTTTTGGTATATGCCTTTTAATTAGTGCTACCACTTCTAATATTTTCTACACTGTTTAAACATCTTCCATTGACTCGAAATAAAAGAGGGAGGACTAAATTATTTATTAAAGTTTTTCTGGCATTTTTTCTTCACTGGAACGGCTGGGCTGACAGTATTTGTTATTAATTAACCAAGCTCAAACCGGTTTGAATGGACTTTATGTTAAGGTGAACTTTAGTTGGATTTGATACCACTATGAATACTTAACTCATTACTGAATACTGACGTAGTTATACACATCAGTTTGAATACCCTTATTGGCAACAGCTTCAAGGCGGAAAATGACTCAAAATATATGTGTTAGTCAAGATAAATACAAAACGGTTTCAATTGGTTGGGATGCAGCCGTGTAAACTTTAAAGTGGTGTTCTCGCGAACACTGAAGCAAATGTACATGTATTCATTGCGTTGCATTGTGTATTTAAGGCGTACTCTATAGATTTTGGGAGCTTTACTAACTTGATGAATAATGTATTCCTTCATTCAGGAACATCAACAGATGTATCATTAACCGATTAAGCATTCTCTGGTGAAGACAGTGTGCTGTGTTTTGTCTTTTTTGCCGATCAAAATTCGATGCCAAAAATTGATTTATGAATCTTTGTACTAATTTGTATTTATGGAAATAAGTATGATGACATATGATTACGTTTTATAAGGACACAAGGTTTCAACTTTTTACTATACTATACCTACAGCGTACCATAAGAAACTGTGAAAAATTATAAAAGCGTGCGATATGTTAATTGGGTAAAGCTCGGTTCACAATCCTAGTGGACTTCACCGTTTTGCGCAACATATCATTATGTTAGTTGCAAAAAGAAATTTGTGGATTTATTTTTAGCTTGCTCAGGGAACATTTAATAATATTTCTGACTTTCGTACATCATTGACACCCGCGCGTGCTACGCCAGATTTAAACAGTTTACGGAGCGAGACTAGACATAACGTCCCTAACCGTATCACACACATTTGTCTCTTGAGGCGGAAAATCCGATCTTGTTCGCACTTAAATAACACCTTATCAATACTTGATGATCGTATAAGCTACGGCTTTACCATATTAAAACCAAATAACTTCAATACAAAGACGCTTTCGTAGTGAAGACAAATAAATGCGCATGGTTTACATTTTGTGCGGTTTCCAAGCATCAGTTGAGTGCGAGATATGCTGTGTTTACGCTATGAGTAATTGAGTGTTATGAGTAATCGAGTTGACAATTAATTGCTTGTTCAGGGAGGTGACAGTCAGATCGGCACGCGTTTCTAGACAAGTTTCCTCAAAGCTCGCCAGCTCATGCTGAGAATTTGTGCATAAAAACGCCGTTTAGAGGCAGACATTCACTTCAAACCACACTGCGAAGCGTACAAGAGCTATCAAAGTTTGTTGATTGAAAATTCGTCTAAAGTCTAAAGTTGTACCAGTAAAAGAAGAAAATGTCGAGTGCTAAAATGTAAGTGTCCTATTTTGATCTTGTTAAGTGAGACATTTTGTTGCGTACAAATAGTAAATTCCATTGGAGTATTAACCATCGGAATGATCCGATCATAACCAACTTCATGAAATGTTCACGAAGAAGCAAATACAAAATTAAGACTTGCAAATTGTATATTGTTTAACGGCAATCTTTAGTTTATATGATTATCATGTGGTGCAGCTTTGGATCATCAGGAAAAATATTACTTGTTTACGTTTTCATTGTTCCGTTTGTCGCCTAACTATCTCACAAAATACGGCACTAGTCTCTCTTTGAAAATAAAGTAAACCCTTCGTAAACTGAGGAGAGTCTAACATGCTTCATATTAGACCCATTTTAAAACATATAGAAAATCTTTCGAGATGTCGAAGTGTTACTTGTATATTCGCCAACAAAAGTACAACTTGTCTTATTTTTTTATTGTCTCCGGCTCTATCCAAACTATGAATAACGTAATTTATTTATTGATCCATCATTTCCTCTTTTTTAGTTTTTCCGCAATGATCGTTTTGTTTATTCTTATCACAATGCCGTACAATCTGGAAGGGAAGCCAAAACTACACACAAAAGACAAGGGTATCACCCTTCCAATATTGCCATCAGCTGTGAACAAGAGCTGGTGTAGGAGCGCTTTATTCAAGGAGCGCATCACGGAACCTGGCTGTGAATCCAAACTCGTTTATAACAGGTTTTGCTACGGTCAGTGTACGTCATTTTACGTCCCGCGATTTCCACTGGCCAGCTTTCGCACGTGCAACGCATGCGTGCCTGTCGTGACAGAGAAACGGTTCATCCGAATGAAATGCCCTGGAAGAAAAAATAAAGTCCACATGAGGGAAATTATGCTGGTAAAATCCTGCCGCTGTCGAGCTGACATTTGGGCTAATACAAAATCAAAAGGGAAAAAACCTACTTAAACAACTGGGTATAATAAACTACGGCTTGGTATGAACTGATCACTGGTCCCAGTGCCAGTGGATCACAACTTTTGATCTGAAATTTCCATTACGCTAGCGTAGCTATATCGTTATCGTGTTTTTATAAATGAACGTAAAACGTCTCAGTGAAAATTGACGAAAAGACCAGCTTTAATAAACATTAAATTAAGTTTGCAGTATTGAATACAACTACACAGTCATGCATTGGTGCATATATTCCTGCTATCAGAAATATTGTTCGTGAGTAAAATAATATAATAAATCCAAAATGAACTTGATGTATATATAGTAGTAAAAATATAGAGAGAATATAGCTAGAGTATATATCTATAAAAGTTGCATGTATTTCATTTCTTTGTTTGTAATAAAGTATTGATGTGTTGTATAATAAATACGTTTTACAGAGAAAATACCGCACGTTACAAAGTACTTGACGGAAAAACGGTTGCTCTTTAAGCCTCTTTTCAGTACGCAACTTAAGTCTCCGTGATTTTCCTCATTTTTCCAAGTTTTTGTATAACAATAATTATCTTGCCATACTGCTGCTGTTGTTAAAATATATATTATTGATAGGATTTCGGAAATTGTTCAGTATAATTATTCTTTCATTATTGTTGCTTTACACAAAATCTCTGTTATGCACCACAGCTTTCAAGTTCTGACGATATGAGTGTTTTCTTGCAATATACATGGTGTCTCAAAAAAAACGAAAACTATTGAAATCACCCATATGAATGTAATTGTTAGAGTTTGAATGCCTAAGCACCCTGCATGTTGCATGGGACCCATATATAGGTGTATAAATGTTTGCCATAAATAAGCATTTTTATGCATGCATATATCATTGCAGTAAAATTTGTTTGTACGCAAAAATTATATTTATTAACAATATTTACAATTTACAAATATGGATAAGAATATTTAAATCTCAAGCACCATGACCTTCGCCATGTCCCCTTTCTCTAGCAACACAAAGCATTTAGCATTTTATCAGTTGCATTAAATCCCCACGGGCTAAAATTCGTGAACACCTCATTCAAATTTTAACAATGAGTGATTTCAATAGTTTTCGTTCTTTTTGAGACACCCTGCCTTTGGGGGAGTTATGAATACATCTGTATTCTGTACTTATGCCAACTATCATTAATACATAACCATTGTTTTCTTTGTTTAAAACAAAAGAATCAAAGGCTTTCAATAACAATATTTGAACTTTTTATTCAGAACTTACCAACCCTGACCAAAGCTAGGAATTTCAAGGTGTGCCAGAAGTGTGAATAAACAGGTTTATTTTAAATGAATAATTCTAGTGTGAGGCTTAACGTTGTACGTTGTTTCTGTAGAAATATAAACCCGCTATATATCTGTATCATAAATACATTGCATATGTGAAAGGGAAGCGTAGAAAAATCGAAAAACTGATCGTGATTAATTTTAACCGCGAAGCTGAGAATGATGAACCTGTGTCAGTTGAAGTATCAGGAGTCGTTATGTGGCATATTGTATAAAGTTTGATAAACAAGTCAAGCTAATATTTCATTACGTAAGTATTCTGTCTTGGCCCTTGATATTAAATACAACGTTTAATATGAGAAATCAGGTATATATAAACTAATAGTCTAATACAATATTACAGACGATTTTAAGATCGTTTATATAATATCATGCTCGGCGTCAAAGTTGATGAGATTGGTTTAAGCGGTACCGACGAACAGGGCGAACAAAACACATTTACAGGCCGTGGTCCGTGATAAACAATATGAACCTCATGCATGCATTTAGTTGCAAACATGATACCATATGATACCATAATAGACAAATGTCAAATTATTTATTTAACACAAGCAATGATTGATCACTTTTATTTGCTAGCATAGCGGCATTTTCTGCATAATTTTGACAAATAACAAATTAATAAATTTCGACAAATATGCCATTGAATTTAAACACTCTAATGTCTTGGTTAATTTTGAGTAAAATGAAATTGTAACATACTAAAATCTACTTTCACGTCCCTTCAATAAAATTCATTTCTAATACATTCACTCACTTAAAAGGTATTATCAATTAAACCGAATTACGTTTTTGGGATGCCCAATAGTTAACATGCAAGCTAGACTCGCGATGCAATGTGACAACAATTGACTATTCAAAATTTTAAATAATTTTACATTTTATATAACTCATAATCTCCATGCCTTTCTGCCGAAGAAAAGAATTTTTCCAGAAGAATATCAGACAGTTGAATGTCGAGTTCATCGAGACAAATGTACTTGCCCAATTATTCAACACAATCTCTCGTCTGTTGGTGTAAATGCACATACTCCACGACCAAGTTGTTTGACACAACACAGAAAATACCATTAATGGACAGGAACAAATGAAAAGAGACACAACCACAAAGAAACAAGTGGAAAATGTTTTAAAAGAGAACTGGAGTTTTCTTCTTTCTTTACCATCCGATTCCGTAACTCTGTCATCTCTACGTTTGGACATAGCGATTATAAATATATTATAATTGAGATAGATAAACGACAACAATAAAATAAACACGTAAACCGTTAAAAATGGAAAGATTAAAGTTTTCCAAGTTGTGAGCGGCAATATTACCAGAATGATAGAGATTAATATTGTCATAATTCCTTGTAGAAGCATCATTCTCTTCTTTGTTATTGATGCTTGATGAAAGAAAGGATATTTTAAAGCGCAGAATCGTTCGATATTCAGAGCGAGGACAGCCAACACCGAAAAGTTTTGTAGTAAACTTGAGACGTAGAAACGTGTTAGTTCCAGCGTTAAATTAACACGGAACAGAAAGAGGTTAATTGTTGAACCAATGAGAAGAGGATGAGTGATGATAACCACAGCCAGATCAAAACATGATAAAACAAGAATCATAATATAGCATAGTTTCTTTCGTAGTTGTGACGATCTCCAAAAACTGATTATAACCACAGAATTTAAAAATATTCCTGCAATCATAAATAAAACGTTGAGAAGACAGAGAAATATCACGTTTAAGGAAGTTTCGATGTTCATGTTTTCCCGTTATTCTTTAACAAAATTTTCCGTGAACATCTGCCCACAAAATTTTGTCATTGTGTATAAGTAGATATATACTTAGACCCGTCTCAACACCGAATTTTAGATGTGCCGAATACATTAAAAACATGAAATAGAGCTCATTATATCCATTATCGTTACTGTATTCTCGGTACATATGAAATACGGCTTGTAATTGTATATATGGAATGGAAAGGATATTCAGGTATATTTTATCGTCCTCGTGTCTGTTTGCGGCTATTTAGGAAAAGCCTGCAAATATAGATATACTGCATGCAGATATATTAGGCCATATTAGGAATTCCATGCCCCTTCTAAAGATGCATAGCAGCTGCAAAACAGGGTTTTTGGAATTAGCAAACCAGCACGCACTGGTTCAGCAAAATAAACCAATGCCTACCACCCTGCAATGATACAAAGGCCAATTTTTCCGAACAAACAATATGAAAAGTCGAAGTCAAACTAAGCGAATGAAAAATCACAACTTGTTTAATCAATTTTCCCATAGCGGTCGCATCAATTAAATTTGTCATTTCTTAGGTTTATTTTTAAATATTTACATTTCGTCGTGATATGTACGACCTATTGAATTTAGCTATGCAAAACGTGTGGGGAATCAACTATGCCAATAGCTGCTAATACAATCGATGATTTTTAACTTTCTAAACTTTCTACAGTGTGGGAGGGTAGGAGGGGGCCGGGGGGCGTTATTCATTCAAGGACTAGAAAGTTTCTTTGTACATGCACTCTTTCCCTATAAAATTTTTTTTCACTAAAAAGAGTGGATGCATGCAGAGCCTTGTAGAGAAATTTCAGAGCCTGGAGCTCTTTTAGCGCACCCTTGGCTTTCTCCCCTCCGTTCTCTGGTACTTTCACCATTTTTTAGCCTCCCTTAAGCCCTGTTTTCCACTTCAATCGTATCGTAGCGTAACGTATTCTATTTCTATATGTTTCCGAAGTATTCGACCAGAACTAATGACTTTAAAACAATGAGATACGCTACGTTTCGCTATGAGTACGTTTGAAGTGAAAAACGCCCTTAAGTCTGGAGTCCGAGGCAAATTGGCCCTTTGCCGGGTCATAAGGTCTAGGTGCATAATGTCCATTTGCTAACATTTCTTCCTTTCGCTCATTTCAGAAGTCTTCTTTTACACGTCTCTAATCAGTGTCCATCAGTTACCCAGGCGATATAATGTCTTTCTGCACATCGTCCTCTTCCAGCATCGTGGCAAAAAAGAAAACATGCGCAATGTAAGTTCACCCAGACAGTTAATGCAAAAATTCATTAGTATATAACGTTCTACTTTTATATTACTGCCAGGAATAATATATCTGCATACATGGAGAAAAACTCCCAAGACAGAAAATTTACTACCATAAATCGCGTATTAACTAGCAAATTAAGTGTCGTTTGCTTTGTCAATATTGAATCATTTTGAAAAACTCCGCAAAACTTCGATCCCCTCTGTTATCGTCTTTGCAAAGCAAAACATCGTCATTCTCGTATAAATTTTAGCCAATCTGCGATTCCTAAAAGATCACGTACATTTATATAATAAGAGACATAACATCTATATCTAAAAACGTTTGTACAACAGTCGTGTCCAATTCTGAGGCACCATATACTAACAGACCGTAGGTAAGAATAGGTAAAACTAAGCTCTTAAAAAGCTTATCTACTTCCTGACAAGCACCTTCTTTCCGCGCAAGGATCTTATGACATACAAACATCTGTTTGCTTTGAGTAGTTTAGCTTTTATATCAGCATGTAACAATATTTACAATTTTCTTGAAATATCATTCCTAAAACAGAAAGGTCCGTATATTGCGGAATATTATGAATAGGTGGAATCACTTTAATTAAAGTGATTAAATCCTTTCTTTCGAAAAATCAGTTCTTTACATTTCACTTGATTACAATTCATATCGTTATTCTGAGACCAAATTAAAAATTGTCCCACCAAATCTGTTCGACATTCTTTATTTTTGCACACAGGGATAATTATATTAGAATCGTTCGCATATTTGAAGAGAGCAGGCCTGCCATCCAATTCTAATTCCAAATCATTCATAAAAACATTATTCAAATACGGTGCAATCACACTTCCCTGAGTTGTGCCCTTGTTCACAAGTCTCCATGCATTCTCCGTGGAAGTTATTGTTATTTTATATGATGAATGCTTGTGGACTTATCCTAATATACATAAACTTTATATATAATTTCAATTTAATAAGCTCACAATTTCGGC